TCGGCACCAGCACCACAACTATCACAGGCACAAGCACCACAACCGTGACAGAAACGAGCACCGCGAGCATCAACGAAGTGGAGACAAGCATTGCCAGCAGCACAGCGGCAAGTACCAGCACAATCACAGGCACAGAGACTAGCACAACATCTAGTGTGTCATCGACACCCTCCACTTCAGCTACTTTCGAAAGCACTACACTACTCAGCACAAGCACAACATCCGTCAAGGCAACGACTCTGGCGTCAGGCACGGGTCTCGGGCCAAAGTTCGACCTTGGCTTCCTCAAGTCGCATGGTGACCACCCCATGTTCCTTTCAAGTCGCCCTGGGCCCCTCAGCTGCAAACCACCGTTGAAACCATGGAATTTGTGTCAGCGGATGTCAGCTGATGGCGATTTTTCGGGGTTCACTTGGCCGGCCACCAGTAACTCAGTGGCTGGGTTAATATAACCGCCGTTGTTGACCCAAGGATTCACATCCAAATCAGGTCCCCAGGCCATTCTTTGACTGGGGGAAAGGAACCCCAAGCAAGGGTGGTTCCCTCATGGGCTTCGCGGTGCCGAGCGAGGGAATTCTTTCCGTTTTGGCTTGCCCGAAATATTGCAAGGAAGAAGGAGCATGCAACTTGCCAAGTCTTGGTAAGTCTCCAAAGAATTCTAGCAGCGTTTTTAGGGTATGAGGTCAGCCGATGACCCAACAAGGAGAGGTTGCCAAGTTCGAACCCTCGCCTTTTGAAGCACGATCCTCTGCCTGGCTTAGCGGCTACCTGTTTGTCGGTTTTCCCTCGGGCGTACCTTTCTCACTTTCTGCCTTTTCGGTGTTCCCTCATTTTCCCCCAACCAGTTGGCGAACTTTCTGCGGGCCAGAGATTGTGGGAAACCGGTCCCAGAAAGGGTTCTCTGTGAGCCGATGCGTTCAGTGTCTGGACTGTATACCTTTTGGATCCCCGATCTTCTTGGGACTACCATTTTGGTGGGTACCCTCCAATTGACCAGGAACCTGACGTTCGGGGGGTCCTGGAAAACCATCCCCCGAACGTCAGGTTCCATGTCAATTGGAGGGTAAACAGGAAAAAAGTCCCTGATGCAATTGGAAGGCAAATGTGGCTCATGGAGTATTGGGGAAGGTTGTTTTCCCCTGCAGGCAGCACCACTCCGGAACCCACGACACTTTCGACGACTTCCACGGGCGCCATCAAGCCTTCCAGTCTCAGCTCGGGCCCTGTGCTGGCGATTCCATGGGTTCAACGAGTTGGGACCGGGGTTCGGTTGCCACCAGTAAAGCAAGCTAGTATAACCGTTGTTTGCCTTTAAGGATTTTCATCATCCAAATTGGGTCCCAAGGCCATTCTATGGGTAAGGGGGAGTAAAACGATCTTGGATCTTGGGGCCGGGATCCAATTCTGATTTCAGGTCTGGCAACTGCAGCTTTTACCGCCTTAGATCGTTTTTTGGGGGTGGACCGTGTCACTCTGCGTTGGGTTTGTAGGGATAGTGCTAGACATGGGCACAAACTTTCAGACAAAAACCAGCCTCCCACATGTCCTCACATGTTCATGTGGTGCAGCTCGTGATTTTGACCGGGGGCCCCGAAAAAACCCGCCTGACCCGCCCACCCGTCCGCCCGCCGTCTGAGGTTGCACGGATGAAACTCCGGCGGGTGTGAAGCTCGTGGTCAGGGGGCCGCCTGGCTGCGCATTTGAACAGGGACTCACGTGCAAACCGAGCTTTTTGTGGTTTGAACCCCTGGGATGAATGTGGTCCAATATGTAGCAAAGGTCCCAGAAGGTTAGCCTTTCAATATCCAGGTCTCTTGAGGTGAGGGTAGTTACGCTTTGTGAGTTTAAAGGGAAACCAACAGGAAAACCGAAGAGCATATGTCCCTTTCCAGTTTGCCTTTGCCAGGAAGTGGTTGATATTCTATGCTCATACGGGTTCCAAACAGCTAAGCTTTCCTTGACACCTGGATTCGGGAGGTCTGCCAGCAGCATTTGGCCGCCAAATTTGCCTGAGGCTTCTGTTTTTAGAAGACACATAGATTGGAAGACGTCATGTTTCCTAACACATAGGACTCCCTTTTAATTATGGGGTAGTCCTGTTTGACTTGTTTGGAACACTCCCACTTGCACCTGAGCGTGTGCCACCAAGGCCTTTGAACGGGGGCACTATCTGGTTGCAACAAAAGCGACGAAAAACGGGTTGCCAGACGTGACCCAAGGGCTCTTTCAGAAGGGTCCAACTTATGTTTGGTCTTTGAAATGAGTCTTGCGCTATGTCAGGGGTGTATAAGTAGTATACAAGGGTATATAAATTATATATATATATATGTAAGTATTAAATACATATATATATATATACATTACGTATGTACATACTTGGGTTCCCAGCCATGCCCTCGGCATGTTGTTCCTTTCCTCGGGTTAAACGGTCGGGGACGTTTTTGGCGCGAGGTGTGCGCGGAATGAGCCCGCAGGACTCCCCGAACGAGAAGAATGCGCGAGTCGCGCTCCCCCAAAAGGAGACGGTGGATGGACGGTTACGAAATCCTCCATTTGCACCACCAAGGGAGAAACCCTGGTTTCGGTTGAGCAACCCTGAAATCCTCCATTTGCACCACAAGGGGAACAAATTCTGGGTTCTGTTGAGCAACCCTTCGTAAATACCAAACGTTCTGGTGTCAACCATGGTTGCGGTGGTGCGAACGGAGTTCGTCCACAGTGTTTCTCTCCTTGGGTTCCTCCCTTTAAAATCATATCCAAAGAGAGGCATCCCGAGCCAAAATTTCGGACACCTCCACACTCCGGTGTCGGTCGGGCCGGCCTCAGGCCTGCACGCTGCAAGTCCTCTCTGGGAGGAGCAAGGACTCGGATCTTGAAGCATGGCATGGGGGGTTTTCACCCCCCACCCCCAAAAAAAACAACACAGCTCCGGTTCCCCTGCAGATTTTTTCACATGGAGCCCAAGAGGGGGGGAAAACAATGACCAAAAAGAGTTTCCTCTACACGTCGTGGCTTGTTGAGTTCCAGGTTAATCTGGGGAAGACTTAGATTTCCCCTTTTGCGGGGAAGACCGGAAAATGGAATTGGGGGCCGCCGCACCCGATCAGATGGGCGGGTCGCTCAAAACAGAAGGCGTGACAAAAAAAGGATGGAGCAGCAACACTCAGTAAACCGGTCATGTATTTGTGTTTCTTAGTTAGCTGGTTGCTTTTTGGTTTGCTTGCTTGCTTGCTTGTTTGCTTTGTTGGTTTTGTTTCAGCTCTCTCTTTGGTCGGAAAAGGGTCTTGAGACGGCGGCGGGTTTCCGGTCCAAAGAGCCCTTCCGTTGGGTCTTTGCCTGAGACGGGTATCTATGTGACCGGACGCACTGTATCGGCTTACCCCATTTCCTGTTGTTTGAAGTTCTGGCTTCCTGTAGTTCTTGCTTATTTCCTGCAGGTCGCTTGGACGCCAGTACCTTGACAAATCCAACAGCTTGTTCATAGCGAGCACACCGAATCATGGAACCCGGCTACAGGAACTTCTCAGGAGCCTCGACAAATGCCCGCCCCAAACCAATCCTTCATCAACCCAAATCCTATGGGTATGGGTCAAAAATCAAGCACCAGGGGACAGGTTTTTGTCCTTGGCTCCAGTTACTAGGGTTCTAGGGTTCCAAAACAGAGAACCCCATTTTTGACCAGCCATGTGGAGCCCATCAAGCAAACTTGATTCCAGACACACAGCCCAAAACACGCCTCAACGCCAGCTTCAAACCAATCCTACATTTCTCTCGTGATTCGGAAGACGTTGCGCCGTCTCCAACCTGCTTTCGTGAGTCCTAAGTATCCTTCACGCGAAGCGCGTGCCCGCTCTCGAAGTACACGAATGAACAGCAAGCCTTTTGGGGCCATTTACCCGAGTGCAATTCATGTGTCTGCCTTTTGGAACGGCAGAAGAAAACCATTCTAGTGGTTGATTCCCCCATTCTTTTCTTACTGGTTCTCAGGGAATGAGAATTGGAATGACCTCTATAAACCATCCCCTATGGTTTTCCTTGATTGGGGAATCCCCGAAACCGGTTCATTCCCAAAACCCGGACTTGTTGTTATTCCCTGCCTATCGTAGCGGCAAGTTTTGACCACCGTGGGGTTCCTTGCCCCCATTAAAAGAATCGTTGACCCAATTCACGATGAAAATCCTGAAGGGTAAACGTCGGTAAAAACGGAACCCAACCATTGTTATACTGCTGGCCGGCATGCCAAAAAGCCTCTAAAGAACGCACTGTTTAATGGTGGCAACTGAAGCCCTGGGCCCATTACCCCCCCCCCCAAAAAAAAGAGAGGGAAGTTTGGCCCTCCTCAGGTGGTGTGTTTTTTGTTCTTCTTTGGATTGCTTTATACAAACCAACGGAAGACCACATTTAACATGTTGCAGGGCGTCTTCCTTTGTTGACACAAAGCCATACCCTGGCGTTCCTTGCCCCCATAAACTTGGCCTTGGGACCCCAATTTGGATGGAAATCCTGAAGGGTAAATCATGGACTATTATGTTCACCCAACTGTTTTAATGGTGGCCGGCCGGCAACTGAACCCCCATACTGCGGATGGACGAAATCCGTTCGCACCACCTAAGCAACCATTGTTTGTTGGTGTTTGCGTTGGGGAATCAGCAGAAACCAGGGTTGGTGCCTAAGAGGATTTCGCAACCATCCACAATAAGAAACCTTCAAATTCGGTGGCTCCCAGGCATCCGGTTCCTTAGCTTTTTAGTCTTTTAGTGTTTAGTGGTAGTTTCCATTGAATCTATTAAAAGTTAGTCACTTTTAGCGGGGGATCTGAGGGCAGCCCATTCTTTCCCATTCTTTCCAGGGATCCTTCTTTTCAGGAAACCATCAAAAACCCAGGAGAACCGCTGATTTTTGAAAAGAACGATGGTTCTTTAAAGAATAGAAAAGGAATCAACCCCTAGAACAGTAGAAACCTCCCCTTGGACGTTTTTTTTCCCCCCCAACTTCGCAGGATGGTGGTGCCATTGGGCTCCACCACTGCCTGGGATGGCGGCCTGGGCGGCAAGAACCTCATGCTCGTGGAAGAAGGAGGCCTCCGCAGCATCTGATGCCGGAAGTAAACCAACCGTACCGGAAAGAACAGCAACACAAGACATGGGAAAACAAGACAGAGGTGCATTTTGCCAAGGGATGTTAGGACCTTATTCTAACCTCTCTACTGGAGGTCCCAGGCAAGAACAGTCATACGAAAACACGCAAATCATGGATAACACAGCATCAATGGCAGGGTTTCCATGTTTCCTTACGTGTAATATGTGGGACATCCACCGTAAGGGCTGTCGATTTGTACCCAAGATGGCAAGGGCACTTCAGGCACAGATGCACCACCCTGGAAGGTGCTGGAATGTGGGTGCTGGCCTATTTTTTGGAATTGGTACCTTTTTTGGGGTTGATCTACATGGGAAATAAATGGACACCTCTCATTTTGAGGGCTTGTCTATTTTGAGACAAACCCGTGTGTACTTGTAAGTTCCTCTTGATTACCAACAGGAGATGGCAAATGTTGGTGCTTCTCCCAGAGACCCTTTATTCAACACCCGATTTGGCTTTTGAGTCAAGGTGAGTGCGGAATAGGCAGCACTTTTTTCAGTTTCTTCTAGTTCCAATCCATGTCCAGTGGTTGCTTTTTGAGGGCACCCCCGGTGTTTTGATGCCGGGTGGTTTTGAAACGGTCAAGACGGATGCGTCGAACCCCAGTAGGGCACGCCTGTTTGCTTGAAGCTTTGGGAGGAAGGAACACCTGGGTTTGGTTCCACTTGGACCTCCAAACATATGTAGATTCCCCTGGAATTCAAGAAGTCGATAAGTGTTTCAAGAGCTTTCTTCCCAGAGCAGGGTGCCAACTGTTTCACACCATACTTGGAATTCAGCGTCCTTGAGGGCAAAAAATATCCCCCAAGGACTCTGCTTAGGACACAGGTCAACTAGCCTCATGGCGATTTGTTTCCCCGAGGGTTTCATGTTTTGAGTCCCACGAGAGATTTATTGGCTCCGAAATGGCCCCGAAATTCGGATGGCTTGCGTTAACGTGGAACCTGACGTTCGGGAAAGGGTCCCATTAAAACGGACTTCCACAACTCTGAACGTTGGGTTCCATGTGAAAAGGGTGGGAGGGTAAAGGGATAGAAAAGAAGGTTTGCATTCGGAAAAGATCTCCAAATGAACAAGTTTGTTACACAGGGACTGCCTTCGGGATGGCACGTATAGGGATTACATACAGAAAGGCTATATCTTGTTTGGGTGCAAGAGGCACCGCCATATATCATCGCAGTTTGTATACAAAAAGGGGGCTATATGGTTGCCCAGTGAATTCGGGAATTCAGGGTTAGAGGCTTTCCATTTTCGGACACCCGCACTTCATGGTTTGGGTGCAAGAGGTACCGCCATATATCATCGCAGTTTGTACACAAAAAGGGGCTATGGTTGCCCAGTGAATTCGGGAATTCAGGGTTAGAGGCTTCCCATTTTCGGACACCCGCACTTCATGGTTTGGGTGCAAGAGGCACCGCCATATATCGTCGCAGTTTGTATACAAACAGGGGCTATGGTTGCCCAGTGAATTCGGGAATTCAGGGTTAGAGGCTTCCCATTTTCGGACGCCCGCACTTCGTGGTTGCTGTTGGGACACATTTTTGTATGTTTGCTTATTGTGGTTTAGTGGTTGAAATCCAACCACTTACATTTTGCTAAAGTGTTTCCAACTTTGTTGCATGTTTGCTAGTGGGAAATGTTAATTCCCACTCCAACCACTTAACTGCTAAAACTTGAACACTGTTGCTCCCATTCCAACGTCAAAACAAGAAGTTTGCCAACTTCGGAGGCGATGATCATCGCTTCGGAGTGCGAGTGGTTTGGAAGGTCGCTGCCGGAGGTGCGTCGACGGATCCGCGGTCGCCGGTTCAGTGATTCACAACTCGCTTCGCTGGTTGGCATCGGGTGGTCCGATCGATGAACTTATTGGACCATATCCTTTGGGTTCAAACCACCATTCAAACAATGGTGGTTTGTACAACCACCATTATTTACCTAAGGATTTTCATCATCCAAATTGGGTTAACCATTTCTTTTAATGGGGGTTGAACTCCAGGGATATCATTCCTTGGGTGCATCGGAATCGTCCCTTTCTTTGGAAATCGGAGTTGTCCGTTGCGACTTCCGGGTTTTGCAATTAGATGCTTGTTGCTTTCAAGACCCACAAGCTCTCCGCGAAAGCCACAGTTGGGCCGAAAGTTCCCAACATGTTGCAAACGATCAAGTCCAACCAGAAAATGTCTGCAGTCAATCACGTTTCCAGCCTGTTCCCTTGCGATATTTGGTTTGCCTCACGGAACCTCCAAAATCTCAAGGAGGTTTGCCCTTGGTTTCTCATTGAATCAACCCCAACAGGTCCTTTGTTGCCTACTTGCAATCAGGGCATCCACCGTAGTTCCCTGTGAAAGTTTCGACTGTAGTCGGAAGGTTCCCACCCGCTTCGAGGGTTTTAGCGTCTCTTTTGGCAGATTGGCAATCACAAAGAACCTGGCCCCCGCAGCCCCTGAGGAACTATGCCATTGGAGAAACTCAGAAAAAGTAAGCTTTGGCCCCTCTTCGTTTTGTTTTCTCTTTTTTTGACATGGTTTAAATACCCCTTCACTTGGGCATGCGCATGCTCATCATCTCAATAGGATTTCTAGAGTCATACAAAAAGGGTTTCATGAGTGAGGACCCTGCTCGGCAAAAGGAGGGTTGGCCACAGCCTATGTGCAACACCCTCAGTGCATCGCAGGCGAATCCATGCTGATCTCTGCATCACCGCTGAATGGCGAGGACATGCGCACCTGCCCCGTGTTTGCACAGAGGATGTGTGTCGAACCCAAAGCATGGATATGTTTGTTTGTTCAACCCATGTTTAGATTGTTCAACCAATGGATATGTTTTTTTGGTTTGTTCAACCCAAAGTGGGCATCACAAAAAGACACACCCGGATGTCCTTTGCTTTCTTTGCGTATTCAACGTGATTTCTCCGGGTCCGTGCCTCTCCGACACGCGAAGAAATCTTGCAAAGCCCAAAGTCTATGGGATCAAGTTCCGGCTTCGGCTTGTGGCAAGGAATGGGAAATGCCACCATGACTTTGTTGGCTCTGGGATCGGAGTCACCTCAAGGAGCGTCCTTAGGGTTCAACCCCCCCAAAAAAAGGTTGACCCCAATTTGGATGATGACAATCCGTGGTTATTTGAGCCATAGTTTTAATGGTGGATAGAACCCTGGCATTCCAGACGCCATGAAAAGATTGGCCTTGGGCCAGGGACCCCATTTGGATGAAGACATTCCTTGGGGGTAAAGACGCGGGTTACATGAACCCAACCCACTTTTAATGAAGACATTCCTTGGGGTAAAAAGGGGGGTTATATGAATCCAACCCTTGTTTTTACCGGCCTGCCACTGAAATTCTTTCGCGGAGATAGCTGCAGCTTTGGGCCCAAAGGGCCCTGTGGAACTTCGACCGAGTGGCAATGAAAAGCTTTGGAGTCAGCTTGGCGGAGTCGACTGCCGGCTCCATTTTGGGGCGGAGATCGACCCCAAGATGTCCCACTTATCTCAAAACCCGAGGCTTTCGATTGGGGTTGTCTAGGAGGTTAGCTTGGAAGATGTCCAACTTTTGATCTTAGATTGGGGAAAGGGAAGCATGGAAAGACACTTGGGTCCTCAATTTCAGCCCAGTTCTCAGAATCTCCAGTGCTTTGTGTTTTTTTGCTTTGTGCGTTTGTTTCTTCTTCTGATTGAAACAAACATGAATATAATATATATATATATATATATTATTATTTAAAAAAAGAAACATCCAACAAGACAACAAAAACAAAAGCAGAACTCCACTGCCTTTTGGAAAGGCGGGAACAACAGGCTGGGAGTTCCAGTTGGCACCTGAGGCACGGGTCAAGAGCCACTGCTCGAGCAATTCAACCGATTGTGACCTGGCACTCGACCTGGGCTGGTTGCGCGAGTTCACCGAGGACCTGCTCGCCTTTAAAAGGAAACTTCAAGGAGGTTATTGAAGGGAAGCTTGAAGGAGGTTCTCAAAGGGACACATGCATGACACGTAACAATGTTGTTGCTTACAGAATACGTGTTTGAACATGTGGGTATGGGTCAGAATTTAACCACCAGGAAATGGACCGCAGATTTTGGTCCATGTTTCCACTTACCAGGGTTCCATTTGGGGGTTACGCTATGTTTGACCCACAGCCATGTCGACCACGTGTTCTTTTTTCATCGCCCAAGCGTCGTCTTTTCCGGTGTCATTTTTTCTGGCGAGTGCGGTGAGAAGTCGCCTCTGAATGGGCCTTCTGGTCTCTAGGGTTCCAAACGCCCACATGAAAACTTGGTGGCTCCCAGCCATACTGTGGATGGACGCAATCCATTTCTCACCACGTTGAAACCATGGGAAGCCATTGTTTGTTGGTATTTACAGGGGAATCATCATTCTAGGGTTTCTTAGGTGGTGCAGGATTCCGTCCATCCACAGTAGCTGTTTAGCCTTTTAGTGTTTAGTGGTAGTTTCCACTTAACCCACTAAAAGTTAAACTTTTGGCGGGGGATCTGAGGGCAGCCCGGAGAAGAATGGCCTTGAGAAGGACCCATTTTGGGTGAACACCCTGAAGCAAAAATCAACGCTGGTACTGCGGATGAACGCACTCCTTTTGGCCGGAGAACCATGAGAATTGTTCAAGCAAAAAGCCTTCGTTGTGTCGGTTGGACACTTTTGACATTCAATTGGATGCACCAACCCGCCAACGGCCTACCAGATGGCTAGGATCTTAAAGGGACAGTTTTTGCATGTACCTGGACACTCAAACTACAAATAGAAATCGGGACTTCCTCAAAATGATGGGATGATGTCCAACATTTGTGTGGAGTTTGAGGGTCTGACCTGGTGAGGATGTTCTCGAGGGGTTTTTCGAGGGGTTGATTCCTTTTCCATTCTTTAAAGAACCATCCTTCTTTTCAAAAACCGCTTCTGATGACTTCCTGGAAAGACGGATCCCTGGGTTCAGAATGGGGCAGGTACCCCGAGAGTTTTTTTGATGTATCCTCTCAGATTGAACTTTGAAGTTCGGTAGCCCGAAGCTTAGGTTCCCGGCGGGCACATCTTTGCGACTCATGGACTGCGAGGACGGGAATGGGAAAGGGAAGAACCCCCCAAAAAGTTAAAATATTATTGAGTGTGGCTCAAAATTAAACAGGAGGGGTAGGGTTCCATCAGGGTTCCATTTTGGTACCGGTTTTTTGAGCCACAGCCAGTTGTGGATGGTTGCGAAATCCATTGCGACAAGCATTCAGAAACCCTGGTGTCTGATGATTTCCCTGCAAATACCAACAAACAATGGTTTCCGTTGGTTTCAAAGTGGTGTGAAATGGATTTCATCCATCCACTATGGTTTCCTAGAGAGTCCCCTTACGATTCATTCGCAAAGCCCAGACTCGGTCATTTCCTACCTGTTGCACCAGCAAGGGTGCTTGGATGCTTTCTGGGTGCGTGTGTTTGGTGGTTGTTTGTTGCATTCTCGTCGTTTGCTGTTGCCCTGAACCCCCATGAAAAGAATGGTTCACCCAATTTGGATGATGACAATTCTTAGGTACACAATGGCGGTTACATTCCACCATTTTTGTTTTTTTAATGGTGGTAACTGAACTGCAGGGGTTCAAGGGGTGTGTTTGTTTGTTTTGCAAGTGTCCGGCTAGTTGCTTGGTGTGTTTTGTTTCCTTAGTTCCTTTGCTTCGGTCCCGACCCTTTAAGCAACCAGACAGTCCCTTGGAAACCAACAGGCATACTGTGGATGGACAAAATCCATTTCGCACCACTTACTAAGAAACCCTGGTGTCTGATGATTCCCCTGTAAATACCAACAAAAATGGTTTCCCATGATTTCCAAGTGGTGCAGGATTTCGTCCATCCACAGTAGGTGTCATGTTTGGCTGTTTTGGTCGAAGATAGATGGCCCTGAAGTTGACCTGGTTGTTTCATCTACCAGGTCCATCTATTCTCCCATCATATGCCAACAGGTCCTTGGTAGCTTTGTGAGGATCTACTGTGACTCTTAGGCCCTGGATTAAGAACGTACCAAGGGCTCCTTGGGTCAAGAGGTTTGCACAAGGGCTTGTCCTAAAATTGGGGAGGCCGCAAACAGTGTTTTCGCTTTGTTTTTCTTCTTCTGGCTTCCCCTTAAAATTATGGGAACCGGGTTTCCTGAGAACCCAAAGACACGCGCACGCACGTCGTGCGCCAGGACAGCGTGAAGCCGACAGGCCTCATGGACAGCCTCTCTACGCCAGACACCACCACCACCAGTGGCTCGCCTGACTCCAGCCACTGCAGTATCCAGGGGTTCAACCCCCATTAAAAGAATAGTTGCCCCAATTCATGGTTGTTGTTGGGAAACATTTTGCTTTTTTTGTTATTGTGGTTCAGTGGGAAATCCCCACTGAACTGCTAAAGCTTAAATTTTCCTCCCCTTCCAACGTCAACCAATAATTTGGAAGATGAAAATCCTGAAGGGTAATAATGGTGGCTACATCAACCCCCGGTTTTTTTTAATGGTGGTTTCAATCCCAGGGAGTAGGGGACCAGGGGAAGCCAGAAACCATCCACGGAGAAACTTGGAGGTGACGAGCCATGATTGCCTAGAAAAGGTGTCAGTGGAAGCACTGGGTAGGGGAGGCACAGTCAGAGCCGGGGTGAGTAACGGATAATACATGGTGGTTGTTGGGAAGCATTTTTCATTTTTGCTTATTGTGGTTTAGTGGGAAATCCCCACTTAGCTGCTAAAATGCGATTTTTTGCTCCCCTTCCAACGCCAACCAAGAATAGGGGACAGTCCCAGCTAAGTTGACCCAGTGCCATCTATTCTCAACATTGCCTAATTGGAAGTGAGAGCGTCCGTCGTGTCATGGATTAATTCTACACATGCTTCCCCCAAAGATGTTTTTTTTTCAAGCGGGAGACGTGAATCCCGGTTCCCGAACTGGGCCAGGGGTTGCGTCCAACGCACGCCACCTCGGAGACACACTTCGAGTCCAAAAGGCAACAAATGCCACGCAAAAGTGGGGCACAAGACGAGTAGGTCAATATGACTGGGGGGGGGATTTAACTTTAAATCATAGAAGCCAGCTACAGGAAATTCAACAGGAAATTGGCCGAATACCTACCAAAATCAGGGGGTTCCTATAGAATTGGTTGTAGTTGGTTTCTTCGATTAAGGGAAGCTGCTTCCCGTTCGAGTGTGCCGAACCATGTGTTGTTTTGGGCACAGAAGTTGTTTAAACCTGTGTAGTTTCATCACGGGTTTTGGACTCACACAAAAAGAAGCCAGCCAAAGTCCGGCAAAACCGGCAGTTCTACCTAGTTTCAAACAAGCTGAAGACCTGGCGACAAGCCAGCCAAGCTCCATGAAAACCAGCAGTTCCACCTTTGGCAGGGGTTTTGGATTAGTTTTTGGAGCTCCGGACATCACCTCTTTCGTTGTTGATTCAGTTTTCCTCTCGAGGTGGGGTGGGTGCTTGAACATACAGGATGTCAGTTTTATGGCGAGCTCACCAGGAGGTAAAATGAGCTCGCTATGATGTAAGTCCTTTGCTTGGGGATCCAACTCTCATTTCAGTCTTTGGAATCTAGGTCCCCCAGTAGTGCCCTTTTACCCTCTTTTTGGGGGCAGGGTTCCCCTACTAAGAGACAGAAAAGAAAAAGTTGGTACCCTTAATACCCTTATTCTACCCTCTCAAGTCTGGAGGACCTAGGAATCATCATAAACCCTGCAGATGCCAAGTTTCATGGTTGTCAAGGGCCTCACAAAATCGTGGCTTTCTCGGTTTTCGGGGCGCAAGGGGGCCATCATTGTGCTTTTTCTTTGGGCGGCCTGGCAAATGGGAACTCTCGGAACCCTGGCCTCCATTTGCTTAAGAATAGTGTCTTTTTTGTTGTTGTTTTCGCTTTGTTGGGTTTAAAAGGAATTCATCACTACTGGACATATTTTGATATAGTTGGCCCCTGTCGTTAGCCTAACCAGCTCCCGCATAAAGCGTCCCAAAACGTCTCTCGAAGAGCATTTTCTCCCATTTTTCCCGGGGCCTTCACCGTGCTCCTTAAAAGATCTCCAGTTTGCAACCACTTGAAACATGTTGCTTTTTCAACACCAAACTAAAGTTGGAAACCACCATTTACAAGTTGCAATGTTCTGTTGTTTTTTTTTGTAAGGATCCCTGCTGATGTCCCACAATCCGAAGGAGGGAACCGCCATATTTTTTCATGACTCTGGCTACCTGGAGTCTCCTTCTGACCCTTAAAAAATAGTTGGTCACTACACAAATAAGGGAGGCATGACCCCATATACCCCATTTTTCACGGGTCATGGAGGAGCGGTTTCTCTTGTGTGTCTTTTGGGTGTCGGATTTGTTGGTGTTGCTCACGAAATCCATCCGAGGCACCGTGGCTCTTCCATGCCGCTCGCCGGGCAGATCAGGGTTCGGGGGGGCCAGGGGTCGGCCAGGGGTGGCTAGAGACTCGAAAACCTGTAGATTTTTTGTCGTGCCCCAGTGGAAGCATCGTTTTTGTTGTTTCCCCCCTTCTTTGATAGGGTGCTAAGGGGGAGGGGTCAGGGGGGGAGCGGTCAAATCAAGGAAGAAAGCATCAACCATGCACTGTTGCTCGGCGCTGCTTTGTAACACTTGGTGAGGGCTAGTAAGCCTGAATAAGCGTTAGTAAGCCTTAGTGAGCCTTAGTGAGCCTTAGTGAGTGCATTTGAGCAAGATTGTTGTTTGAACCCATTAGTGAGCTCAGCAAAGACTTTGCCATGATGTTCAGGCTCAGCAAAGAAAAATGGCCACGTTTGTGCGTGTTTTGAGCCTTGCTGAGTGGTTTTGAGCGCTACTGAGCGCTACTGAGTCCTAGTGAGTTCTATCGCGTTTCGATTGCGTGCTTTGGACAGGGAATTGGGCAAAACACCGTCATTTGCTCAATTTGACCCCTCCCCCCCTGACCCCTCCCCCTTAGCATCCTATCATTCTTTTTTTTCGGGGTATGGCATTCTTAGAGGTTTTTGGGTCTCCTGGTAGAAAAGAATCCTGAAAGGTTTGTAGGCATTCATTGCCTCACTCGCCCAGGGCGAAGCGTGTTTTTGTTTTAAGTCTCCGCTTTTTGGCAATCAATTTTAGTCATGGCCCCAAAGCTTAAGCTTTTATTGCCAGGTCCTTCGAAACATTCAGTGACCTTTTGGCCCAATGAAAATAGTTGCCTCTAGGGGTGATGTTCAAAAAACCCAAGGCCCCATATCGACGCTACGCCCAGACCCAATTCTTCCATTGCAAGCCTCCTCGGGGTATTTGGTGGCATAGCCCAAATGAGCCACAATCCATGCATGCAAGATTTACGCGCGTTTTGCCCTCATGGGTCAAGACCACGTGCTTGCTTTCCTCCTTCATACATGTTGAGTTCGGTGTTGGGCCGATTGGGTATCTCTCGATACCGTTGTGCCTGTTTTTCCATGAGGTTGGCAGGATGGAATGGAAAGCATACTACTTACATGGATTGCGTAGGAATGAGTCATCCAGGCCCGGATAGTCCAAGCACCTTGAGGAAAGCGGAAGAAACAGCATTTCACATACAAGGTAGGGGCCGAGGGAAGAACAGGGTGCCAAAGATATGACGCATCTCCATATCAATCACAAAATGCCAGCGGATCTTTTTGTAACTTCTGTGGTTGGGATGTGTGTGCGTGCGTGCGTGCGTGCGTGCGTGCGTGCGTGCGTGCGTGCGTGCGTGCGTGCGTGCGTGCGTGCGTGGGTGGGTGGGTGGGTGGGTGGGTGGGTGTGTGTGTGTGTGTGTCTGTGTTTGAGGGTATACCCTTTGCGGGTTGGTTTAAAGGGGGACCAACAGAACAGCCACCATTTGGGTATGGGTCAAAATTAAACCACCAGGAAACGGACCGCAAAAAAATGGTCCATGCTTCCACTTACTAGGGTTCGATTTGGGGCTTACGCTATTTTTGACAACCACTGCCAGTTTAAGGGTCTCGCTAGTTTGAGACCTCCCCATCTATGTTTGGACATTTGAGCTCAGGCGATGCAGCCACGGTGTCGCTCAGCATCAACGACCATGGCGAGTGCAAGAAGTTGCCGGATGGTAGCGAGCGGCCCAAGCCTCAGCAGATTAAACAAAAACAAGGAAAAGCTAACGGATCCATGTTTTAGAGGAGTCCCCTTTTTTGGGCGACTCCCTTTGGGTCCTCTGCTAATTTGCAGGTGACCGATGAAGCACCCAGATAGAGCACGGCCCAAATTCCAGGAGCCTTCTTTGCTAATTACTCAGACTCGGCCGAGATTTCCTGATTTGATGGTTTTGGGGGGCGCCTGATGTCCCACAATTCGAAGGAGGGAAACGCCAGATTGTAATGACTCTGGCTCGTCTCCTGAGACCCTTAACAAATGGTTGGTCATTACGCAAATAAAGGGTGTCATGACCCCATTTTTCACGGGTCATGGAGGCTCGTTTTCTCTTTTTGTGTGTCTCTTGGGTGTCAGATTGGCTTGATTTCTTAGATATGACATGATATGATAAACAAGCACGGTCTTTGCCATTCCATTCACCCCCTCAGAAAGTGGCGGTGGTTTAGCAGTTCCTATTTGCCTTCCGATTGGATCAAATGGGAGCAACCCTGTTGGGTCCGCAAAAGCGCTTGGTAGGCAGTGAGACCACGTGAAAGGCAACAGTTTTGAGGGGTCTCCTAAACCAGAACCCTTCTTTCCAACGAAGATGGAAGTGGACACAGGGGTTTGCCAAAAGAAAGGTAACCCTCCGATCTTCTTTCCTTGGGAGGATACAAGGAAGCCTTATCAATTGACAAGAGGGTGACAGGCAACAGTTTGGGGGATCCCGCTGTTCTTCAGGCTGGTTTCTACAAGACACCAACAGAACCCCTTTTTTTGAGCGTTCCTTTTTGCGGCTTCCCCTCGTAGGGGATCACCCACGTTTTGGGAACGAGCCTCGGGGATTAGTTGCAACTATGGGAAACCAAGAACAAGCAGAACGGATGGACCGAAATGGACGAAACATGGCCCAACATGGACTTCACCGCCATGAACCTTGCCAAAACGGGAAAGCCACAATTTGCCGTAACGCCCTCAGAATACATGCCGACAGACCCACGAGCGTACCTGTGGGTAAAGAGTACCTGCCTGGATTGTGTGGGACAGGGCTCCAGTTTAGCCTCCTACACTTTGGGGCGCGTTTTGCCAAGGGATGTTAGGAAATCAACTTGTTGCCAACTAATGGGTTTTCCGCATTAAACCACTAAAAGTTAGTCACTTTTAGCAGGGATTCGCAGAAAGCAACCGAGAGTTTCTTTTCAGCCATCGGTCTTTTCAAACACCAGCCATTTCCCCAGGGATTTTGGTGGTTTTCTAGAAAGATCCGGATCCCTGGGTTCAGAATGGGGAAGTTACCCCCAGACAGTTCCTTCGCGCGGTGAGGTGGTTTGCCAGCATGGAGCCATCGCCGGACACGCCGGCGGAGGACTTGGAAGCGCTGGGTATGTCCTTGGCGCCTCGGCCAAAAGTCGATGCCAAGATTTCTTGGGATGGCTGTGGCTCAAAAATGCGTAGCTAGAGTCTCCATGACCCGTTAAAAATGGTTGGTCATTACCCTAAATAATGGGGTCATGGACCCATTTTTTAAGGGTCGTGGAGACTCCAGGTACCCAAAATGGGTTGCCCTGGTAAAGGGAGCGAAAGACTGAAACCTGCGGTCCTCTTGTGGTTATATTTTGACCCATACCCAGATGGCAGGAACTCCCGAACAGTCGTTCCCCTCTTTGGTGGAATTTTGGCCATCACTTTTGGGGCCAATTCAAAGCCAGCTTCCTAGGCAGATTTGCTGTTTCGAGGAGTTTCAAGAAAAAGAACCATGTTGGGGTTAAAGGTAACGAATGGTGTTGTTCTTGAAACAAAAAGCGGTTGTGTCTTTCTTTGAGGGTGCCCCAAGAATCGATTTCTCGGGTTCAAAGGGACCTGAACCTATGGGTGGCTCGTCGTTTTAAGGTTGGACCCCACAAAAAGGCGCAACGGTTTCCCTTTAAAGCTGTCAAAAATGGTTGCCAACCCAGATTCCTTCTACACCCCGGCAGCTTGTAAGAAGCAGCCTATTTCTTCAACCACTGATTTCAGGAACGTCAGCCCCCTCCCCCACCCCCAGGTTAAGTGAAGAGTGGCCATGCGGCGGCGGTTGCAATCCCCGCAACGCCTTGGCATTCTTGCCTTTGCCTCATGGTCACATCCATTTCTGTGGTTCCTGATGCTTGGCTAGCCGTAAGTAACGAGTATAAACTCGTTGGAGCCGCAGGGACCAACGGGACATGTTTTGAACATCGGCCCGTGTGGGTCCCTTTTTTCCCCACCTGGTTGATGTGGGGTCCACAACCATGAATGCGAGGTCCTGTTTATTTTACCTCGTGTAGACGGGAAAGTCATGGTGTACCCTTGGTGCATGGGTGACTTGTGCTCAATATGGTCCCCCGAATCTACAACTACATGGACAAGCATTTGTACAACCAGTTGCTTCACCGGACGACCGCCCCCCCCCCCCCATACAACTAGTTGCCCTTCTGATGTTTGTTTCCTAGTCCCCCCCTGAATTTCAACTCCGAGTGAAAGAATGGCCTTGGGACCCAAAATTCGGATGATGAACTCCCTTAGGTAAGAAATAGTAGTGCTTATATTAACACCCATCCATTGTTTTCCTGGTGGCCGAGAACCGACCTTGAGGGGTTCGGGCTGGGTTGGCCGCATCGCACCCCATCGCCCTCGCGATGTAATTAATGCTGACCCCGGATCAATAAACCCCTGTTTATTAATATGGGGGTGTCCCTGGTTTTAGTGGGGATTTCTCACTCTTGGAGGGAACACCCCCATATGAATAAACAGGGGTTTATGAATCCGGGGTCAACATTAAAGATTTCCGAGGCCATGAGGTCTGCGAAGGTGCAGAAGCACCAGGGCCAAGAGGTGCCAGAGGATGAGATCCCACACGTCCCTCGCAGTGAGAGGAGTGGGAGCTGGGGAGATGGGGGAGGGTAGAGGGAGGGGGGGGTGGGGGGGGGGAGGATTCCGTGGGCAAAATTGGAAAAATGGAGATGGGGGTGGGTAGGGGGGAGGTGAGTCTGTGTTTGGGCTGGTTTGGGTTTGGGGGGGCGCGGGAGGGTTTGGGGGGATCCCGTGTGCACAATTGGAAACAATGGTGCAAACACGTGGCTGGCAGATTGCAGGGAGGTCAAGCTCGGGAACCAATCTTCAATCCCTGGCACGACAATTGTTCCTCATTCACATCATTCGTCAACACCTTTCCAGGCCAGGCTTTTGCTTATGGTTTGAATGTTCATCAGGGAGCAACCCCGAACCGGTCCATGCACTCCCAGATCTGTCACGCAAATGCCGACCTGTCCTTTGCTGATTGCGATGCCCTAAGTATTCCAAGTAGTTGAGGGCAACCCGCGTGCTTGGTGGTTGTACAATATTGCGCCGAATCCACCGCAACGGCAGTGGAAAAAAACAGGCCTCAGGCTCAAGTCGCTGGGCCGGGCAGGGTTGCTCCGAGCCACTGGATAACCAACATATACAAGTGACGTTCCTTTGGTTTCCTCTGGTGACCCACCAACGTGCATTGGTAGAACATTGGTGAACTGTTCTTTTGGTTTCCCTGAAAAAAAATCAGATTCGGTGGAATGGGCACAACCCTGTAGGCCATGAATTGGTCTTTCAACATGGTTCTTCCGTGGTTGGCCGAACCAGTCCATGGCGCCGAATTCGATGGGCTCGATCTCAGAAAAGTATGGAAGCAACATGAGGGTTCTTTGGGTCCCATGGTGCTTGCCAAAGCTGGCTGGACATGGTTGTCTCCCGTTTCAGTTTTCATCAGTGGCGACTTCCATTTGAGTTGTTGAGCGTGGCGGAACCATAAGGCAGACTGGCTTGGGAGTGGGGCGAGCTTTCGGTTTCTTGCTAAAAAGAGAAACACTTGGTGGCTGCCATGTCTACATGCTGCAGATGGGCGTCCAATCCATTTCGCAGAAGTTGTAATGGAGGAGTCCCGCGGATTGTTGGTTTAAACGATCTAACTGGGGCAAGATGCTGTCAATCCACAAAATTGCCAAAAGATGCCCCTGCTACTTAAAACAATTACACAGAGGCGTGGAAGAGATCTTGGGTGTCAATAACCAAATGTGCCATGGTCGAGATGACAAGACATCCTTTTTGCTGGGGTTAGTTCTTGGTGGCTCCCAGCCATCCCCTTAGCTTTTTAGCCTTTTAGTGTTTAGTGGGGGGGATTTGCATGTAACCCACTAAAAAGTTAAACACTCTTCGCGGGGGATCTGAAAACGGACCGCCCAGACTTGAGGACTTCTGAGGGGGCATTGGAAGCGGTTTGCTTCCAAGAGCCCCAGGGATTGGCAAGGTTTGACCATGGCACATCATAGGGGGCAAAATTTAATCACCAGGAAATGGACCGCAGGTTTTGTAGTCCTTGGTTCCATTTACCAGGGTTCCATTTACCAGGGTTCCATTTTGGGTACCCATTTTTGAACCACAGCCATATGAAAAAGACATGTTTTTTTGGTGTTGAGGGTTTCAAATTTGGATTTGTTCTAACACGACCCAAAAGGACAAATCAACATTTGGAGGGTTCTCAGCCCCAGAGACAACCGCATGTGACCTAGTTGTTAAGCCAAGCGCCCAGGTTATGATGGACGAGGCCAGGCGAGCGACGCATGGCTGGCCTGGAAGCTGGGTGAAAGTACCGGGGACTGGACCCCGACATTGTTTTACTGTTGGTTGCCGTTGAAACCGACCTGAAAGAAAAAGAGCCTAAAAACAAGCACCCTGCCGGCGGAATTTCGGCGTGGCGCTTTGTTGTGCGGTTTTGAAGCCGCACAATCATGTCGTCCCATTTTGAAACTCCTCGCTGAAAGCTGCCCCAACCCCGAACGAGTCTATGTGGGCCTATCGACCAAATCCATAGACCCCGGGGGAAGAACGATGATGTCTCACTTTGTCCCCGTTGGTTAAAAGCAAAAAACAGGTTTGCTACCCAACAGCACAGCGGGGCACACTTTTATTCCCGCGCCCTGGCCCAGAGATAAAAACCCAGCCGATGGCGGTCGGGTTTTTCAAAGGGTCCTGGCCATTGCTGAAAATGCGTTTCTTTCTCCACCGGCGCCGCAAGCGCCGGGAAAAAGGTTCTTAGCGCCGGGGTGCCTTTGCCCAAATGAAATGTGGGCTTTCTTGGAACGGTCATTCAGGAGTTTGCGACTGGGTTCCCAGAATCGAACCCAAGGGAATGGTCGGCGAATCTTCATCCATGGGTGTGACTTGTGTCAACGTTGGACCCCTCAAAATTGTGTGTCTCCTGCTGTGTGCCTTTGAAATCACCAAAAATGGGTACCACCGAAAGAAGACGCACTCGTATTTCCTTACCTTCCCTATGCTTCCAATGCCTTTTTTTTTTTAAGTAGGCGTTGTGACAACCTCGTTTTTGTTTTTGTTGTTTGACAAGACTATTTTTTGACGACCAGCGTCAGCCTCCATTTTGGACTGGAACAAGGGCTACGAAAGTCCGAAAGACTTGACGCTAAGGCCGCTCCATAGGATCCCAAAGTCAAATATGTATATACAGATGCAGCCACATATATATATATATATATATAATAGCTTATATATATATATATATGTTTCACAATTCGCACCGTCAATGTTGGCTTCCACGTTGCTTGGTTTCTTAACATGGCCATGTAGCGCGGGAAGGTGAACCCTCTTCTGTGATTTCTGTCCTCCTTCCGGCCCACCCCCTTGGCATAACGGGGGGGAAAAAACAAAAAAACAAAACAGGACAGCCCAAATCTCTACCCATCACGGCAACCCTTCCAAGATGAGGATGTTGATCTTGTGGGTCCCCTGTAAAAACTGCCCGTTCTAGGACATGGTGGTTCTACGCCACCAAAAAATGTGTTTTCTACTGTTTTTCTACTGTTTGTCTACGGTCACGTCGTCTTTGGACCTGTGTGAAAATTGAAGGGGAAAAACAAGCTCAAAACTGCTTGTTGTTCATGCCACCTGCGCAAATATCAGGGGCAATTTCTATAATTTGCTACAATGAAGGCTCTGTCTGCGCAAGACTTTCAGCAGGTGCATTGCGCAGACATAAGAAGGCACCCGATGACCCCACCAAGAAATAATACTTTTCGTAGCTAGCAGAATAATATGTGACTCCCAAGGCTACTTAAGAGGTTGCACTGGCAGGCGTACTTCTCGAACAACAAAATAGCAACCCAAAATGGACCCCACTGGCCAATGTCAAAAAATAGGAGTTGTCAATGCAAAAAATAGGGGTGGTCACAACCCCTATTTACAAAAAGTAGTCGAGGAAGCATAGGGCCTTGATGCTGCCGCGGAAAGAGGCCCCCCCATTTTTCGGACGCAGCAGGTCCCGGTACAAAGCTGGCTTGAGTTTCCCTTCACGCCCTGCCCAGAAGAGACCCTCCAAAGCATCCGTTCGCTTTTTAGCTTTTGAGTTGGTGTGGTTCGGTTTCAGTTCTCAACTTTTGGCAGATCTGAACACGGACAGCCTATAGTGGTTTTCTGATCCACGTCCGGGTTGCAACAAACATCACGTGAACATGTGGATCTTTTTTGAGTTGGTCTCCCTTCTTTGCGGTTTTCGCCGGGCTTTGGGTCCTATTTCTGAGTCGGTCTTCCTTCTGTGTGGTTTTCAAAACGAAAACCACGCAAAAATAACACAAACGAAGGCTCCGTTGCCCCCAAAAAACCGTTTTCTGGGCGGCTCGATCTCCATCCAGCGCTCGATCGATCGGATCGATCGCCATGGATGGAGCGAGGGAGCGGAAATCGGAAGTTCGAAGGCCAAGCACTTGAAGCTGTTCTTGGAGTCCAATGGCTCCTGCGCCCAGCAGCAGATGGCCATCAAGAAGCTCTTCCCCAGCGGCAGGCGCAGCAGCCCCGAATCTCTCCCTCACACAAAAACCGGGGGTCGCTTTGGGGGGGGGAACAGAACGGGTCAGCGGAACTGGGGGGGTTGCACCCCCAAACTGTTTGTTGTGTTTTTTTTTGGCAGGAGGCAAACTGGATAACTGAACGAGACCCGCTGGTCCTCGAAAAGAAAGTTGGTTGAACCATGATTGCTTTACCCAAAGTGTTGATTCATCATGGGTTCCATGAGCTCACCGATTTGTACCCTGAATTTCCATTTTTTTGAATAATGCTTTGTCCTGATGGAACATCCCTGCGATGCTATTTGGTTGGATCGTTAGACTTGAACTATCGGGGAGATGACATTTGCTACATACCTACCTACCTACCTACCTACCCACCCACCCACCCACCCACCCACCTACATACATACATACATACATACATACATACATACATACATACATACATACATACATACACACATACACACATACACACATACACACATACACACATACACACATACACACATACACACATACACACATAAACACACATACACACATATACATACATACATACATACATACATACATACCTACCTACCTACCTACCTACCTACCTACCTACCTACCTACCTACCTACCTACCTACCTACCTACCTACGTACATACATACATACATACATACATACATACATACATACATACATACATACATACATACATACATACATACATACACACACATACACACGCACATACACACATAAACACATACACACATACACACATACACACATACACACAGACAGACAGACAGACAGACAGACAGACAGACGGACGGACAGACAGACAGACAGACAGACAGACAGACATACGTACATACGTACATACGTACATACGTACATACGTACATACATACGTACGTGCGGACGTACGTACGTACGTACGTACGTACGTACATACATACATACACACAGACATACATACATGCACACAAAATACATGCATACATTGCATATATGCATACATGCATACATGCATACATACGTACACACACACATACATGCATTCATGCATACTTTTATACATATATATATATATATACATACAGATATACCCATGTGGAGGGCAAACAATATTGCATAAAGGGATTGTTTGGGATAGGACTAGTTTACAATTTGGCTTCCATTACCCGCCGCTTGCACAGGCACATGGTGCTGCACCGCTGCAAAGACTCGGACGGCTTCTTCTTCTGAGGAGCGGGGGGTTTTGGGCGGAGCCATTGGAGCGAGCTAATCCCACGCAATGCAGGTAATATGCACCCGCAACGATGCAAATGGGTCACATGTTGGTATATGGGTCCGTCTTTCTTAAAGAGGGGACCCCTAAGATGGGTGGTTTTCCTTTGGTTTCCCTTTAAAACGGACCAAAAAGGGTACCCTCAAAAAAAGGCCGACCCATACATCACCTACAGTCGGATTGTTTCTGTGGGAATGACCATTGGAAGGGTGTGGCCCTCAAAAAGTTTACCCATTTTGAGGCGGAGTCGGAGCGGACATGTTCGGAGTGGCCCAGCCAAGGGCGGGACAATCAGATGGACATGGCAAGCAACACCCAATGATTCCCCATTTCCCTATGTAGTAGGTAACCAAGGGAACCACCCTGTAAAACAACCAAAAGCAAAAGACGAAGGGTTGCTATCGGGGCTTGCCTGGGCACAACTGGGACATATCCAGATCGATTGTTGACATGTGTCTGAAGAGCATGGGAGGGGCTTGGGGGAGGAGGGGTCTTCATTCGCTCGTGGCAACCTTTGGTGTTTACGGTGGATAACCATGGCTCATGGCGCATGATGGCCTGGCCCAAGAAGCGGCTATTTGAGGGTTCTCTGGGACGGTCCGCTTTGAAGTTAGACCTGTGCAGGACCTTTCAGGTCTCCTGGGATTGCCTTTTGTTATACAGTCGACTAAAATTAATGATCACAAGTAAGAGCTATGATTTATTTTGTTTGCTTGCTTTTTTTTCGGGTGGGGGGGTTATAATTTACATTTTTTGTGATGCCCTTGATGTCCTGAAAGGTCAGTTCAAGTCGTGGGAATGTGAACGGATCACCAGGTGGTTTGGGCATTTGAACCTGTGGGTAAATCAACGTGTTCTCAGGTAGCCCCATCAACAGGTGGTTTGGATTTGCCAGGCTTTTGCAGAGGATAAATGGGAAACAACCCCGAAACCAATCCAAACCACCCGTTTTGAGGGAGCTGATTCTTCTGTAGGACGTTGCCCCAAAAGGGCTGCGATTCCACAGAAGGGACGAGGTGATTCCTCCGCTTCCATAAATCATTGGCGGCCAATTCTTTGACCTTCGGCGCACCTGGCAGGACACTGAATTGGGTACGAGACGTCGGGCGACCGCATAGTTTGACAAGTGAATCTGCCAAGTGGATCTGCCATTCTGCCTAAAGGCACTTAGCGGCAGGTGCCTCCTTTCACCCTTGGAGGGAGCATTATTATGATAATGTCCACAACCCTCGGTTGTGCAAGATCACGATTTGATCAGCGGCAAAAAAGATGACAAGAGGTGATTCTAAGGTAAGCCCAATCTTTGACAAAAAGCAAAGACGTTTCATGGCGAGGACAATTTCCTAAGGTAAGCCCAATCTTTGACAAAACAAATCCAAAGACGTTTCATCGCACCGCAGATTTCGTGAATCGAGATCTTGGACAGTCTTGAGGTCGACGGGTCGAGGCGTTCCACCTCTGGAGCTTTCGATCCAAATGTAGCGGGCGCTTCGATCATAAGGAGTGCCTGGCCAGCTGGCGTGGGCGCCGGTGCTTCAAAAAGTGAAGTCCTGAACCCCAACTCAGGCAGATTGCTATGAGATACAGTGGATGGGACGGAATCCTGCACCACCTAAGAAACCCTGGCATGATGAGTCCACTGTAAGTACTCACAAAAATTGGCTGTCCTTAAAGCGGTGCAGGATTTTGTCCATCCACGGTATTCGGATATCAGGAAAGAGAAGTACAGAGAGCACAACCTATCAATCAATGAAGCACTGGCATTCCTCCGGCGGCCACCCATGAAATCCGAGCCGCACTGCGCCACGCACGTCGCGCACGGCACCGCTGATCAAAAAAAGCTGCGCGGACGCTTGGCCAGGGCCAAACGTAAACGTTACAAATTGGGGGGGCTCGTCTTCTTTTTGTTTTGGTATCCCTTCTTGGTGGTGAAAGGCAAACCAAAAGGAAAACCATCATGTTGGGGAGTCCCTTAAAAAGAGACACTCAATTGGAGACCCACTGCAGAAAACCTGGCTTTCCCGGTATCCTTCAGAAACCAACCTGGTTGTTTTAGCCCTTTGGCTTCCCTTAAAGACCACACACTTCCATCAGGTATCGACTGAATGTGTCAAACTTAAACCACCAGGGACCACAGGTTTTGGTCTTTTTACCATTTTCCAGGGTTCCATTTCGGGTGCCTATTTTTGACCCAGAACATCAAATGTCTAAATCGAGGTGGACCGTCAGGACATATTCCACTTTTGATCTGAATCAAGAAAGCCAACAGCTGGCCCAGTTTCTGGATCCAAACGCGACCGGCGATGGACAGACACGCATGCATTGGGAGCTCAAGCCTCTACTTTCGATGTATGGTCGTGTTTCTCTATGCTTCCAAAACCGTAGGTTGTCGCCTCATCCAAATGACTAAATCTTTAAGGGAACCCTGGATAGACCACTTTGGAGGCGGTCCACCAAAGCCCAATAAATTTTGGAAGAGAGTTGGGGTTTGTTGTGACAGATACGACAGCCTTGGCTTCGGATTCATCCGGACCGTACCTGGGATGATCTCATTTCAGTGGGGGTTGAAATCGACTTCAGGGGATTCCTATCAGCCCCTGGTCTGTTTGAGAGGGAAAGTGAGGTCTATATAAACTGCATACCTTATGGTGAGCTCAAGGAAGGTGAGTTTTTTTTTGAATCACGGTCTAAACATCTGCATGCCTTATGGTGAGCTGGGGTCTAAACATCTGACCTTATGGCGAGCTCAATGAAACGAGCTCACCACGAGGATGGTCCTTTACTTGGGGATCCAATTCTTGTTTCAGATGTTGGAAGTCCTGTAAAACATGCAGTGCTGCAATCTCCAATGGTGCAACCCACGTTTCTAGTGACGTATGGGTCTGTTTTCACAAGGGGACCACTTTAAGCCTAGGTAAAAAGGGGACCCTCCAAAAAGCACCCACACACACAGCTGTCTTGTTTTGAGTGAGTGACTGGGCCGTTCTTGTTTGGTCTTCCTTTTTTAGGTTTCTTTCGCGCCTGCCACCAAGAGCATGCAGAACGCGTGTGCAGTTGATGGATCCCCCCCTTTGTCTTGGGTGTCTTCAGGTTTTCAGCAGGAAGCCTTAGGCGCCACTAAAAAACCCGGCGCAATCCCCGGCCGGCCCCACGTTTCGTGGTGTCCCACAGGGCGACGCGCGCGCCAAAGCGCCAGCGCCCGCGGCCGCCCAAGCGCCCGCAGGTGGTGCTGGACATGTGGCCTGCAGATGAGAAGGGCGTCAAAGCCTGGGCCGGCGCCCCGAGGACTCGAATCGACCTGAGTTCGGAGAGTTCTAGGCTAAGCATTTGGTCGAACTGAGAGAAACTCCGAGTGGCCAGTGGCCATGGAGTTGCTTTTTTCTAGGGTTGATTCCTTGTCCATTCTTTTCAAGCAGAAGTTCTTTCAACTTCCACAATCTGGACGTTTTCCCCGGGTTTCCAGCGGTTTTCTAGAAAGAAGGATCCCTGGAAAGAATGGGGAAGGTAGCACTAGAAGAGGTGTTCTTCCGCGTTATTTCGGCGTGCCTTTTTGTTTGGGAAACCCCCCTTGTTGGTAGGCTTTGAGGGGAAAAAGGGCTCCCCTGAAAGAGGACACACACTCTTTTTGGGGCTGGTGAAAAGGGAAACTCAACTTGAGCTGGTGCGATAGGTCGGTTTTTTGTTGGGGTCATTTAATTCAATGTACTCGTATTCCCTGCTGAGAACCAGCGAGTAAAGGAAGCCACCCGAGTTTTGCGGATTCCATAGTAATGTATGGCAAGGAGGGGGTGTACCTCTACCACAAGGACGGACCATAACCCATGTTCCATCATTTTTCCTGTGTACCAGACATGAGCGGATGTTGAACTTCTGGACCTTTTGAACCTTTTGGCTCTCTAGATTTGTCCTCTTGGGGGATTTGCGCATCACCTCTTTGCGGCTGCCTTTTGAGTTGCTTTCTGAACATGCATGGCACACGGCGGTATTTTATACCAAGCACCAAACGAGTTGGCATGAGTGTTTAGGACACGCCCACGCAACAAGGGGAACTCTGCCTAAGTTTGGATGATGCTTTCAACATGAGCCACTGGCTCAAGACGGGTTGGGTCATCTTAGTTGTCGGCAGCCAGAAATCGGCGGAGATTTCCGCCCTTTTGATTCTTTAGATTGACGTGATGTTTACGTACATTCCTGAAACACCGGGTGATGACTCAAGTGTGCCCCCGACCAGATCAGAAGGGGATGGCGATTTTGCTAGAAATCAAGACCAAAACATGCTCAGAGGTTTTTAAGCCTTCGCCACGGCGGTTTCAAACAGGAAGGCTAAATCACCGGCATGAGTTTTTTTGTTTTCCTCCGAGCTCCGTCAAGGTCCGTTATTTTTTTTGTCAATGGCTGATGAATAGTAAGTAGCCTCCATACCCAGCCTCCTCCCCAGGCCCCCGACGTCAATGCCTTAAGCTTTTTTGCGCCCACCTCTGTCTGATCAAGTTCCGTGGTCAACGATGAGCAAGCCGCCAGAGTAGAAAATTGGTGCAAGGTGCTGTTGATTGCCTTTTTTTTCCAGGGGCCAAACTTCTTGAAAGGTCGTGTGGCACACCTGAGAATTCCCCTCTCGGCAACGGTTTCCTCTAAACTCCGCTCTTGAAAACGGCCCGAACTTTGCACTTACACCAATTGGGGTTTGATCAATAAATTCCTGGCTCCCAAATGACCACGTGTACAGAGGTGCATTTTGCTTGGATGTTAGGACTTTAACTTGTTGCCAACTAATGGGTTTTCCATGAAACCACTAAAAGTTAAACTTTTAGCAGGGGAGCAGAAAGCTATATGTCGCGTGCAGTGGTGAAAGTCATCTTTGTCCCTGTACTTAATTCCTTTTGATCAACCCCGACAATGAGACTCACATGGCATCCTCATTGCGACAAAGACATTTGGTAAATCGCCAGGTTTGAGAGGCCGGGCTGCCCGGGGTGGTCCTCAAAATAGGGGCGCGTATGGTTGGTGTCCTTTTGGTTGCCCTTGATATTTTAACCAACAAAATTTCCAATACTCACTCCCTGAGGACCGTTTCTGACTGTAAACTTTTTGGGAAGACCATTCTAGAGTTTTGTTTGGCCGGTCCACTCAGGAAGCGAGCCAAATCCCTATTTTGAGACACACCCGGCAGGTTTCATCTTGACTGAGCCCAAGCTGTTTTAGGGCCCCGGTCGATGTCACGTCTCGTGCGATTTTAGGCCAAGGCCTTCAACCAGGACCGCCGGTGTCGCATCGTGGTGGTCCCGGGCCATGTCGGAAGGTATGCCAGATGTTAGACCCTTTGAGGCCCTATCTTGATCGGGGAGAGATCCTGCGTTGGGAAACTTGAGAACCATAGGAAGCTTCTGGATGATGGTTCAGCCAGTTAGCTGCGGCAGTAGCTGAAGCACTAGCAAAACAACTCGGACAGCCAGGTTTCTTTTTATCACCAAGGTTAGGTTTCAGACAACAGCCACCTTTGAGCTTCCTTGAATTGCGAAAGCATCGCTCCCTCCAATTCCCATGTGTCAAATCTGTTTCACAGAGCCCTGGGACAGGTTTACAGGGGAGTCCAGAAGGCTTAAATTTCAGCGGAGAGTAGGCGACAGAAACGCACAGCCCTGCCAAACCCTGACAGTTCTCCGTGCTAGGAGACCCCGCGCGTGGAGGACTCACGGCGTACCGTTGCGTTGGGGTGCGGGGGGTGGGGGGGGGGGAAGGAGAACATCAACATACGATGGACTATCTATCGCATTTGCTTGTGCAGAACACATGGCAAAGGACATCAAAAAAGCAAACGCATCTTTGCAACTCACTATCATGAAATTACCAAATTGACTCGGCAGCAACGAGCTGCTCATTGCTTTGAGTTTATATTGTAGTTGTCTCTCTTTTCTTGTTTCTTGGGTGTTTTTTGTTGTTGTGTTTAGCTGGCCACAAAAGGTCCGTTATTTTGTGGTAAAGTGGGATGCATAATTCTCATATGTTGAATACGTGTTAGTTGGTAGGTTGGCATTGTTCATGCAAAATGCGAGTGGGCCGCTGTCGCGGAAGGTTTGCAGAAGGGGGTTTGCCTCGCGGAACCTTCTCGGGATTTGTTTTTGCATTAAACAGTTAAACAAGGTACGCGGCAGGGTGTTGCCGGGTGGCAACCAAAAATCAACATAACTCTGGGGTTCCTTCCCCCCGTTAGAAGAATGGTTGGCCCAATTTGGGTGATAACAATCCTTTTAGGAAAATGACGGCGGTTGTGTTAACCGGGGCTTTAATGGTGGTGTGAACCCCAGGGATAAGTTGCAACAGAAGCCCAACATGAACAGCGCTGGCCTCCGAAGCCAAAGCACCCCAAACGTTAGCGCCGCGGAAGCTGGGCGGACGGGTTAAGAAAGCGGCTAGCGGAAGGTAAGGCTCGCGGAAGGTCATTTCTAATGTCATAAGTAAGATGAGAAAGTCAAGCACAAACTTCACGCAGTTCCCCCCAGCTGGCAGAAACAGCCAATAGGTCACAGACCATTTGCCATGGGGCCTGGACGGCTCAAGGGAGGGCAAACACATGGGTCGCAGTCAGATTTATTTAGGTCAGTTTGGTTGATAGTCGGATGTCACCAGCCCCTTTCACTTTTTTCTTAAGGTATGGGGATGCTTCCCTCATCCCAACTGGTGCGAAACGGATTTTGTCTAAACGGATTTTGTCCATCCACATTTACAATTTCATGGGGCCAGCAGGTTTGAACTATCCAAACATAGGTGTACGGTGGAACCCAAGTCCAAAACCATGTTGCAAGTAAACCGTACTCAACCAGAAACCACGGTAAATCACGGTGAATTGCAGGGCTCCTGATCCTTACTTGCAATATGTAGGGCGTCCACGCTTAGCAAGTCAGTCGTACAACTGTTGCAGCCTGAAGCGCATGAAGTTTGGGTACCTTGAGTACTGGCGTTGGCAGTAGAGGTTCCCCCAAGATCCCCAATGTGTGTTGCTACAGGGAGAGTCTTCGAGCCAAATACTCAACCCTCATATGGGTTTTTCTCAACATGGGGGACCTCCCCAAAAAAAAGAAAGGGGAAAAAGTGTTTTGTACTTAGGATTCCCTTTAGCACCACAGCAAAAAGGGTACACCTCCAAAAAAGACACACACACACAAACCTCTTACCCGCTATCCAGAGTTGGTCCCCCGAAAAAATGGATCAACAAATGTGGTCTCAAATTCGAGGATCCAGCCCCTTTTTGGGATGTAGAAGGCAGGGAAACCAACGCAAACCGGCAAGCCCCCAATTTTGAGACAAATCCAAACCCAGGCACCCAGAAGATCAATTAGGTTTGACACAATAGGGTGCACCTAGGGATCAGGGCCTATTTATAAGAGATACTGTGGATGGACCAAATCCGCGCCGGTGGATCGGTGATTTGCCCCGTATTCACAGTGATTCGTTCATCTTGACTGGTGATTCATCCACACCTTGGCCCCACCCCTGAGCTAAAAACCATAGTGCAAGTCGTGATCAACACATGGTGTAAACGTACACCTTTCCCCGGCGGAAGTGCTCATTGGTCCCGTAACGCTGGTTGCTCATTGGTCCAAGATGATTCACGTTGAAGCGCAGAAATTGGTTGGTGCAAAACGGGCGCCTTCCTCCGAGCATCTTGGAAAACACAAAACGAGCCCTGTTGATCGAGGACCGCGAAAGCGAAAGTTCGAGGCAGAACAGCATGGCTGGAACACTCATGGTGCGTAGCAAAAATGGGGGCTCCAGGCTTGTTTGTTTGTTTGTTTGGTTGGTTGGTTGGTTGGTTGGTTTGTTTGGTTTGTTTTTCTGTTTTTGAGGTACCCTTGTTAGGTGCATTCCAAAACCAAAGGAAAACCACCAATGGGCTCCCCCCCCCCCATTTCGACACATACCAATTTGTGTTTTGGTTTCTTCCCAGGACGAGGATCGGCACGAGGCCGCTTCGGGTGCCTGCGCCCAGAACGCCGCGCGAAGGCTTCAGGTTACCCTCGCCGAGACGAACATGGAAGCTCCCAGCACAGCTTTGGACTTGGTTCCATTTGGCTGTGGTTGTCAAAACCAATGGGATCTCATTTGGGGGTAGGTGAATTCACCACCCATTTGAGAACCTATTTTAGGGGTTGGGTTGGGTTGTTCACTGGGGGTACGATTTGGATTTTGACCCATGGCCCATGGCCATTTGCAGGGTCGGCCTGGGAGCTTCCATCTGAGGGACTGTACCCTTGGTTGGTGGTTTGGATTGGCGAAATGGGGATTTGATCTCCCCAGTTCCTTTGACGCCAAAAAGGTTATGGGGAAAGTCTTGAGGAGCTACCCTAGCTTCCAGACACCGCTGTAGGTAACCAGGTGAAACCGTCCTTGAACAACACCTGGTAACACAGGATGAAGGGTTACCGAACTTGTAAGGTCCCTCATTATGTACCCCCCAAATCAATATGACACCCATGCCAAGGGTTTCCCACTCAAAGGGAGATTCCGCGGATTCATCGTCGTTTGGGTTTCTTCCGATCTGCCGCATTCCTCAAGCTCTTCCCTTAAGCATCGAGAAACCATCCCAGTCGCTCCCCGTTTTATCCTGCTTGCTCCCGCTGGGTTCGCAAACGATCCAAAAAGCCAAGGTCACTTTTTCAAGCACATTCCCAAATGTTAAAAAACAAAACAAAAACAAAAAAACACGGTCATGTTTTTAAAACAACGCCACTTTTTCAAGCACACGGTTTCCCTTTGGTTCTTGGCTTCGGGGGACCCCCACTGCGGTGCATTTTCCCAAGGGATGTTAGACTTTAACCTTTTGCCAACTAATGGGTTTTCCATTAAACCACAAAAAAACAAACAAACAGGGGAGCAGAAAGCCACCGGGCGAAAGTGACGCATTTCAGAAAGGACCCGACCCGACCTCCACCCACGGCTCAGGTTCCGGCATGGAGCTCCGGTCTTTGACGCCTTCAGTGCCCGGCCCCCGGGTTGAGTTCGTTCATCCACAGTAAAACCGCCATTGTGTACCTAAGGATGTTTCCACATTGGGTCCTTGCCATTTTCATCATCCACATTGGGTCCTTGCCATTTTCATCATCCACATTGGGTCCTTGCCATTTTCATCATCCACATTGGTTCCTTGCCATTCTTTTAATGGGGGTATCCAATATGTTTTTTTTGTTTTTGTTTTTGAGGGAACCCAGAAAATGGTACAACACAGGTGTTTGGGTTTGTCGTCTTTGGAGGGAACCCACACAATGGGTGATGCCCCTTAAACTTCCTAAAACAACACCTGAAACGGGCACCTCCAAAGAACGACAGCCCCATATTCTGTTCTGGAATACTTGTTCGGGTCGACGAACCGTGGAACAGAGTCAGAAATTATGCTTGTCTACCCCAGATGTGGGCCAAGCAAAGGCCACCTACCAAGCTGACCAGTTTTTCCTTGCTGGTTCTTGTTCGCTTACCAGCCAAACAGTTCTCTTGCATTTTTGGAGGGCTCTTTTGTGAGGCCAAAGGGCTCCTTGTTTTGAATTCGTGAGGATCCCTGGATGAAAGATTTGGTTGGACCCTATTTGGAAGTGAAATCCCAACCCCCTCGAATGCACAAGCCCGGTTTTTGGGATGTTCTGTGAGCCAGCCCGCCTGCCCCACAGTCCCGCAACCATGCAGCACTTAAAGTTCCCAAAAGGACAACTACCAGCACCCCCCAACGACTGCTTGTTGGACACTTGAGACTTTGGACGTGGTTGAAACAGCAGGCCAGTTGGGGGTGCTGGTATGCCCGCTAACCTTTTTTTGTTGCCTATGCGACCGTTCGCCGAGAGGCAGAACCTCCGCATGGAGAGGTGGGGCGTCTCAGGAGTCAAAAACCTCACCGGGTCGGTGTGTGTTTGTTGTTGCGCAACCCCACCACCGTTTTGGGGGGTACCCTAAAAAACCGAGATTTGACACATCTGGCGGGTACATTTGGGTAACTATTGCATTCATGACATGGACTGTTTGGGATGATTACGCAGTCAAACACTACTGATGTTGACTTTTTCTGGGGGTTGTCACAGTCAGAAACTTTTGTTTGTTCCCTTAGCCTTCCACTCAGGAAATGAGGCCCTTTGGGGGTGGTCTCCGGCCTGTGTTCCTGCTGGGGTTCTCATGGCTTGCCGCAGTTTTCCGCCGACCCATTATGGGAAGCACCCAATTCTGGCGGGAGAGGCTTGCAAAACAAAGGGCACGGGTCCCATGGCGATTTTTCCTCCAGTCCGAATGGGGCGTCCCAAGTGTAAGGCCACTCAGGGAATCCGGGCTCCTGAGCCGTGAAAGGAAAGGCCACTCTTAGTGGACCTGATGCGGCTGTGGTTGTCAAAGCCAGTGGGATCCCATTTTGGTTGGTAGGTGAATGCACCACCGATTTTAGAACCTATTTCAGTGGGGATTGGGATGTTCACTGGCGGTACGATTTGGATTTTGACCCATGCCCATACTTTGGGGGGGAGAGCATGTGAGGCCGGAAGATTCACCCATCGAGCCAGCTGCTCAGTGGCCGAAGGACATAGGCTGCCTGGGATCTCACAGAGATGCCCACCAACCATTTTGTGAAGGAATTCCCTGCTACATTTCGATGTGTCTGTATACATGCATAAAAAATATATGGTACCCTTCCCCATCCTTCCCCCCATGGACCCTGTGCGATTGAAAGTTTGCTTGGTGGTTCCCCGCCATCCGGTTCCCTAGGTTTGTTTTATGCTTTTGCTTGTTGGTTGAGTGGTAGTTTTCCATGACCCGGAAGAAGAGCCCGGTCAGAAGAAGTCGTTTTTTGTGTACCCCAGATGGCCAAGTACTCAAAGTAGCTCAGGTTCAAAGATGTCGGCCATGGATTCCCCTTTCGACAAGCCCGGGGATTTTCCCATGAGCCACTGGTTGGTGAAGGAGCATGCGGTGGATGCCCTAGCTTTTGGAAGGGAACAAGGACGCCAACTAAATTGATGTCCATGGTTCTGTTGTTGAGTATGATTGGTTCACTTGCAAAATTTTCGCCGATCCATGGTATCCACCATGTTGGGGATCCTCAACTCGCCGGGCCGCGCGTATAGGATTTATGACGTGCGCCACTCAAAGTGGACATAAATCAATGACCATGTGCACCTTGTTTTGGAACCCATTGAAATGCCATTGGGCTGGCCGGGAACCCTACCCGATGCTCTTTGCTTCCAGTTCTGGTAGGGGATCTGGTTTTCGCACCTGTAGCCCAGTGGATCCATTTACTGTATATAGTAGGTATCCAAGGGAACCACCCGATATAAAACCCAAAAGGAAAAGTGCTGGTGACCTGCTGAGGTCGAAATCCTGCACCACCAAAGAAAACCCTGGTTTCTGATGACTCCCCCTGTACATGTCAACTAACAACGGTTGCAACCATGGATCCCACGTGGTTCGAAATGGATTTTGTCCATCCGCAGCTCTTCGGTTTGCCTGAGATCCACGGGGTAGGTTTGATGTCATTGGTGTCCCGGAAGTGGAGACTGAGGCCATCTCCGCGCGGCCGTCGCCTTAGGGACCCCTAACCCCCCGTGCGCCGACTCAAAGGGACGAATTTGGTGCACTGTGGATGGACAAAAACCATTTGGCACCACTTTGGAACCATGGTTGAAGTCGTTGTTCGTTGGTATTTGCAGGGAAATCATCATTTAATGGGTTTCTTGGGTGGTGCAGGATTTCGTGCATCCGCAGTAGTTTTAGCTGTAAGAACAGCAAAACTCACCCTCAAAGGGGCGTTTTGTTACTGTTCTTTGCATGTCGTACCAAACAGAGAATAGCTTGTGCGAACTGCTACTGTTCAAAAGTCGCCTACGGGAATTGCGAGGTTCTCCTCGCATGGCAAGGAGCTTTGAACAGAGTGGCAGCGTCAACTTTCAAAGCTGTGCGATAAACAACCAGTTCGCACCCTGAGCATGTCTCTCTGTTTGTTTGCTGTTGGAGGTTTTTTCACCCTATTTGGGCTTAGGTTAAAGGAAGCTTGAACGGGGGAACCACAAGTTGGGGGGTTCAGACACATGAAATGCCGTCCATGGCCTTTCTTTCCGCTTTCCTGGCTGAAGTCTCGGCTGTGCCAGCCACGGGGACTTGGTGGTTGCATACAGGTGATGGTTACCCATAGGCTGAGGAAGCTTGGATACCTCAAGTGTTGCGTTGTTGAAGGGCCTCGAACAGGGTGACCATTGTCTGGGTCCAGACAGGCTCAAACAATTGATCTTGTGGTGATTGAAAGAGAAGACACCACTCAGAGTAATGTTCGAAACCCCTGGCGCGTAAACTTTAAGGGACCAAGGTTTCTTTGATTTTTGTTGCGGGTATTGTTTGCCCGCACCTACCGCCGACACCACAACGCATGTGTGCAACTGCAAGCTGCATTGAGCCTTTGTTCTTTGCTCAAGGTGCGCAAGCTGCAGAAGTAGATCAAGATCAAGTTGCCCAACTTGCCAAAGAGCCGGAGTCTTAGTGGGGCGGGACGTACGGTGCTCAGAGCTCAGGTGAAATGCTTGGGCGACGCTGTAGCATGTGTTGGGAATGCCAAAAAATGCAAGGATCCAGCATGTATCATTACCGCAATTGTGTGGTTGCCGCGATGGAATTCGTCGGTTCACTTGCAATACGTAGTTTGAATCCACCAGGTCAAAGCATTGAGGTTGGAGTGAAAGCAGCCTCCAGCAAATGTCGTCTTCAAAGGTCCTTTAGATCGGACTAGCTGAGCTAGGCAATGCGCATAAGTTCCGCCTCGAGTTTGCGAAAGGTGTCCACTCTGGTTTCCCCTCCTTTGAAAGCCGATATGGGCATGTCTTTTTTAAGGGGGCCCGCCAAAACGGTGGTTTTGCTTTTGGAGTTCCAATATAAAACCGCAGACCGCGGGTACCCTCAACAAAGGTCACCCATTTTGGACAGCGACATAGGAACGAACGTGAGCGCACATCCCACAAGCTTGCTCCAAGGGATATCCGGGTGCTTGAAAGGCACTTAGTTCTCTACGGGGACAGGCTGAATTGATAGTCACGTTTCTTGAAGAGCCGAATCCAATTTAAAGGCGACACCTATCGGCCATGGAACAAGAGCATTTTCTTGGTTCAGAAGGTCACCAATTGGCTGTTCTGAGTTTGAAGCTTGCACGGTGAAGTCCAGCGTAGATGCCGTCCGGCAAGCTGCAACGACCAGGTATCCTTGAAAGGATGTTTTACTTTGGTTCCAATCATTTGACAGTAGACCGCACTAGACCCATTTGTTCAAAAGGACTGGGTATTGAATTTGCACTCTCCTTTCTTTCTTTCTTTCTTTCTTTCTTTCTTTCTGTCTGTCTGTCTTTCTTTCTTTCTTTCTTTCTTTCTTTCTTTCTTTCTTTCTTTGTCTCTTTGTTAGTTTGTTTGTTTGTTTGTATGTTTGTTTGTTTGTTTGTTTGTTTGCTTGCTTGTTTGTTCCTACACACCACGCACGGGCCGCTTCCTGCTACGGAGCCACGTTGCCGTTTCACCCTGAGGACGGAGAGTCTCCGCGATGAGCTCGCATCGGCCAAGGACGGGTCCCGAACGCGGTACCGGGTTTCTGAAACTTGGCGAGCCCGAGTCTCCTCCAGAGTCTCCTGCGGAGTGTTTTGGGGACTCCCCGAGGGAAGTGGTTTCCTTTTGGTTTCCCAGGAAAACCCATTTGAAAAGGGGGTCAAACCCCCATATAAATTGGGGACTCGGCAAGTAACTGGTTCCTTTTTTGGCCTTTAGATTCCATTTAAGAAGGGGTCAAACCCCATATGAGCGCATGCACTCACTTTTGAGGTGGTTCCAAGTCTCAAAATTCTATGGTCAGAAGGCCCTTTTTAGTTGAGTCGCTACTTTGTTGGGTGGTGTTCAAGGGAACAAAAAGGACACCAGAGCCTTTTACGGGGTGGGCTACATACACTGTATGATATAGAATCAGAACAGGTGTTCTGTGCATGGTGTGGGCCAACCGCTTCACTTCCTTTGGGCCTTCATGAGGTCGCTCATTTTGGGGAATAATATATATATATATATACTCATCTCTTTGGGCGCGGCCGGAAAAAAAGTCTGCAACTATTGATTTGTTTTTTTGGGGGAATTCTAGAACCTCCTTGGATTTAGTTCAGGCTTTGAGGGCTAGGTCAAAGAAGGCCGTCCGTCGGCGGTGGTTGTTGGGCCCAGCCATGGGCCAAAAGCAACTCGGAGAATCATGCGCCATGGGTTTCCGCAAGTCCTTCAAATCACATCCATATCAGGGCCATGTTTCCAACCAACCTCGAACCTGCTCCGCCTTTTTATAAACCTATACCAACGGCGATGGTTGAAAGTGAGTGACTTGCTTCCCATTTGGCTTCTTTTAAACACGCACACAATCGGAGCATGAATTCTGTTAACAGGGGTCATTGCCACCTTTATATGTGACTCGGAGAAGCGTTTCCATCAGGAGTGTTTAGCATAGATAAGTTTCCCAGAGCACCGCTCTTCAAGCTCCGGTGATCCAGTTTTGGTTTGCAAGGGCAGTGTGATGTAGTGTGATCTCATTCGACATCTCATTTGACTCCCCGACATGGAAACCCCCGTACCTACATCCCTGGCACATCTCAACCTGGTAGCTATCCCTCCCTTTTTCGCCTGTGTCGATCCAACCCAGTGTTTCTATTAGATTCCGTGTCCCTGTACAGGTATGCAAAGAAGCCGCCCTTCCTGGCTGGGAAACCTCATGTTGTTGTTATTTTGTTGTTTTCGGTGGGACCCCTCAAAATTCATGGTTGTCCTTTGGGTTTCAAGAAGAAAAACTAGCAAATGGGCGCAGCCCCAAACCTGGAAACTGGCTTCCCTAAGGCTCCCGATTGTCTTTGGGCCCTCAAAATGGGTTGTTTTCAAGTGCCTTTGGAAGGTCCGGGTTGTTCATCAGAGGGCCCGGGGGCCTGCATTGTAGGGGTCATGAGCCTTAGGCTTGAAGAATTCCTCTTGGCGATTGGCTGGGCCAAGCTAAGCCAGGAGAGGCAGACGAAGGCCCTGGAAGAGGCAGAGGCGAGCCGGAAGATTTTCCGGCGAATTCCCGTGGATTCGGACCAAGCCGAAGAGAATTCCTCCCTAGGGTTCAACCCCAATTTGGATGATGACAATCCTTAGGAAGACAATGGTGGTTATACTAACCCAACCATTGCTTTAAGGCCGGTTTGAACCCCAGGGTTGGGGTTCCAGACGGATGAAAAGAATGGCCTTGGGACCCAATTTGGATGAAAAGCCTGAAGGCTAGAGAATGGTTATACGAACCCAATTGGTTTAATGGTGGCTTGAACCCCGGGGAATTGGGAAGTTGGGCTTACCTTACAACACTTGGACATGTTTCCCCATTTCTCCAGAGGGCGAACAAGCAAATGGAGGCGTTCAGAGGGTGTTCATCATGTTTGGATGGGAACACGGAACACCTCCTACTAATAGGACGGGTTTTCCCATCCAGGTCAACATTATATACTTGGGGAGCACTTCATTTCTTGCCAGGGGAACCAAAGAGGCACATGTGGGGTATACTAATCAGTGTACTGTCCTGATCTTTGCCTTGCGGTGCTTAGGAGCAACCAACAGATAAATCGATTGCAGCAGTCTCGCCCGTCCTGAGTGATAGCATGGCTTTGGCTGATCACTCAGGTAGATTCAACAGTTTGTTTTTCCACCCCCACACCACGCCGGAGGCAACGTTTAGTATTTGACTGCACATGGCAGTTCTAACATGACACTGTGGACGGACGAAATCCTGCACCACTTTGAAAGCATGGGAAACCATTGTTTGCTGGTATTTACAGGGGAACCATTATTGCAGGGTGTCCTTGGTGGTGCAGGATTTCGTCCATCCACAGTAGCTCTAGTTATAAAGCCCTTTACCTCTGGGGTTTGACACGAAGAGCTCCTTTGAGTTTTCAGTCCAGGGGTCATGTTTTGATGAAAGCAACGGGACAGGTGATGGTAGGAGCATTTCTTGCCGGCTTTCGTTTCGGTTCTTTCACCAAAACCAACGAGACGGGCCAAATGGACGTCCCAAAGGGGACAACTCGCTGATGTCCTTTCTTTTTCACGTTGGCTTCCTCTCCCTTCGGTTTCCCTGAAGCCTCTTTTTCGGTCTCGCCTTTGGGTTTTCCGTTGATTTACTCTGCTAGGTCCCGCAGCAATTGGTGCCCTTCTCTCCCCATTTTTTTTTTTTGGAGGGTTCATTTCCCTAAAATAGACTTTTTGAAGAAAGCTGGTACCCGTATTCCAACCTCTCCAATCTGGAGGACGTCTGGTAATTATCCCTCCAGCAGACCAGTCAAGCGGCTTGGTGGGGTCCGCATGTGGCGAAATCTTCAGGCGCTTCGCAAAGAGCTGAGCGCGGGGCTCGGGCGCTTTTAACCGGCGCTCCCGGTGGAGCGTTGCCGGAAAAGGAGGGAGGGCTCCCAGGCATCGGGTTCCTTAGCCTGTTTAGTTGTCACCATTGGAACAAGGCTTGGGGGGGTTGGGTTGATATATATCCGGTACTTGCCTAAGGGTTGCCATCATCCAAATCGGGTCAACCATTGCTTTAATGGGGATTGAATTTTAGCCCGGGGTCGAGACCATGAAAACAGCTGGGTTTATAGAAGCGCCGTTGTTTGGTTTCAGGGTTGTCATCCTCCAAATGGGGTCCTTGCCAAGGCCATGCTTTTAACGGGGGCGTTCGGGGCCCAAGGGCTGAGCTTCACTGCTTCAAAGTCCCGGGGGTCTGCAGCTTTCGTCCAACAAGTCAGTCCCTTTCGTCGCAAGAGGCGAAAAACCAATGGGCATGGGGTGCACAACCTATGGCGATCCCATTTTGGGCTGGATGAACATCCACTTGCCACCTATTTCGTCGTTCGCCAGGGGTTTCCTGGGTTTTGACCCACAGCCAAATGTTTGCGGGTGCTCTTTGGATCCGCGCGAGATCCCTCGGCTTTGGGGGAAGCACGCGCCAGCAAAATTCCATCGAAGGTGTGGGGACTTCCATTTGCGAAAACAAATCTTTGCATTTGCCCCTGTTGGTTTTAATGTTGAAGGGAATCTGCAACACTCCTCGACATATTCTCATTTTCTTGTGGGGGAAAAAGCACATGGAATGGGAGGTTTGGGACTTGACAGAGCAATCGGCCGGATCGATCCCATCCGCAGGATGCAAGTTACCCATTTCAGCTGATACTCGCCGCTATGTTTGTTGCAGCGCTTTAAAGCCAACCGAATGCTGCAAATGCACACATGAGCCAGACAACTTGTTATTTGCTTTCAAGGTTCAATCGGTTACACCGATTGAGTTGGATTGTATCCGTATTGCCCCATGCATCTGATTTGCAGTCTCTCCATCCAATGGGGGTATTCGGTGCCTGCAACGAATGGATCTGCGCAAACACTCCGACTTTCATCGGCACACCATTGCACAGATACGTGTACATGTATATATAGATGGATGTGGTTGTCTTTTTTCGATGGTACCCTGTTCGGGGTTGGTTTAAAGGAACACCAACAGGACAACCACCATGGGGCCTTGGACCTTAAAACTGGGTGGCTCCCAACCATCCGCTCGCGCGCTTTCTGGCTTGTGAGTCCGTTTCAGTGGTTGCGTTTCCATTTAACCCACTAAATGTTTCAACTTTTAGAAGGGGATCTGAAGACGGACAGCCCAGTCACCCTTTCATCAGTTGGGCTACCTTCCCCCCCATTCCCCTTGGCCGTAGCGCCCAAGATTGAGTTCTGAAATCAGAGCACAGCCCAGAAAAAAGACACCATACACTATATTATACATATATATATATATATATATATATATATATATGACGGTCTTTTTGTTGACGGTTTCCCCTCTTTGAGGTTGGTTTTCACCCGGGGAAAAGCAAAGAAACGAACAAAAAACACAACGGACGGGGTGCCAACCTAAAAGAAACGACGCAGCGAACGACCGAATTCCGAGGCGATGCCAAGGAGCTGCAGAGAAAGGCGGTTTTGGGCGCAACCTCGGGACGCGGGTGGGGCGTTCCTCTCTGCGCATTTGCGAAAAAGGGAATGTTTGATTTTTGTTCTCCCCTGTTGCGTTTTAAAGGGAGTCGTTCTTTTTTTGTAACCTGCTGGACACATTTTGTCATTTTCTGCAGGGGGTGAAGCAAATGGAAGGTTTTTGCGAAGCGGCTTCCTATCCAGAAAACATGGGCCCCTTGCTCAGGTGCCAAGCGAGCCTCAGCAAGTAATCACTTTTGGCACGGAGGTGTGGCCAAGGCAAAAGAGAGGGGAGGGCAGATCGCATGTGCCCCTTGCCGAATATCCCCCCAGTGGCTTGCCTCAAAGAGGTATCGTGGACCCTTGGTGACAGTTTGACGGGAAAGTTGATTTGTTACGCCCTGTTGAAACCATGGTTGTGGGACATGTCGTTTGGCGAATCTTTGTGGTTTCAAAGTGACAAAGTCGTCCATTTCACGGGAATCCCCTAAGTGACAAAGTCGTAGGGTTTCATTTGAAACCCCGCGAGGGTAAGCGGGAAAATCGTCTTAGTCCCAACCCCAGAGAGGTTTTGGTTGAGGACTGCCATCACCTGCTGCTGTGTCCTCTCTGAAGCTTTCCTCAGTTGTTCAGTGGCAGCAATTCTTTTTCTCCTTTTTTTTGGGTGGCTTTTCCCCACTAAGAATGGTCCAAGCCCCAAGAAGGGTCCCCTTTTTTTCCAGGGTCACTGAACAACTGAGCGTCGATGAATCTTTCCCAGGAAAAAAAGGTCATTTTTCTTGCCATGGACGTGATATTTGAATGTTTCTTTGTACTTAGGGTTTGCCCTGTTTGGGTATCTCCACCCCGTTATAAACAGAATTGGGGAGAGGGGGTGATCCCTGGAATTCCATTTCTGGTTCCATGTTTCCTGTTATGGGGAAGACTAGAGAAATGCCACCCCCCTCCCCCTTATGGGAAGGGCATCAGATGAGTGTCACTCATTGCCCATGTGGGGGTAGATCCAAAGGTCTTTTACGTGGGATGACCATTCAGGGAAACCACCATGAAACAACTTGGTCCCCCAGTGCCCTTTCTCACCCCTTTGTTGGTTGGGAGATTCGGTTCCCCTATACTAAAATAGACAAAACCGAAAAAAGTTGGCACCCTTCTTCCAACCTCTCAAGTCTGGAGGACCTAGAAAAGATGATCTTTCCCACTTGCAAATGGGACAAGTTGCCCATGGTCAAAGCTTTTTCTGCCGAACAAAAATTAGATCAAGCCCTATGTCGGACATGGCCCTTCGTCAGGTTGAAGCGGAGGTGGATCAGTTGCAAGAGCGGCGAGAGGCGGGCTTATTTGGGTTGTCAAGCATATGGCTGTGGCTCAAAAAACCGGTACCAAAATGGAACCCTGGTAAGTGGAAACATGAACCAAAACCTGCGTGACCCCTCCTTTTTCATTTTGAGCCACACCCATATGGACCCCTTTTGGAGCCCTTTTCACAGCGGAACCCCAGGTAAAACCATGGCCCAAGAAGGCTACAGGGTACTCATTTTTGACAATCCCCCGTATACCTTCTTCGGGGTCTCCAACACTAGTTAAGTAGGGGTATGACTACCTATGATACATCATATCTGAACAACTTCACGGTTGCCTCGTGTTGTTTTTGTGGGCGCCCGTCGAAGTAGATCCTCACAAGGAAATTACTTCCATGACCGAAGAGTCCTGGCATTGGAGTCGTTTGTCGAATCTCTGAGGAAGCTAAAACAAGCAAACCGAGTCGCAGGAGAACTGACACATGAAGGCTACTTGGGAATTGCTAATGGGTTGGATCTTTAGACGTTAACTTTTGGTTGAAATCAAGGGGTTTTCCACTAAACCCACAAAAAGTTAAGCTTTTTGCAGAGGGGTCAACAGCAACCAAGATGAAGGCTACTTGAAAATCTCTGATTTGCGCTGAACTTGTTGGAATTTGATTTGGCATTTGCACCTGCAAATTAAGATCAGTTCTTCTCCGGTGCGGACTTGCAACCCGAAGGAATCACTAGGCCGGATCGAACCTTTTGATTTCCATTGTGTGTGTGTTTCTTGCCAGCCAAATACCTCCACTTAGCTTATCAGTATTGGAGGAAGCCAAGGTTTTTTTACCTCTAGGCATGATGACTTCATGGATCTGCACTTTTCGTTTGGCCAGCATGGCAAGAAGCACTGAACCGATGACCCAACAGCTTGAAATGCGAACGCCAAGTTGCTGTTGGCCATAGTACGCGATTAGTAAGTTTTAATTACCTCTATCAGGTAGGCCGGGTTTGGAAAGGATTCCTGGCCCTCCCTTGGTTCTGAAGGACCCCTTTAAACCCACCCAAAGACATCCTCAAAAGGTACCAAGGGACCCTCCGGGTGCGTGCAATGGCCAGTCAACGCGCGCGCAGGAGTTGCTGAAGCAGAGCACTCAGGGCCGGCCTTTTCACCCGAAGCCGCTTCCAGTTGAGTTTCTGACGATTTGTCCTCTGGGGTTGTCTTTTCTTGGGGTCCCCCCCCTGTTTGGTGGTTTTAACAGAAAGTCAAAAGGAAAGCCGATCTTTTTTGGGGGGGTCCCAGAAAATAAAGACACGACCATATTTGCCTGGTGTTTTATGGGAATCTTTAGAGGGTCTCTGATGATGGCGTAAAGGGTCCTTTGGTACCTCCTTAGAAGGTATCAGTGCTTGAATTGTGTTGTTATTTTTCCAGGCGCTTTTATAAGCCGTTCCTCAACTCACTCCTCTGAACCCCACGCAATCCATGTAGGTACTGTACTACATTTTAACATTTCAACTATGAGAGTTTCTTGTGGATAAATGTTGCCCACATGGGTTGTTTGGGAGGGTGCCTGCTAGTTCCCAGAGAACAAGCCGTGAAGCCTTTGGGTGCTTTGTTTCCAAAGCAGACAAGAAAGCAAGCTCGAATCAATGCTCCGGGGGGCGCCTCTCATCCCATCCCAAAAGTCCGAAGCCTTGCCCCGGTTCAAGTTCGCAAAAGGTTCGGCCCCGGTGTGCGAAACCCTTCCGGTGAGGCACGCATCCAAAGGCGAGGGCCCGAGACTGCGAGAGCTGTGAGAGGGGCGCGAGCCATCCGATAGCCGCGGGGTGAAACAAAATCGGGTGGCAAAAGCATGCCGCGGTGATGTCTTTCCGACCCGTCTCGACTTCTTGAGTTCATGGACCTTAAACTTTTTGGTGTTGGACCATTTTAGTTGCAAATACAAAAAAACATATACATGTTTGGACTTCCATCCGCTCAGGAAGTGCGATAGGAAGCGCTTGCCAGAGGAAACCTTTGAGCCTCGTCCCTGAGAAGCTCCTCCCTTGCAAGGGATCCGACTGGGATCGAAGCGTTTGCAGTTGGCGGCTCGAAGGGAAGCAGCTGGGCTAAGCTCGAGTCGAGTTGAGATTTGGGTCGATATGAGGCTAACGGACATGACTTCAAGGTATCACTTGGCCCTTGAGTCGTCCCCTATTGGTCTCTCGTTTGAACAGGCGTTTTGCCGCGCAAGCGTTTGGTATTTACCGTATTTGGTATACGTGTTCATTTCCAAAGAACTAGCCAGCGAAGAACTTGACCGCAGACGTTTGGACATGGACGTCTTGCTACTGCGCACTGCTCTTTGACTGGCATTTAAAAGGGGACCAAAAAGACACACAGCCATGGGGTGTCTCCCCAACAGACACATCCTGTGTCTGCCGAAGCTTCTTTCATGGTTTTAACGGTGAAGACTCACCTGGCCGATGAGATGGCTGCGAGCTCTGATCATTGCAGCGTTGCTCGTTCTCGGATGCCTGTCCTGGTGCCATTGGCAGAAAGGTCCATAGTCTTCTGGCATCCTACAATTTGCGCCTGCCTTTTTAGCGCTTCTTGCCTTTTGGGGAAAAGACTTATATACCGTTTGGCCTTTTCAGGGCGCTTTTTCCCTTCATTTCCACCTGTCAACCAGTTTTGTTACTTGTGTTTCCCCCCCACGTTTTGCAGGTCTCACGACTTGTTGTTCAGGTGCGCAAGACTTCTCGGCGAGTGGCAAGACCTCACACCTTCCGTGTCGGAAGCTGCCTTTCTTGCCATGGCTTCACGATTGCTTCGCTGTTCTTGGCAGTTGTTTTTGTTTTTAATGTGTTTCATGTTGGTGGGGGGCAGGCTTGATTGGTTTTGTTTGAGTTTTTGTTCGTTCTTTGATCTTTCATTTTGGTAGGTGGCGGCATTTCTGTGTTCCCCTCATTTCTCGGCGAGTGGCAAGGCCTCACACCTTGTGTGTTCCCCTCATTTGTTGAAAAGTAAGTGTCTGCACAAACCGGCCGTCTGTTTGCTCACATGCCAAGGATTGGACAGATTTCCCACTTCCAGAGGCTCTACTTGGACGAGCATATCTCCGGTGACAGCGGCCGCCTCTCTTCCAGAGGCTTTGCAATTGCCCAATTCGAGCGTTGCAGAAATCATAGCGTATCCGAATACATCAAGTCGGACAAGCACACCTTTCGCAGAGGCTGTCCTCCTTGCCATGCCAGAGGCGTCACCGTTGCCCAACTCTACCATCTCAGAAAGCGCGCTATTCCCGGGTACAGCAGCTTCGACGAGCACACCTTCTGCGTCAGAGGCTGCCATCCTTGCCATGCCGGAGGCTTTGCCCATGCCGAATTCCAGCATTAAGGGAGCAGCTGTACTGACTACATCCAATGCCAGCAACTACAATCAGGCGGCCTGTCAGCGTGAGGCCTGGGCAACCTTGTTTTCGGCCACAGACTGGGACACGGCAAAGACGTACGCGCTTCTCACCACAAGCCATATTATGACCAGAAGCTTCCTCCATGTTTCCTTTTTTGGAGCTACCCAAAAGTGACAGTTTCAATGGACACCACCCGTAAAAGGGGAATTCCCGTGCCCTGTTTGATTTATATTTCAACCCGCCTCAGGCTGGAAGAACCATGGGGCAACCAACGAAACCGATGGCGAAAGACTTGGCAATCATACCGAAGGGCTATCTCAAAGGGGGGTTTTTAGGGGTCTTTTGGTACGGACCCTTTGGGTACTATAGTGGCTTGCCCGGAAGCACCGGGCCAGGTTCAGGGACCAAAATGTCTTGGGGCTTCTTGAGGCTAGCCACCCTGGTGTTGCGGGACAGCGTGCGGAAGTTCGAGCTGTGCGACCGCCCCGGTCGGCGGTTCTTTGTGTTGCGCAACAAGAGTCTGGGAGAGCCGCATGGCGAATCCGTTTTTGACGCCGAAAGCTTTGTAATCAGAGCTCTTTGAAACAACCTAGAGTCTCCATGACCCTTAAAAAATGGTTGGTCATGACCCTAAATCATGGTCTCAGTTGCCCAAAGCCGACCTTTTGACCTTTTGGTTTCTCCTTTTTGGTCTAGTTTTAGTCATGGCCCCAAAAAGTTTATTTTTTTTTTATTTTTGGGTCCTTTGTGCAAGTGAGTGGTTGGTCATGGACCCATTTTTAAAAAGTCAGAAGGAGACTCCAGGAAGCGGCTTTTCCATGAAGCCGTCCCGATCCCTAGGCACAAACCTAGTTGAGCGTGGGGTTGATTTTGGTGCCGCTCTGTACCCAAATCGAACTTGCTACTGTGGATGGCCGAAATCCATTTCGCACCACCCAAGAAACCCTGGTTTCTGATGATTCCCCTGCAAATACCAACAAACAATACTTCCTATAGTTTCAAAGTGGTGCGAACGGATCTCATCCATCCACAGTAGGGATGCTTTGGTTGAACGTTTTCGAGCTTTTGCTTATTTTTCGCTGAGGCCGGAGCAATGGGCCGTGGAGACTTTGCAAAGCCATGGCTTCATTGACCTTCCGCTTTCCATGGAGGCAAGCAGCGACATATTCTGGGGTTAACTTATCACCATTAAACCAATGGTTGGCTTAATATATAACCTCCATTATTTATCTAAGGATTTTCGTCATCCAATTTGGGTCAACCATTCCTTTAATGGGGGTTGAACCCCAAAGCATAGCTAAACTGACAAGTTTTGGTGGCACCCCGTGCCGCAATTTAGCTGGAGGTAGACCGACATAGCTGACCTATTTGGAGGGTTACATGTGGACAACTATTGCATACATGGATTGTTTAGAACCATGTTTAGTCCATGGTCAATGTTGAATTTCCCATTGCAACTAGAGATCCCCTTTTCTTGCTGGTTCGATGACCCTCAACTATCTCTTGTGTGTTCCTTTTGGGGGATGGATTCTCAAAGCCCCCTCAAGCGATTCCCCGAGAACCTTTAAGTCTTTTTCCGGGTCCTGTTTGTTTTCACCATGGGAACATGTTTTTTGTTTCTGTTCCCCGAACAGCCGAAACGTATGGGGTGTTTGCCCAGATAGGCTGGGCAGCTTCAGGGGGGGTTGGGGGGATGCAGAGGATTCCGGGTCTTTTGGGGATACCACCTGGGCTTGTTCTTTCTCCGGGACGGGTTTCTTAGTAGTAGCCAAATTCCAGTTTGGCACCACGTCGGTTTGCCCGACATGTTGCCCCCCTACTGTGGATGGACGAAGCCCATTTCGCGCCACCCTAAGAACCCCCTGGAATGATCCGATTTCCCTGTACCTAACAAACGTTATGGTTTCAACCATAGTTTCAAAAACGGATGTCGCACTCCACAGTATGGGACCAAAGCGTTCCTTTGAGGGTGCACTGGGGGTTAATCGAGCTACCATTGTTTACCTGAGGAATTACATCATCCAAATTGGGCCAACCATTCCTTCAATGGGGGGTTGAACCCCGGGCAAGCTGGGGTCTTCAGGTGCCCTACCAGAATCCGAGCCGCCCCGAGCTGGCCGTGGGCTGGCTGAAGTTGGCGCTCTTCGAGCTGGAGTCGGCCTTCGACCGCGTCGTGGTGCTGGATGGCGACATGTTGGCCACGGGGCCTTTGGAGTCTTTGGCGCATTTTGCTTGGACTTTAGGGCTTTAACTTTTTGTCAACGAGCGTTTTCCATTCAGCCACTAAAAGTTAAACTTTTAGCAGGAGCAGAAAGCAACCGAGAACAAACCATGGGTTTGCACAACTTGCGGTCAGTGCTGGAGATGGCATCCACTTCTGAACGTGAAAGAGTATTAAACGATTTCTAAAGAATGGGCCAACAAGGGGAAGCACTTTGGTGAAATCCACAAAAAGCAGCAGGGAGTGAGAAATGGAATGACCCTCATAAACCATCCAACTGGTGGTTTCCTTTAAGGGAATCCTCATTCCCTACTGAGCACAAGCAACGCAACTCGTGCGTTGTTTCTTTCAACTCAGCCCAGAGCAAATCGACCTAGCATAGCTTTGATTGATTTCCAGGTTTGCTCATTTTTAGTCATGGCACCAAAAGGCTAGCCTTTTATTTCCAGGTCCTTTGGGCAACTGTGTTATGGTTATAGAACCCAACACATTCGGTGTCCTTTTGGTTTCCGTCAAACCAACCCGCAAGAAGAAACCCGCAACCAAAAGACAGAGCATGACAGAGCCATGCTACCTCTTGAGTTGTTGCTTAGAACCAACCAAAGCAAAAAGGGGTTCCCTCAAACAACGTGACATTGCACCTGCAAACCCGATCCCGCTTTTAGGATCGGAAAATCTCCTTTTGGAAAATTGACCCCTTTTTGGGGTTCCATGTTAGGGGAAATCATGGAAGTGGACAAGAGTGTGAAGAGGAAGATCATCCGCTTGGCTTCCGCTCCCCCAAAAGTCCGCCTCCACGATTGGAAAGAAGATAGTGCAGTTTCCAGGCTCAAGAACACCATGGTCCTTTCTTTACGGCTATGTGTTTGGATCTTTGGACCTCAACTTGTTGGGAAAGCGTGGGTTTTGCACGGGACCCACAAAAAGTGACACTTTTTACAGAGGGGTCGGCAGCAACCAAGCTGTTTGTTCCATTCCTTGTTGATACTGAGAACCACCTAGTTTTCTAGGGTTGATTCTCCATTCTTTTCAACCATCGTTGTTTTCAAAACCAGCTGTTTACCCAGGGTTTGGGGGTGGTTTTTAAGAAAGAAGGATGCCTGGAAAGAATGGAAATGGAAGTTTGAAGTGTCCCCTAGAGCAGAGCTCTGTGAGGCTTTCCTCCATTTTCCTTTTCGGAACTTAACGGCGATCGTTTCAATAGACATAGGTAGCCCTAGAAGTGTTCACCCGCTCGCAAATCCGAGGATCACGCCTTCTTCCCGCGCTCCCACCCGGCCCCGCTGCTGATCACCAGCGCGATGCCCTTTGCCAGCCCCCGGAGGCCGCGGACGGAGCCCGAGAATTTGGACATTCCCGGCCTGAAACATATGGCCGTGGCTCAAAAAACCGGTACCACAATGGAACCCTGCTAAGTGGAAACATGGACCAACACCTGCGTAACTCCTCCTGTTTAATTTTGAGCTGCGCCCATATGGCCATGGCTCAAAATCCAAACCCAAATCGTAATTACCCCCAGTGAACATCCCAATCCAACCACTAAAATAGGTTCAAACATGGGTGGTGAAATAGTTCAGCTACCAACCAAAATGGTATGATTGGTTTTGACCCACGGCCATATTCGAAGGCCTTTATCAACAACTTAGGTATAACATCTCCGTTTTCAGTATAAACTGAACGGCCTTGAATTCAAATGGTTTTCCATTTAGAAAAGCCTTGACTGTCTTCAACAGGTCCAACCCTAACATTGTCTGAAGCAAACCTTCGAGATGTTGTTTTTTCCTGCATGATGGGGAAACCTCATGTTCGAAGAACCTTTGTCATCATGTTCACCTTTTGGCAAAACGCATTGGACTTTCCCATTTGCAAAGCCCAGTGTAGCAGGCAACCAGGTTGGTTTACCTAGGTTTTACATCATTGTCCTGGCTACTGTAGAGCTAAGTGGAAGCACTAGGTTCCACTACCCTAGGGTTCAACCCCCATTAAAAGAAAGGCAAGGACCTAGTTTAGATGATGACAATCCTTAGGCAAATTCATGGTGGTGAGATATGAACCCAATCATTGTTTTCGTGGTGGCTAGGTTTCACATGAGATGTCGAGGTCAGTGAACATCGGGGTGATGTCCATTCGGCCCTCCAAGGGAGTCTTTGATAAGATCTTGGCAGAGCTCCATTCCTTCGACGGGCGGGAGGACAAGCCGGACGACCAGGACCAGGGCTGGCTGGAAATGTTCCTCCGCGCATGGGGTGCATTCGGAGGCGTCTATGAGGAGGGCTGCGTACCAAGACCTGAGTACGCGAATTTGGGGCTGGAAGGAAGAGAGGATGGAATCGCTTGGTGCTTCCATCCAATCGAGTACAATGTCTACGTCTCCGCCAGCAACGCATCATTCCTGAAGAAAGCGCTGAAGCGCGGCTCCCCGAAGTTGCTGCACTGGCCAAGCAGGGGGAAGCCATGGTGCATGAAGAATACATACAGAAGCGTTTTCGACCAGCTGTGGTGGCAATCAGCGAGGCCCAGCTTGGGTTTGTTGAAGCTACGCTTGGCCACAGTATATGCCAGTTGCCAAGATCTGACGCAGCTTCGGACTCAATCCCCAAACGAATGGCAGTCCATGCTGGAGAGGCGGCGGCAGCTTGACCAGGTAGTGGACTGCCAAAGACACGCCCAGGAAGCCCAAGGATTGCTGCAGAATTATTCCCTTTTGCATCCTTCTCACTGGCTGCCGCCTGTTCTGTCGGCTTGGATTGACAACATGCCATGTGGCTTGGATTTGGAAATGGAGACGCCTTTGTTCCCACAAGTGGTCCATTCCCCGACGCCGAGTTCCTTGGCGATGACGGACTGATGGATGTGGAATGGTGAGATCGGATATATGAGCCACTCTTGGACTCCAAGGATTTCACTGACGCCTCCGGTCACGTCCGTCTTGCGCTCAAGGCTCTCGGTGCGATGCTGAAAAGGCCAGCGTGCGAGCAGGTTTTGGGGGAGTGTCATGTCGGGTCGCATTCCAGAAGCCCAACAAAATGTGCATGGAACTTGCAAAGAAAACAACACTTTTCGGATGATTGTCCTGCTCCATGGGAGTGCTGAAATTCACACCCTGCCCATCCTTGACCCCAGAACAGGGGCCCTGACTGGGAAGTAATGGGGATCAAGAGGGTGTGGCTCAAAATTAAAGACCTTGGGTTACGCAGGAAAAGAAGTCGTTGGTTCAATTTACCAAGGTGCCATTGTGGTACCACTTTTTTGAGCCACAGCCAAGACAAAGGGACATCAGGGGTTAACTACGAAGATTGTACTGCTACGACGAAATGCGGGATGTGGAGCTTACACGACCCAAAGCATCTGCCCTTTTGCTGCAACCATGGTGTTTCATATCATGTCATAGCCAACTACCCCACAGCACCTGTTCAACTTCTTTGGGCCCACTTAGTTAGCTGAGCTCTAAAGCGCCCACACCAAACCGTGGACGAGCTCTAAAGCGCCGGCTCACGTGATTTTTTGAAATGCTCCCAGGATCAAAGCGACATAATAGGATGGATTCGCGCGCGAAGGTCAAGGAAGCACATGATGCAGTCATGTTCTGGAAGAAACAAGGCATGGATTTGCGGCTTCCGAGTTGACCAGGTTGGAAATAACCCGGCCGGGTCGTTCATGTGTGTTGCTCAAAATAGGAGGCAACCAACAGTGTCACCCAAAGCCGCGCAGGTTAAGGAACACGTGCAATGGTGTGTTTCGCGTTGGTGTCCTGCACCAAAACGGGGACTCCAGTTTTAGCAGACGGCTATGTGGGGTTCCTCCCATCTTCGACTCTGGATTTTGCAGGGAACCACAGCTTGTGAAATGTCCTCCCTGCTACAGACTCCAAGACCCGCACATCTTCCCCGTGGATATCCTGGCAGGTTTGACTTTTTTCTGGAGGCTGAAATGCATCCTTCTGGCTTGGCCAGTTTCCTGTGCCTTGTGTTGGGGTTAGAAGCCCCCCTTCTCCACGAAGGGGGAGCACACTTGCGTGACCTAAAGAGCTGTAGCGCTGAGAGCTCGGGTTTCACCTTGGTCGGTTTCGCAAGTTCTTCATACTGGACACTTTGAGAGGGGCAGCATTGAGCATTTGTTGCTTCTCGGCCAACCCTGGAACCCTCGTTTCTGTGCTTTGAGGCGAAGCGTACATCAGTCCCTGAGTTGGTGGTTGGCAACCCACCAAGTAGAGAGAAACTGAGCACAGCTGGAGTCATTGAACTGTTCTGATCCAAGTCAGCTGGGGGTTTCCCTTTGTCCCTCTTTCGGTTTGCAGCCATGAGGCCAGTTTAGGGGCAGGGTTTCTATTTTCTACCAAGGTTGCCTTTTGAGCATGTCCCTTGTTTGAACATTAAGCTCCTTTGGGGCGGCAATGGTTGAAGTTGGTACCTCCCATATAGACGGGATTTTGCGGGGTAAGGGGTTAAACTACCTGCAAGGTACCCAAGGACCTGGAAAAAGGAGGCGAACACAAAGGCTCGCTCACTGGTTGCAACTTTCCGAGGCGACGCAAAGGCGCCCCGCGCGAAACGGGAGAAGGAGCGAGAGAAAGAGCCAAAGGAGACCAAGTCGCGCCGGCGTCGACGCCTCTTGTGAAAAAAACACCCACCATTGGACCAGTTGTTGGGTTTCAAGGACTTTCAACCATGTGACTTGGTGGCTCCCAATGCGCTTAGCTGTTTAGGCTTTTTAGGGTTTAGCGGTAGTTTCCATGTAACCCACTCGAAGTTAAACTTTTGGCAGAGGATCTGAGTTCAGCCAAGATGAGTTTTTGCTTAGGTTAGCTTTGGTCAAAAATAGATGGCACTGGCTTAGATAATGTTTGTTCCATTTTCCGGGGCCATCTATGTTTCCAAAAGGTCACCTATGCTTTCAACCCTTTCCCTAAGGGTCCTTGCTGTAGAACGTGCTTCTGCCTCTGAAAGACTGTTTGGAGTTTGGAGTGTGTGGGCTTGGGCTTGTTCCTGCAGTGGCCCTAAGTATTGCAACTCAACCATCCTACACAGGTTTCCTGGTTTTCCCTTGCTTGCAATATGGGTATGTGACCCAGCCGAAAAAAGGTACCTTTTGCCTCACAAAAAGATGACCCCCCCACCCTCAGGGCCCTCCCCGGTGTCAGCCCAGGTGAGTTGTTCAACGTCGGTTTCTCGTGTTTCAGGCCGTGAACCACTCCTTACTCCCACCAAAAGGCCTTTTCTCTAAAGACTTTGGCAAAGCCACGGCGTTCTTTTGTTTTGGAACTTCTCGTTGTTGTTTTTCCCCTTCAAACAACGTTTTCTAGAACATATCACTCACGCTTCAAGGGAAATCCCACAAGCCAACCATCTTGAGGGGTTGGCAAAAATCGGTGTGGCCAAAGCCTCGGTATGTCATAGGAGATCGCGTTGGTTTTCTCTAAAAAGCCCATGGTGTGGGGTGGCCCAAGGGGTTAGGCCCCCTCAAGTTCTAATGGCCCAGTTTGGTATCGATCAGTTGGGTCAACTCCGAGTAAGCTGCCCCTAAATCGGTTGCTAAGCGTGTTCCACGAATAGCAACCTACACCTAGAAGCTGAAAAATATGTTCTTTTCTCACCCAGGAAGTATGGTGAGGCACATACGTGAAGCCTGTTAACACTATGACTGCCCCAATGAGTTTGATTGAATTTCACATTTCTCAGCTGACACACACAACTTGATGAATTCCCAATCAATTGGGCTCGTCATAAGTTTGATTCCCATTCTTCCTGCAGATCCCCCAATCCTTGGGCATTTTGTTCCATTAAATTCTGTATTGCAAAAATCACCCTTTGACCCAATATTAAATTAGTATTCCAACCCCAACACTCGCGCAATACCAAAAAGGTCCCAACCCTGAAATTGCCCCCCTTAACAAATTTTGAGGGCAAACAAGGGGGGCATATTTTTGTGAATCAGAGGTGGATATAAAATGTAGTTTCAAAGTACACAACCCTGTTGTCATCAATAATTATTTAGGTTCATATCAGTACCCCCTGTTTGGTGGGGCATTTCGATACAAAGGTGCGGATGATCAGGTTCTCCTTAGCGGCGATGATGTTTGAGATGCGCCCAAATGTCAGAATCGGCAATGCCCTTAGTGATATGCGTTTGTCGCGCTTGAAGGATACCCGTTTTGGTTGGTCTAAGGCTTAAAGGGAAACCAGTAGGACAACCACAACTCCCCCCCCCCCCCGGCCCCATTTTGGCCACAGACCCATAGTTATGTTTATGCATACCCATAGTTTGGCTGGCAATTCAGGGAGATGAGCAGGCAAATTACCAACCCGCGAGAATATGAGCAAAGGTGTCCAAGCGTTGATTTGCAAACCTAGCGGAGATCACGGGCCTTTTTGGTGGACTCGGGGAGGTGGCCGTCTTGCTGATTCTCACCAGGGAATGACACAGGTTTTTGGGGATGAGCCGGAAGGGGATTCGCTTGAAGGAAACCATAGGGGATGGTTTATAGGGATTATTCCTTCATTCTCAGCAAGTCCATGCCTGTTGAAAGGGAAGCTCAGACAAACTAGGGCCGCGCGCCGGTTGGAGCTGGTCGACGCTTAGGAGAAGGAGCCTAAAGACGTGCACGACAAGGACACAGACGCCAAGGCGGGACGCCATGGGACCTTCCTCTCAATCCTTTGTGTTTCTTAGGTGCGGGACCCACCAATGGTCAGCCTTAGGGTTCCTTTGTGTCATGGTCACTGGGCAAGTGGCGAATTATAGTTCGACTTCATGTGGCTCGCTGTCAATCTCGAGGGTGGCCGTTTCGGTGTATTGAAAGGGCAACCCAATGCACACGCAAACCATCCATGTGTCATATGTGCAATAATTATGTGTGTACACTACATACATGTGTTGTTGTTCTTTTTAAGCAATATTTGTGCACGCATGTATAACCTGCATGGATTGTTTGGGCTAAAGGGGCCCACGTACATCCGGTTCTTTTTCAGCCTTGCTTACCAAGGGTCACCCGAGCCGGAGGTTGGTTTTTTGCCATCGGACAATTCCCACCGGGAAAAACGGAGAAACAAACAGAACCCACAGAGGCCCAGGCAACAGGTTTGGAGGCCTCCGGAAGCCACCATTGTGAGAACAGTTTCTTGTCTTGCGATAGGGAATGAGCAGTCCCCTAGAAAAACCATCCCTTGCTGGTGGTTTCCTTTGAGGATCCGGCTCCTGAAAGGATCATTCCGACACATTCAAGCAGGAGCAAGTTGTTTCAGCACTGCTGATCAAGAGCGTGCATTGAGTGAGTTGAACGGGCGCCCAGGCTTGTTTCATACAATGCTTAGCCCTTCTGTTTGCTTTGCCTGGCAGAGTTGCATCTTTGTAAAGCACACTTGTGCGCCGTGACCTTTGCCGCACGAAAGCCGTTGGGAGCCCGAATCTTGGGTTGTCAAGCCAAGGGTGGATTGCAAGCGGTCAGGGCGGCCGGGCACCTAGCAGTTGAAACCACCCAATGACATATGAGTATGGGTCAATATCAAACCACCAGGGGCCGCAGGTTTGTCCATGTTTTCACCTACCAGGGTGCCATTTTGGGGTTACGCTATGTTTGACCCCACAGCCATATCAGCACTTGGGGGTGACGATCTGGCAAGCATCAACCAGGAGACCGGGCATTTTGGCCTATCACATGATGCTCTCATGCTCGGCCTGCATTGAGCCAACCATTCCCAACAGAACTCTGTTTGTGGCCAGTAGGGGATCAAGGAAGGTCATTCCGTACGAACTCTCAGGAGAAAAACAAGAACCAGAATATTCAGATGAAGTTTCGGAGGAACTTTCATAGTACTTGAACTAAACGAGATAGCTCTCTCTCAGAATGCATCAACTACACGTGATCTTTAAGACTAGATGACCAAAGTGAAAGAGGCGCTAACCTCTCCGCTTTTGTGCTCGACACGTGTGCCGATTCGGGCATCGTGCGCCTCACATGCTTCAAGAAGGCGGCAATGTTGCCAAAAGGAGAAAATAACACTCTGCAAAGAACAGCGAAAGAGAGAAGGAAAGAAGCAAGAAATGATAAAGACAAAACAAGAGTGAGAGACGGAAAGGAAGATAGCGAGAGAGAGAGAGAGAGATACAGAACACAAACAAAAAGAGAGAAAATAAGAGAAAATGAGAGAGCAGGAAACGACGGGGAGGGAACAAAAACAGGCTCCGAACTATAGATTTTCCGTCTTTGGAAACTTCCGCCCACCGGCACTGACGGACATTCTATTCCTGTCTTGCTTAAGCTTAATTTGGTGACAATGGTCATCGATCTTTCCTCAACATAACCCTCCATACGGTGGCCGTCATGTGGTTTGGAGTCAGTCATAGCTTGGTTGGGAAGTCGCAGAGGTTCTTGAAAGAAACTGGCAAGACTCAAGAAGGTTCCCAGGTACAGAAAACTTGTTGAGGTCTGCGGTCATGAGGTAGCCATACAGGGTTCCCTATATGTCCCCTTTCAAAGGTCACCCAACCAGCAGCAAACGCCCCAAACGTGGAGCAAGCAGAACCATACAATGAATCCTGTGTCGGACACAACCTTTCAAGGGACCTTTGAAGTACATCCCCAGAAGGTCCCGGAGCCAATAGTGGTCGCCGTTTTTGTTCGGCAGGCTGAGGAGATGCTGAAGGCCCGTTCGGGGGGTTGATGCGGCTTTGGATCCACCCTATATTAAACCAGTTTCAAAGGAGCACCTCGCTCACATGGAAGCTGACAATCGGAGGTTTTGGAAGAGGAAAGCTCGCTCGACCCCGCGGTAAACTTCAATTGTGGAAAAGGTTTGAGGGTCCTCAAAATGGAGGACCCGTGTTTGGGTGGCTTTCATCAGAATCTGAAAGGACACCCACCATTTTTGTTTTAGGGCTGAGGGTAAACTCAGCCTCAGACAGTCTTTAATGTCGGATTTCTGCTCCGAGCGCCTGCCATTTTAAACCTAGGATGAAACCGCACCCTAGCCCAGGTTCTCCAAGAATGGCCTCCGGGCCATAAGTTGGGTCTATGGGTTTATGGGTGTGTGTGTGTGTGTGTTTGTGTTGTGCGTTGATACCCTTGGGCCCGTGGGCTACCCCCCATCCCCTGGTTTTTTCTGATTTCCCGGTGGTTTCCCTCTCTTCAAAGCCCACACGACTCGCCCCAACCAAAACGCCGAAACGCGAGAGACGCTCGCGGCAGCCGCCATGCGATGCGCAGGCCTTCGAAGAGCCTTGGAAGGTGCTCTTTAGCCGGGCGCCTCGAGCCATCATTCGCCCTTTGGTTACTTCGGAGGCTTCCGTTGGCCGATTATTTTTTAAAATGTTTTTCTCCCTTGGTTGGTTTTAAAGGGAACCTATCACTAAAATGTTCTATGTTTTTTCTCCTTGTTGGTTTTTTAAAGGTCCTATCACTACTGGAGATAGTTTCGCATATGTTTCCCCCCCGTTGGTTTTAAAGGATACCCATCCGAATGGGGTGGGAATTGAACACCCGTGGTCCTTCTAGGAAAAAATGGGGAAGTTAGGATTTGAACCTGGCGGCTTTTTTGGGGAAAGAGGAATCCGTCCATGATGAAACCTGGTAATACCGAAGGGCAGAGGGTACCTCTTGAGGGTACCTCTTGAGGATGGCCTTTGTGTTTGTTTGTTTCAAGCTAAGTACCTTCAATGTACCAGTTATGCTCTTTCTTTCAACCCAAAAAGGGTGTGTGGAGGTTTTTTAGTTGCCCTGGGACCCCCCCCCATTTGGGGGCCATTTGACAGCCCTTGGGTTGGGGGCGAGGAATCCTGGTATGTCCCTTGATTCGGGTGATGTGTCAAGGGGAAATATAGGGAGCCCTGTATTCTGTATCCACAGTACTTCAAGGGAAAACATAGACCGGTGCCCTCCCTCAACTTGCCAAAAAGTGGCAGAGAGCAACTTGCAACCTGTCGGGGGGAACTCCAGTGACTGTTCGGGAGCTTGCTTTGGGAGGCCCAGTTCGAGCTTTCCCGTGTTTTCCCGGCTTTGAACGACGGGTTCCTGGTTGATGGAACAGCCCGCACCGCCCAAAGCCTGGGTTTGGGGGTTTGGACCCTTGGGGTCTCCTCCCATATGTCGTTTAGGATAGACGAAAAAACAAAAACGGTGCTTCTAGTTGGCATGTTTTTCAGGTGTTAGGGGTTTAGGGGTTCAGGAGTTTAGGGGTTTGGGGGTTTGGCATGGACAGCTTCTATGGTTACCTACGCTAGAAGCACTGGGGTAGCTAGCCAGTTTGTATTTAGTGTCCCTTCTAGGTTTCACCATGGATCCGTTTCTTTGGCGTGGATGGCCGAAATCTTTTCATGGCTCCACTTAGCCATGAACGCTGGTGCGAAAAATCGGATTGTGTCCATCCACATTAAAGTGTAGTAGACAACCCCCTCGGACTTGTGCGGACAGGATTGCTGCGACCACCTACAGTCACAGTCAGATTTGTGAGTTGTAATTTAGTGCCTTCAGTCGTTTTAGTTGCCCAGCGGCGCCCTTCTTTCCTTTTTTTCCGGGAAGGGTTCCCCTTTAAACTCAACCAACCACAAAAGGATACCTCTCCCATCAGAAGTTGATCGATATGGTTCAGGTTCAGATGGACTAGATAAGTTAACTAAGAAGCCGAAAATTCACGCGTCTGAGTTGTAGCCAGCCCTCCCATCGACCCTCGACTCGACGAGTCCTCCACTTTGGGCTCTCCTCCCATCGACCCGCCTCGAGTCGACGAGGTCAGTACGCCAAGCCCCGGCGGGGCGCCACGGGCAAGCGCTTGGAGATGAGGCTGGAGGCGCCGATGAAGCGAAGCCTCGCTCAAAGTGCGCGCCAAATGCGTCGCCTTTTTTTTTGGGGATGGGGGGAAACCAAGCGGGAAACCAAGGACAACCATTTGCTGAATAATATATATATATATATATCTATATATATATATATATATATGTATATTATATATATACACATGTTACATATATGTGTATGTTTTTTTTGTTGCTATTTTGCCTTGCTGGTTTTAAAGGGAACCTATCACTACTGGATATATATATATATATATATATTCCCGGGGGCCTTAAGCGAATGGAAGAGGAGTTCGCCAATTTTTGGAGGAATCCACAGGGAAACCACTGGCGTTTGTCTCAAAACCAGGTCGTTTCTGCCATGAACAACTGGAGGCCAAAGGTACACAACGCGTGTTCTGTGGTTCGAAAGGGGAACACATGTAGGAGAACAGGGGAATGGGAATCCTCCCATTGCAGCGGTGTGCTTGCCATATTGGCCTTTCTATAGGATTCTACTACCTGGAGTGGGGCGTTTAAGTACCTGAATGAACCTTTATATATCCATGTGTTTGGAACCAAACGTCGATTCCTTTTGGGCGCAGCTTTTGTGGTGATCTTATCAGAAGCATGTGTCATAGTAGATTTGTGAACCAATCTTTCATGCGTCATACCCTGAAGGGACCGTCCTCGTTTTGTTCCAATCGCCTCATGTCTACCTCATGGCACACTGCTCTAGAGATATTATGTTGACCCCCATACAAATCAACCCAGGGGGTGTCCGATTCTGGGTGAACTGTGGGGAATCAGACCACTTCTCGAGGGGCCAAAAACCACCCCCCTACTAAGAAACAGATTGGTTGATTAAGATGGGCTCATTCGAGGTCCATTCAACCCGGGCCAAGGGTTTGCAGTATCCGGGACTGGTGCAGGTGGTTTGGGCGGAGCCTGGTGGGTTTTTGGACCCAGAAAGTGTATAGATGGATGTCCTATGCAAGGCTACATGTTGGAACTGCGTTGAAATTCCATTGGTTTCCATTCAACTGCATCAGGGCCTGAACAATTGCAGACATTCTGCAGTCTCTTATCCCCTCAAATCGGGTTGTTGGGTTATGGGAGCGATGGAATCCGAGTTTGCTTCGGTGTGCTTCGGTTTCCTGCGGAATTCCTTGTTTTTTGTCACCCTTGGTTTTCTGGTGTCCTTCGGTTTCCTTCAGTTTCCTTTGGTTTTCTTAGTTTCCTTCAGAGCCAACATGCCGTCCAGGTGCTGGAGTCTCTTCTTGCGGACTTGGACCTCTTGGGCCGCATCCAAAAGCGGCAAGTGCGCCTGACACGAAAAAGAGATGCTTCCATTTGGCTGAAAGGAACATATTCTGCCCCAACACGGTCAAAACGTTTCCAACAGTTACTGGGGTCACTGGATTTCCCCCTTCCCCCTTCCAACAAAATGTTGTACCTGGAGTCTCCTTCTAACCCTTCAAAAATGAGGCCATGACCCGAAGATTGATTTAGGGTAATAACCAACCATTGTTTAAGGGTCATGGAGACTCCAGGCATATTGTTTCTTCTCCCCTGCTGGCTTTAGTTCAAAGGGAATCAATACATGTCTTCTCATCTTTTTCGGGAGCGAAAAAACACATGGAAGGATCTCTTCGCGTTTGCCGGTCACGGCGGCGGCAATGGTACACATTTGTATTTGAGACATAGAAGGGGCGATGAAGTATGGGTGTTTCTTTCAAAGGGACCTCTTCCAAGGAGGTGTTCTATCGAAAATCCTTTGCTTTCAGGCATCCCAAAAAGAGGTTCGCTGTTTTGAGTCAGGCACGTCGGGTATATTGTGCGGGGCATCCCCAGCGATTTCCCCTGGATGTTGGTCTCTATCGGAGCTTTACATGCCCATTTTAGGGCCCCCATGGTTCGACGTTGTGCCCCTTAGGCGGGCCGGTGCCTCCATAATTCACAAGGTTCTAGGCACAGATCACAGCACAGGACGTACCCTCCCTCCACTCATGGAAGTGGAAGGGGCGTCCCCAAAAGGAACATTGTCTTCCAAAACCCTCCTGTCAGCTTCCATGATTGTTGGCGGGAGTGTTTGTTTTTGCGGTTGGTTGCTTTGTGTCAAAACTCATAGCCCTAGTTGGTTTCCGACATTTTGCCCGCGTACCAATCCAAAAGAATCCGCCACTTTTCACATCAGCAGAGAATTAAGACTTCTCTACACACCAGAGAATTTCTTGTAGCCTGAAGGACCCTTCTAAGAGTGTTCCTTCCAAGTCCTTTGGGAGATGGTTTTGGGGCATTTCGTTTCCTCCCTACCCTCCAAGTGTCCAAGTACCTTCCAGGTTCAACCCCAAAAATCATCCATCAATGACTCAAGCGGCACCAAGGGACATGCTGGCATTTTTACGCAGGGGGGGTGATTGGGTGTGGCCTTTGGACCCTGCTGCCTTGTGCCGCCTGGGGACGCCCCAGAGGTACCTGCCCTCTTCAAGTCTGCCCTGCCAAAGCCCACCGAGGAGGCGGTCGCGTTTTGGGGATTCTTGGGCCCGGCCGGGTGCTTGTGCAACGGCTTCACCGCGAGCCTTTCAACAGAAACCCTTCAGCGGCACCAGGTTTTGTTCGAGTCCCATGTTTCACCCAAAACTGGGTCACCCCCAACCCCTGTTCAAACCTCGGCTGAACGGCCTCGAATCCCTTGAAACTTGGGCTCTTGGCGTGGTCGGTTTTTTCAGACCCCAAGCCCCAAAATCCATCCGTGCGATGACCCGGGCCCACGGCTGGGAAGGCGCTGCTGGTGGAGAACTTCCTGACTTTGGTGCCGCGCCGGAGGCTCAGAGTGCTCTTGAGCCTGCGGGCCCCCAGCCCCAGCCCGGCTCCGGAGGTGAAGTTCAGGAGACCCCGGTTCTGCGCCGAAATGCGGCCATGGACCATGGCGGCATTTCGGCGCATGTGTCTGAGCCCGGCCTGGCCATGGTCAAAATTTGGAGATTTGAGCCAAGAAGAGTAGCGAACTCCAGCTTCTTTTTGGGCTTGCGCCGTGGAAAGTTGTTCAAATGTTGCCAGAACTTGGCCTAAGTTTCGAATGAATTCACCTTTAGTCATCGGCATTGCATCAACCTCAACAAATTGATGGTTGTTCCAAACAGGATCGCCTAGCCTCGTGGTTCCTTTGGTCCTTTGGTCTTACGGTGGGTGTATTACCCTGCTGGCAGGCAGGTTGTGCCAAGGGTACCATCCTACTGTGGATGGTTACAAAGTCCATTTCGCAAATTTGCACCACGAAATGACACCACAACGTTTGTTGGTGGTGAAGCAGTTTGTCCATCCACAGGTGTAAGAGCCCCTGAGACTTGGGCAAGAAAGACCGGGTTGCTGCGACCAAATGACCAAACCTCAAGGGTATACAATCGGTATCGGGTCCTTTTGTGTTCGTTTTGCCCTCTGCTCTTGGGTTTCTGTCGTCTCTTTCAACCAGCACCAATGGGGCATGTGCCAAAATACCCCAAAGAATGGCTGACCGGTTTTCTTTTGAATTCCCCTTGAGCCAGCCCCCTTTTGGGATACCATCAAAAACCACACACACACACACTCATCCAATTTAGCGGTTTGCCCCTCGATTTTCTGACCGATGTGACTGGTGACCGAGGCCTCGCGAAGTTCTTTCCGCCAGAGACCGTGCCCATGACCGACTTTGGAGTCTCGGTGCGCGCCTCAACGAGGAGGAGATTTGCACGTCGTCAAAAGAGGGTTCCATCCATCCCAAGAAGTGGATTTTGTACGTCCACGATACTTCCCCTTAGACTTTTTGTGGGTTGGTAACCTGTTGGGTTGGCCAATTCAAGTGACGTTTTTTTGTGCGATACGATATATTTAGCTTGGCCAGTACTTGGGGCTTGGCTTTTGGGCTGCTGGATTCCTCCGAGGGGGGGCACCACATTTGGGGCGAGTCCGCAGCTGCTTCTAAAATTGACATAGAACTACTCTCCCAACTAATAATATGGATCCTGACAGCGGGCCCCTTTTAAAAGGAAAATGGTCTTCCAGGACCCCCCAAACGTCAGGTTCCATGTTAATTGGTGGGAGGTAAGTTTTGTTTCCACGCTGGCCAAATCATTGCTTAACATGGATGGGATGCTTTGAAGCTGGACATCAGCGGCGAGAAAAACAGCCTGAGCCTAAGTTACCAGCCGGGTTGGCTAACCCCAGATGTCAGACCGTGGAAACCGCATTTCCCCAGTTGGCGGTTCTCAGAACCCTTCACCTCGTCCTGAGGCGTTGTGAGTTGTTTTTTTCTCATGGGTCACCTTGTTCCCAAGTTGAACGGGTTTCCTATTTCTGTGTGGCAATCCATTTTTCATGTCAATCCATGTATACCAAGATTTGACCCATTTGGAGTTGGCAAATGTGGGTAGATATGTCGCATGTCGGATTGTTTTGAGCTTGGGTTTTGGGTGGTCCAAGTCCAAACAAAGGCAAACTCCCAACTCTTGTCCATCCCAGCGGATCCATGTACCTGTAGGTACTCAAAGGAACCACCTGTCAACCAAAAGGAAAGCAGCTGTATAGTAGGTCATCAAAGGACCACCAAGGAAAATGGATCGAGGGGTTACCTACTAGTCCAGTCCCCCTAACAATGAACGGTCCCCTCCCCCCTGTCCCCTAAATTAAAAGACCCTCGGAAGGGATTATATACCTATATACCTACTATACATAGAATATATATATATATATACATAGGGTCCAAGGAAATAGCGAAGGGTTACCTACTATATGAGCCACAATGAAAGCCCGAGATGGAGGATAGTAAGGGACACTCCCAGCCATAAATAGCTGCGGCCGCCTTCTTACTTCTTGAAGCAGTATTCCGGGATGACGACCGTTTTAGTACCAAGAAAGGTTGAGCCAATGTGGATGATGACATTGGCTGAAAGCTGGGAACTGAACCCCAGTATATGTTGCAGGTTGAGTTCAAGGAAGACCAACAGATATTGTTTTCTTTTGAGGGTACCCTTTGCAGGTTGATCTTCAAGGAAAACCAACTGATGCCTAAGGAGAGCCACCATTCTGGGAGCTCCAAATCCCTCCTTTGCCATCTGTCACCGAATAGCTAAAGACAAAACAACCATGCATGTGCTACTGATGGAAAATGCTAGGGACGTGGTGAATTTCCCTGGATTTGGTGGGGGTCGGGTTGGTTGCCTGTGCGCAGGTTGCCCCAGAGGCAGGGCAGCAGGAGCTCTGCACTTTGCTGCGGCACCTGGAGACTTTGGCGGACACGCCCGGGAGCCCCGGAAACCAGGCAGAAACTGGAGACCACACCCGGCTGCGGGGAAATATGTGCCTGTGGTTGTCAAAACCAATGGTACCATGTTTGGGATAGGTGAATTCACCACCCATCTTAAGCCCATTTTAGGCTTCCTATTTTAGTGGGGGTTGGGATGTTCACTGGGGGTACGGGCTTTTGACCCATGGCCATGTGTGTGTGTAATATATATATACATATATATATATATATATATGGTCACCCCTGCTAAGATACACCATCTATGTACAGCTTGCAGTACATGTGGCAACCGCTACATGTCTGGTACAAGGCCTTGAGCCTAGCCCATGCCAGAGATACAACAGGTTAGAACTGTGCCGAGTCGTTCACATCACAGGTTAACTCATTCACACTACAACAGGGTTGACAGCATACCTGGGACTGCAAGACCCAGCCTACAACAGACTGCTGAGACAGTCAGAGCAATCAGTAGGACAAGTTACAAACGACCAACTGGAGAATGCAGCACCTTCACAACAAATGGCAGAGCATTGGGTACAACTGAGCAACAACCTACACTACCTCTTGGTGAGCACGCGCGGTGGACCAGCATCTACACTACGCAGACAAAACATGCAAGGCGACGGTTTCGAGACGTGGCGATTGATCCATGCCAGGTACTCCATACCTCTTGTTGCAAGAAGCATTGGGTACTTTACACAGCTACTAAAACCACAACTGGATGAACAGACGTTCGAAGAGAGCTTCACAACATGGGAGGTCCAACTCTCCAAGTATGAACAAGTTAACAAGACAACAGCGCACTACTACCAGATGCAGTCAAGATTGCAATACTGCTCAATGAAACAGAAGGATACAACAACACCTACAGCTTCAAGCAGGAAACATCGTAACATATGCACAGACCAGATCGATGGTGATCGAGTACTACAGAGCAACAGCATCATTCACCAGGCTGCAAGCAATTACATCAGGCAACAATAACCCAGGACCGGCACCGATGGACATAGGAGCAACATGATGGCACAACAAAGGCAAAGGAAAGAAGGGCAAGCGCAAGGGCAAAGGAAAGCACAACAAGGGCAAAGGATACAACAGCTACGGGAACAACTACAGCTACAGCAACTACAAAGGAGGAAAAAGCAAGTACAATCAACAACCGGTTGGACAAGGAAACCCTTTCAAAGGACAACAAGGATATGGCAAAGGAAAAGGATACAACAACAAAGGAAAAGGCAAAGGATGCTTCAACAACCAACAAGGAGGAAAAGGAGCAAAAGGAAAGCATGCAACAAATGTTTGCTACAGATGTGGGCAGCCAGGACACATAGCTAAACAATGCAGAGTGGCGATCTACAACTGCGACACTGGAACCTTCGATATGACCAGACAAATGACTGGTACAGTCATGCACACTACGACGACAACTGGTACCGCCAGGACCAGACGCACATGCATCAACTAGCATTCCCACAACCATCACAGGCAGCAGATCCATCAACGGTACCCTGCTCAGGATGACATGAAGTAACAATTGCCCTGATTGGCACAGCGCAGCAACTCACAGACGACAACAAGAGTCAGTCTTATGATTGACAGCGGTGCGGCTACACATGTATGCCCACTATGGTTTGCACCACAATTCCCACTACACCAACTGGAGCATGGAACAGGACCACAGCTCAGAACAGTGACCAACCAACACATCAAGCTTTCCGGGTAATTACAGATGGGTTTGCATGACAAACCACAGCGGACAACAAATTGTCATACCGTTTTATGTTTGTGAGGTTAAACAGCCGATTCTTTCAGTTACAGGGCTGGTGGAATAAGGTTTCCAACTTACATTGGATGACAATCCAAGGCTACAACGCATCAAAGGGTTCAACAGCACACTGGAGAACAGAAGTGGCCTGCTCTTCCTACAATGTTACAAGCAGAAATCACAACACTGCCAAAAGGAACAAAGCTACAGATACAGTTTCCAGCTGGTATGTTAGGGGGGCAGAATGACACCCTTGCTGTTTGACGGGAAGGATTGCTACTGACGAAGTCCATTTCGCGCCGCTTTGAAGCCATGGCTGAAAGGATCGTTCGTGGGCATTTTCAGGGGGATCGAGTCGTTCAAGATGCAAGGGTTTCTTAGGTGGCGCAAAATGGATGTCGCAACCATCTGCAGTATGTTGAGAGGCCCCGTTTTTGTTTTGGGGGGGGGGTGGGGGGCGGGCTAAAGCCCCCGAGGTCCCACAACTCCTCGCTGCGAGTGGCACGGCCAGTCTTGGCCAGGGCCAAGCGACGCTGGGCTGGGGCCCTGGGTTCAGCTCAAAGGGCGCAGCAAGCAACTTGGGTGGGGGCAAATGGGTTTGTTCACTGGTCCTACGTCAGAAAGCCTGGAATCCCAAACCCGACTGTACGGGACATATTTACCAACATTCATCCTCCAAATGGCTCAAATGTTGCAACGCACATATATATATATATGTTCCAGGCCGTGGACCCCCCCCCCCCCCCCCCCCCCCCCCCCCCCCCCCCCCCCCCCCCTGGGGGGTGGGTGGGGTGGTGGTGGGGTTGTGGGGTGGTGGTTGTGGTTGGGCCAACCCCCCCCCCCCTGTGGGGGGTGGGGTGGGTGGTGGGGTGGTGGGGTGGTGGGGTGGTGGGGTGGTGGGGTGGTTGGGTGGTTGGGTGGTGGGGTGGTTGGGTGGTTGGGTGGTTGGGTGGTTGGGTGGTTGGGTGGTTGGGTGGTTGGGTGTGGTTCGGAGTTGGTTTAGGCTTGGTGGGTTGGTTTAGGGTTGGTTCAGGGTTGGTTCAGGGTTGGTTTGCGGTGGGTTTCGGGTGGGTTTGGGTTTTGGGTTGATTTAGGCTTAGGGTTGGGGTTAAGGAGGGGTTGCAGGGTGGTTTGGTTTAGGGTAGGATGTTGCGAGAGGTGCGGGGGTGTTGGTTCACGGGGTGAAAGGGGGTCTGGGACCGAAGCTGCAGGGCTCGCACGGTACTGGACAGCATCCCCAGCATTGCCAGCATCATCCCCAAGATGCGGATGATGCGGGGGAGTGGGGGGACCATACCAGTGGGGGGGGGGGGGGGGGGGTACGTGGCCCAGGGACTGGTACATATATATATTCCCTACATGGATTCTCTAGGAAACTTAGTTTGTTGGTGTTGTTCATTTTAGTAGGGAGTGCACGTCCCTGGATGCCAACATTCGTGGCTATGTTTGCCAACATACCAGGAGGTTGGGGAGGTTTGGACACACGGATGACACCGCTTTTGCAGGGAAGCCGAGTTGATGTTTGAAGAGTAGCGGCTTGGCAGGATCCCACAGGCGCCATTCGAATTCTCCCACCCCATCCTAGATCTTTGGCGGAGTCATGCTCTGGGGTCTGACTTGCCGCCTGAGCGCGAGAGCTGCGACACTGGATCTAGTTTCGTTTCTGTGAAGCGTCACCTGCATTTGAGATCTGCGCAGCGACAGTTGCGATCGCGACGGTTCCGGCCCTCCAAGATCATTGCCGTACCAAAAATGGATGCCAGCTTCGATCGGACCAGCGCCTGCCAATGTTTTGCAAGGGGTTTAGCTTCAGGATGTTGATCCAAGATCTTGGACCCTTGGTCAAACGGATGCTCGTCTATCAAGCACGCTTGATGGAGCATGGTGGAGCTTGGTTTCAACTTGTCCACATGTCATTTTGATTGATGCACTTTGAGAGACCCAAGTGGATGATCCGCACGGCTCAGGGACACGAGGGCTGTGCGATTGGCCGCTGACGCTTTTTAGGATCGCGGGCTCCGGGCTTCGGGTTGGGAATGTGTGTCAAAGTCAGCGGTCTGTTGGATCCTTTTGATACCTGGGGCCCCAAAACACTGCTTTTTGTTTGGTCAAAAACATGCCACATATGCCTTTTGACCGAATAAAAGTGGCGTTTTGGGGCTCCAGGTAAACCTTCCTGTCCCTTTGAGTACGTCGACATGTGAGTTGGCGCTTGAGTGGAAAGAGCCTGTCGCTCAACCGAGGTGCTGGCCTACGCGAAGAAGGTATTGCGGGAGGCCAACGCCCAGTTGATGGCAGAGGACTGGCCCGGATCCACGCGCACATGGTGTCTATGCGGTTGAGACCAATATTCCATGTAGAGCCCTCAAAATGACTTTGGCAAGGCAACTTTTCTCACGTGGGCTTGAAATATCGCATCTTTTTGGTGGAGTTCGGTCATCCCAACGTATTTCGGACCTTTGGATCAAGCCCCGTTCCAGAGGTGCCATTTGGCCCAAGTGATGCGAACCAAAGGTTTGTTTTTTCTCTCACATGTGCCATGGGATCGAACTCCAGTTGCTCTTCCGGTTGCAGCCAGGAAATTCGCCAGGTGGCTGAGGTGGTGCAAGCCTCAAGGCAGACATTGCCGGAGGCAGGCGAGGTATTTGGGCCGGTGGCGTCTTTACAGAGCTCTGCCGAGAAGGATGAGCCTACGCCCTCGAAGCTGGACAAGTTCAGCCGTTTTGAGTCGCAGGCGCAACTGGAAGTAGACGAGGAGGTGCTTCGAGGCATTCCTCTCAACCATACTTTGCGGGTTGGCCTGGGACGGTGGAGCTGTCCGAACAAGATGAGCCAAAGAAAGCGGGAGGGGCTCTATGAAAAGTCGAGCCCGACCCTGCACTTCGACATCTTCTTCTCTCACACATGGCTGACGAAGGGCAACAGGAAGTATGCGGCCCTGCTCTTCCACAATGGCTGGCCTGTGATGGTGACAAGTTGGCTTTTAGCCGTCGCAGTGTTGTCTATCTTGTGTTTGACAGACGTTCTTCCTATGCCATTTAGCTTCCACGCGAGCGTGCTGGACTACCGGCAAACGTGCCCGATGGGCTGTTGGGTTATTGCGCTTACTCTGCCTGTGGCAGGTGCAGCGCTTGTCCTTGCACCATACTGCCCCAACAAGCTTGGGAAGCACAGCATTTGTTTCGTGGACATGTTCAGCATTCACCAAACAGATTCTATGTTGCGGGAAAGAGGCATTTATGGCATCGGGGGATGTTTGCAAAGGTCCAAGGAGTTGCGAGTCTTGTGGAGTCCGCCATATTTTTTGAGGCTTTGGTGTATTTTCGAGCTGGCTGCATACAGGTTTGCGAATCCGCAAGGGAAGATCACCATGGCACCGCTTTTTGTGGAATCCGTCGTGCTGACGCTCCATGTGGGGATCCTTACTTGCTCCACTGGCGTTTGGGTGGGAACAGCCCTCAGGAGCAGGGTGGGATTCACGGTGCTGCACATGCTGCTCACTGCAATCTTTTCGGCCTTGCCACTTTTGGGCATCATCCACGTCCTCCGCAAAGAGACCCGGGCGAAGCGCCAATTGCTTCTTGATCTCGAAAGTTTCACCCTGGACCGGGCAGAGTGTGTGTCTGACTTTGACAGGGCATTCATCCATTCTGCCATTGACAAGTGGTACGGGAGTGCTGAAGCCTTCGCCGAGTATGTGAGAGGTCCTTTGCGGGCTGAGCTGCTTCAAAGCAATGCCGCAACCGTGCCATCGGCCTACCTGATGACCTGTGCAATTAGCCTTGAGTGCAGTTATTTCGAGCTTTTTCTTGCGCTTGTGAAGGGCGGAGCACCCTTGAAGTGCATGTTGACTGTTCTAACGGGAATGATGGTTGGCACGGTGGTCTACCAGCTAGCCTGCTTCAAGCTGATGCTCAAGCTGGCCGAAAAGTTCGCAGAGCCCTGCAATGCCATCTTGGATCTACTGCAGACCTTCCTCATTTGGATCACAACCTGGTTTTTGCTCGTGTCCTGTGGTTTTGCCACCTCGACACTGCAATCCAGACCGAACGTGCTACCTCTGTTGCTCCTGGTTGTTTTTCAATGTTTGGTGTTCCTGGCCGCCTTCGGCCACTTGCCGCTGCGCTGTGTATTTCCCCGAAGTTCGGAACGCGCTTAGGCGATTGGTTTATCGCCGGACCGCCAGACAGTCTCACGCTGCCCTTTGCATCACCAAGTCTCAGTTTCACGTTTTTCTTTAAATGGCAGTGGCTCAAAATGTACCCAAAATGGCCCCCTGGTAAATGGAACCAAAGTCTAAAAGCTGCGTAACCCGAGCTCTTTAATTTTGAGCCTCAGCCAAATCACACCATCAGTCTCTGGTAGGAGACGAGAGTGTTCCTTACGCCACAATGAAAGGGGCGAAGAGACGACTCGCCAGCGAGGCCTAAGAGCCACGCCAACCAGGCTGGATCGTGTCAAAAGGTGCTTCGATGGGGGGACCTTATGCTGGGTCCCCCAGCTAATTAGGCGCCTTTGTTTTACCAACTTGTTTTTCTTTTTCCGTGGAGGGTTCCCCGACTGAAATAGACTAAGCCGAAAGAAGTCGGGTACCCTTGTTCTAACCTCTCAAATCTGGAGGACCTATAGTTATGCTGGGTCTTGTTTCCGTGGTCTCGATCTCGGCTGAGATGACGAACCTTCAGCATCCCAGTCACCATAGTCACCAGAGTCGAGGCGCAGCTTGGCAGCTCCGCAGCTCTAGCTGGAGCCTCCTGAGCCAAATAAAGCATGATTGGTCATTATGCATTTTGCCCAGGGATGTTAGGACTTTAACTTTTTGCCAACTAATGGGTTCTCCTTTAAACCACTGAAAGTTACACTTTTAGCAGGGGAGCAGAAAGCAACCGAGTACAGATTCGGTAATTCAGTGATGCCGGTAGCTGTTGGAAGGACCGTTTTGACCGTTTTGGGGCAGACTGGTTGTGTAAGAGGCCCAGCGCAGTACCGTTTGGGTCAGAGATGGACTGGTTGTGTGAAATTCCAGTCCGACGCTGCGTGAGGACCCTGATGAGATCGACTTGCCGGACGGCTTCGCTATAGGGGCGGGGGCCCTCTACACTCCTCAAACCCGCAAAGCAAGAAGCGCTTCTCCCAAGGTGGCGAGATCTTTGTGTGGGGCTGGTCTCCTTTTCACAAGCTGCTCAATGACACCCCAGTCGAGCAACCATTCTTTCAACGCTGTCCAATGCGATTGGTCCAACCATCCCAGGACAGATTTCCAAATCAAGAAGCTGGCCTGCGAAACCGCCCAGTGGTTTTGTCCAAATCAAGAAGCATGGTGCTCAGGTGAGGCAGCCGCCCAAAGTTCATTTGGTGCCCGGCCCTCGGCTTCTTTTCTTCTTCTTTGTTTTTCTCGTGCAGGGGCGGGCCAAATTGGTCCCAATTTGAAATCGGCTCCCTTTTTTTTTCTCCGATGGCCGGGTGTTTCGCCGGATGTGGTTGTTTCGCTTCGAAAACAAGTTCCTGTCGCGTTTCTGGGCCAAGGCCAGTTTTTTCAACGCGCGCTTTTCCAGCGGCTTCGCTGTTCAGGGTTTGCTCGTTGAGGCCGGCGGGCTTGCCGATTTCCCAAGCTGAGCAGGGGCCCAAAGCGCGAGGCTACACCTGGGCGGTGGGCGCATGTTTTTGTTTTCTTTTGTTTGTTTGTGTTGTTTTTCTTCCGTGTTGTTTTGTTGGCGTGGTTTTTGTTTTTGTTGTTGTGTTTTTGTTATTATTATTTTTGTTGTCTTGTTTTTCTCCCGTTTTGTTTTGTGGGTGTTTTTTTTTTTTGGGGGGGGGGCTGAAAAGCAATCCTTATAATCCTTGCGTTTAGCTACGAATTCTGGCCCCCTTAGTGGTTTTTCAATAGGGATGGAAAGTCGGATCGGCCAACGCTCCATGTAGCCGAGGTGTACATGCGTCAAGCCGAGGAGCGGTTAGACATCTTGCAAACCTCCGCTCGTCACCTCGCTTCCCATCTCTTTTCCCTACCTCACCCCACAGATCTTGCAGACAAGCAAAGGTGAGGTGTGAAGGGGAAAAGGATGGCTCATTCCTCACCTCTCTTTCACCCGTCAACAGAAAGGGATAAAAGCGGTGATAATGATGGAGATGAGGAAAGAGGTTAGGCATGGATAGAGAAATGGCCTGTCTTCTTCCTTTGGTCGCCTGGCCCACAGGCGAAGCGAGCGCTGAGCAAGAGATAACCAGGGATATGTGCTAGCAGTACAACCTAGGCTTCACTGTTCTTGGCATGTTTTTTTTTTTAGTTTGTTGGTTCGGTTCATTTTTACTGGGGGTCTGCAAAAAACAGACAATTTTTTGCTACCATACCAAGAGTAGAGATGTAGAGCAGGGGTGGTTCGAATTTGAACTTCCGACCCGCGCCGCATCGGGTTCCACTGTTTGACCTTTGCAATCTGTGCTCGACCATGGCGATGGCCTTGGGTCAAAACCAATGGAATTATTTTGGGGTAGGTGCACCACACATTTTAGAACCTATTTTAGTGGGGATTGGGATGTTCCCTGGAAGTATGGGATTTTGACCCATGGCCATATACCTCTGACAAGCTCTCTAAAGCACTTTCAACCCCTCCAAGATAGACTTAAGCCCAGCAGTTCCGATTCAATTTGGGTGTAATGAACCAAGGCGTATCTCGGCAGAGATCCTGGACGAGCTTTTGGCCAAAGCAGCTGCTGCCTGAGGTTTTGTGGCCAACGAGGTGTGGCTCTTGTTTGAGGGCACCTGGAGACCCCATTTTGGGGTAATGACCCCATGTGTTAAGGGTCAGAAGGAGACTCCAGGTACTCCTTTGTAGGTCGTTTCACAAAAGGAGCACCATTGGAGGGGCTCCAAGTCCCTATTTTGACACAAGCTGGGAGTCATCTCAGGGTCGTTTAGGGGCCAAGTCCGTCATTGATTCGCCGCTTCTTCGGAAGGAACCTTTCAATATGCCTTTTGCATGTGAATCCTTTGGAGGTCGTTTTTTGGGGCGCACATTCGCCAATCAACTATCACCTGCAGTTTTCTTCTGACCCTTAAACAGTGGGGTTCATTGCCCAAAATATAGGGGTCATGACCCCATGTTTAAAGGGTCATGGAGACTCCAGGCAATCCCTTTTTTGGATTCCATGAAACACGATCGATTTTGTCCACCCAAATTGACACAGCCCCAACCCCCCCTCACTCATTTGGGCTGAAAAAACAACCCCGCGCCTTTTCGTTATGTAAGGGGCCGTCCCTTAACTTGTTTCGCAGGCCAAAACCATTGTAAACCGATACAGAGGAAAAAAACCGATACCCCCAGCAGCCATGAAGACACACATCAGGTCCGAGTTGTTATCGCAGATTGTGGAGTCATAAATTTGCAGGGCCCAAACCGATACCCAAACCGATACCCAACCGATACCCAACTCATTGGCCGCCCCGCCGAATCCAACCAGCTGCCCTGCAGCCTTCTCTGGAGCTGCCAACATGTACTTTGTGTACTACTGAAAAGTTGCGACTTCCGCTGTGGAGCTGCCAAAATGTACTTCGTATACTACACCATACTACACTTGCTTGCGCTGAAAAGCTGCGACTTTCGAGCCGGAGCTGCCAAAGTGTACTGCGCATACTACTGAAAAGTTGCTACTTTCCAGCTGGAGCTGCCAAAATGAACTTTGTGTGCTACACTTGTACTGAAAAGTTGCGACTTTCCAGCTGGAGCTGCCAAAATGTACTTTGTGTACTACACTTGTACTGAAAAGTTGCGACTTTCCATCTGGAGCTGGGAGCTGGCAGAGTGTACTTCGCATGCTACACTTGCACGGAAAAGTCGCGACTTTCGAGTCAGAGCTGCCAAAACACTGCAAACCGATGCAGAGGAAAAAAACGATACTGACCGATACTGAGGCATAAGGATACAAGGGTTGTCCACGGGGTTTTTTTCAACCCATTTCCCATTGGAGCAGCGCCGAACCCCGTCCCCACCAACAAAAACACAAGTGGGTAGAACCATTAGCATGTGGATTCATTTCAACATTTTCTTACCAGGAGGCCAGAAAGAAACATGGAACTTCTAGATAATCCCAGGCGGTTCGTTTTTTTTTTTGTGTGGCTAACCCTTCCCCATTTTCCTTTGGTGGCTCCCTGATAAAGTTACAGGTAAATAGATCCACTAGGACGACATCTTAGAATCACAGAGCCAAATGGCTTGCTTCAAACTACGCGAGGTGGGACTTCACTTCCTGGAAGATGCTTCCTCAGGAGGAATCGGACCCGACTGTTGGGACATTTCGCACACGACGGTTCCACACACCATTCGGAGACAAAGCTAGGGGAATGGCAATGATCTCTCATATTATTATAAGAACCTCGGACACAAAGCTACGGTTGAATGGCAATGATCTCTTAGAACCCAGTTGGACATCGTTTGCGTGAGGTGTATTGAAGTTTATTAGGGTTCTGCCTGGGTCCCTTCCTCAGGGCTGAAGTTGAGAATGTTTGAGGGGATTGAAGTTCACCATGGGCTCATTCGACTCTCGCTTGCCAACGCCGGCAGGACCAAGACCCATGGCCTTCGTCAAGGGCCACGAGGAAGCTTTTGCTCGAAGGGGTCGGGTGAGAAGTGTGGTTGATAGGCCCATCCCAAAGCATCCCGTATGCGAAACATTCACAGGAAAACCCTGGCTCAGTTATGTACATACTGCATGGATTCTGCATGGATTGCATGGGCCTATGGCAATTCCCCCTAACTTCCTGTGAACTTTCAAGCAAACATCTTGGAACCATTGGGTCTTCACGCCTATTGAGGTGCCCCTTAAAGGCCTTCTGAATGGCTGCCCGACTCCCGACCGATCCAGACATCCAGATCATCGCGGAAGGATGCATACCCGTTTTCGAGCCATAGACAAATGACCATCCTTCAAATAGAGAGTTGTTGTACTTGGATTGTTTGGGTTTGGTAGAACCGAATCGTTCCAGGATATGCTGGCACATTATGTGTTCCATGATTTGATCCTTGGATTATTGGATCCATTGAACGGTTCTTTCCTAACATCCTTCCCCACACAATCCATGTACACAACTGACCCACGAGCGCATGAATCTTTTGCATGCAGGCCAGTGTTTTCACAGGCAACGCAGGGAACTGCCCTGGTAAAATGACGAAGGGAACTGCCATGTTAGAATGGTTCGAGTCGGCTGCTTTGGGTCCCATGTTTTTCGTTCTGCTTTTGCCGCAGGACCTCTCTGTTCTCGAGCCGCGGGAAGATGCACAGGAGGCCGAGCAGAGGATTCGACTGGAGGATTAGATGGTGAGACGCAGCGCAAGAAACCTGTGCTTCCAGTTGCCCACTTGAGTGGGTAACCAACTAGTTTTAGAAACGGTTTTACATAGCAATCTGACTCTCTGCAGTATTTTCCCACGTTTACCCTCTTGGTCAATTATGTTGGTATGCACCTGCAGTTGGATTGTGTCACGATGGTTTCTGCTGGTCTATGGAAACTAGCAGTGGGCACCCTTGGACGAGCATCCCGGTCAATGTATAGCCACCAGGAATTTGCTGGGGTTCCTTCATCACACCATGCGTTTTGGGTTTTGGGTTCCTTCGGGAAATAGCCCCAGTGCCTCCAGACTATAAGCAGGGCTCCTCACCAGGTTTGCGTATGGCTGGAAGCGCTGGGGAATGGATGTGGGGCTCTCGAAAAGCTGGAGATCATCAATTTGCCGCACTGATTAAAGCTCCCGTGTTCCTGCTTGCGGGGAATATGTGCCAGAACTGGTTGGTTACTGGGGCCACGGATCCTGGCGTTTCAGACCAGCATAGATGACTGGAGAAGCGGTGAATCACATTCTTGCCAGTTCGCGGTAGGGAATGAGGGAATGATGCCTATAAACCATCCCTCGTAGTTTCATGTATTGACACGAGCCCTAGATTCAGCCGTGAAATTCTCACCAACCGGCAAGCATAAGGGCAAAGGCGCTGGATGTGTTCGGTGTCTTTCGAGTCTATGCTCGTGCGAAAGGGCCCTTTGACTCCAAACCCGTGTGACCCTCTTTGGATGGGGTTCCCTACGAACAGGGAATTCATCAGAACGCAAATTTCAGATCGCATCTTCATGCACCGGGGATGTATGTCTCATGGCGTGTTTCTTCTTTGTTGGTACCCTTTCCAAAACGGCAGAGATCGTGCAGGTCCAGCCGTTTCAGATTGACTTACTTTGGCTGAACATTTAGAGCCCACCTTTTGGGCAACCAACTGGCAACCATATAAAGGAGAGTACCTCAAATCTTTCAGCGGCACCCACTGAATCATTTCAGGATCATATTGCATAAAGCAACTTCTTGTATGTACCCTTATGAACAAGCAAGTTGCGAATGTGGCCTGTTAGTGGTGCTGATCCTCCTGCTTATTTGCTTGCTGGCAAGTGTGCCTTTCTGCAACTCGCAGGGGCACCGGGTGCACAGACGTGCTGAGCCGAAAACCGGCGAGCGGAATGAGGACCTGACCTCAGAGAAGGGTACAGCCGATCGCCCGGGTAAGCCTTCATTGGTGGTCTGGGATTTGAAGAAACGGTTCTGGTGAAAGGCAACGAGAGCAGCGTCACCCACCCTAATGTTGACCCATGATTAATAAACCCGTCCCCCCCCTATTAGTCAACCAGGGGTTTGCTAATCCGGGGTTAACATTACCACCAACTAGAGGGAAGTTGAATCGATGTCTTCCGGTTGATTCAGGAGAGTGTCCCACATAGCCCCTGTGAGAAAACGCCTCAAGGTCCCATAGGTCTTTCGCCATGTTCCTTTTGGCTTTTCTATTGGGCAGTTCCCTGGGTTACCTATGGGAAATGGAATCACTCGCCAGCTCAGGGCAATGTCGACCGCGGATTATTTTTTAAACCTCTCCTAGGGGGGTGTTCCCTCCAAAAGCGGTCTGAATCCCCACTAAAAGTTTTGGGACACCCCCCTATTAGTCAACCAGGGGTTTACTACTCCGGGGTTAACATTACCACCAACTAGAGGGAAGTTGAATCGATGTCTTCCGGTTGATTCAGGAAGTTTTAGGACACTTTCCTATGAACCACCGGGGCTTGGATCTTCAAGATGACCCTCCAGCCGTCAGCACACGCTCACGAGGCAGCGTCGCCGGCTCCGGCTCCCCCGGCCGCCCCGGCGCCGAGCGGCTCTCCGAAGGAAGAGGCGCGGCAGGTGGGTGGCAGCAGCTGGGAAGGGTGGCAAGGTTCCCCAGTGCCCTTTCTCTCCCCTTTTTTGGGGGGGTTCCCCTTTTACCCCTTTCTTGGGGTGTTGGGCTCCCCTGCTAAAATCGGCAAAACCGAAAAAAAATGGCAGCCTTCTTCTAGCCTGTCAAGTCTGGAGGACCTAGGCTGGCCTTCGGGAGCGAAGCTGGAGGCATCCAAGTTTGTTACGGAGAGAGCCGCAAGGAGCTGCCAGGTAAGGACACGGTACGCAGGCTTCGGCAAACGAGGTACTGGCAATACTCTCGTGTTTGCGGGATGTAAGAGTCGCGCACATTGTGTTGGACAATCACGAAGTCCGGTAAAACGATAAGGTGCAACAAAAAAAAAACACGATCAGGTTGTTGGGTGTTTCCGTGTTGTTTGTGCTGGAAAACGATAAGGTTTGGAGCATGGAACACACGTATTGCTAGCATTTTGCTCAATCTTGTTTGCTCCCTTTCCGTCCTTCCTGTTCACAACCATGGCTTGGAGCATTGAGACCCGGGAGAGGCTTCCGAGTCACGACGCTGAAAACGATAACAAAACGATAACAAAAACGATAACGCTTTTTGACAGAACCCATGCCCGTGAGGAGTTGCCCATTGAGAGGAACTTAGCCACTCTACCCTAGCTTTCCCTTTGATGTCTCCCGGCCATGGACAGCATACTTGTCTTTTACGTTGGAACATGTCTTGGACTCTACGTTGGAACACATTATTGCAGTTGATGAGCGCAGGCTAGCCAAACAAATTGAAGCAAGCAAGCGCAAACGAAAAGCATGGAAGGAGCTTGCTGCTCGTGAGTCCGACGAAGAAAGCCTTTGAAGCCACCATGAGAGCTGATGCGCGCAGTTGTCCAAAAGCGAACCCCGGTAAAACGATAAGGTGCAAAGAAAAACGATAAGGTTAATGATGTTGAACATACATCTAATGTGTAAAACGATAAACTTTGACGCAAAACTGATAAGAAGGCACATGTGCAGCCCATTTCAATTGAGGTTTTGCCGCGGCCTCAAATGTCTCCGCGAGTTGTGTTTTTGACCCCTTTCTAAGGGTAGCTGCCCCATTCTGAACCCAGGGATCCGGATCTTTCTAGAAAACCACAAAACAAAACCGGGAAAGCAGCTGGTTCTTGAAGGGAACGATGGTTCGAAAGAATGGAAAAGGAATCAACCCCTAGACCCTTCATTTGTTTGGCCCAAAAACCCAAGGCGAAGGTTTCTCGGTTTTCGGGGAGCCCCCGGCCGATCTGGCGGGCTGGAAGAAATCGGCCGCGCGGGCGGCAAGGGCACTCCAAGGTGATCAATCCCACTGGAGCTGTGCAAGAGGGTCAATTTTGGGAGCCGGTCTTAACAAAAGAAAACAAAGCGGGCCATGACATCCTTAGAATTTGTGAGCATCGAAAAAGAAATCGCTGGACAACAAACAAGCTCGCATTCCCCCGTGCTAGCCAGTGAGGAGGTGCGTTTTCCCCCTAACCTTCAATCATCCATCCATCCCTCCAGATACCAGATATTTGGCATCAAGGGAAACCAAGGAAAACCGAATCCATTTCTGGGGTCCCCTACAAGCCCACATTTTTTTCCCCAACAGCCCCAGCTTTCCTTGGCACCCTCTAAAACCCTCCCGGAGCCTCAAACTACCCCAAAGCCTATCTGGGCAGAGACCCCATCTAGATCCCCCAGTAGCACCCTTTTACCCTTTTTTGGAGGAAGGCTCCCCTACTAAAATAGACTACAGAAAAAAAGGTAGCCTTATTCTAACCTATCTAGTGGAGGGCCTAGCCATAGCTTTCAGCTGTTGGGGAGAAAGAGACATCCCCCCCAGATTGCCCAGTCAGGTCAACATGGTAACTTGACAGGAGAAGCCGAAGCGGTCTCGGGCGCCGGCACCTGCAACTGGAAATGCGCGCGGGGGAACTTAGGTCAACGGAGTTCTTAAGGTCTTCCGTTTGCTTAAGAATATCTGTTTTATATCCTCCTCTGATTTTTCAAGGGGATCTATCACTAGATTTTTTTTCTCCCATGGGCTTAAGCAAATGAAGAAAAGCCGGGTTCATCATAAGCTCAGTTGTCGAAAGCGAATCGACCATTTGACCTTCTGGTTTTCCCAAATTGGTCCAATTTGAGTCATGACCCAAAAGGTTAACCGTTTGTTTCGGGGTCCTTTGGGCAACTGAGTAAACCACTTGATCCAGCACCCCAAACCACTGGAAAGTACAAACGGGATTGTTTGGACATGGGAAAAAGCAGCTGGATGGCCCCTGGAAAAGAATTCCCACGAAAACGGGACCCCCACTAAACGTGTTTGTTTTTTTGCTTTATAATCAGGGGTCGGTTTTACCCTGTTTGCAAGTCCCCTAAGTGTGTCGTAACAGCCTATCAACGGCTAACCTGGCGTATCAGGCGCCAGGATGGACACCATTTTGCGAGAGTGGCCATCCCCAACAACCCCAAGTACAGGGGTCTCATAAGAATGGCACTCATGATTGTTTGTGTGTTTTTGCGGGTACCCTTCAGGTTGGTTTATCGGGGTTTCCAAAAGGAGAACCGAAATCCAGGCTCAGTGTTTTTTCGTGGGTTGGAGGAGAGTGTTTTGTGGGGTCTGGCTGAAAGGGTAAGAACTTTCAACAAAAGCCAACGGCCTTCAGACATGATTTGGATGGAAACTTCAGGGTGATCTTAAGGGTTCGAGTACACCTAATTGTTCGGTTCCATTTGTCATGAACCCTGCAGGGCCTATAGGGTTTAGACAACTAGAAGCGGCTTTGAATCCAGGGAGTGATGTTTTATAAGATCTGGGCTGCCTGCTTCCGAGGTGCAGTGCCCAGCCAGGCTGGTGGACCACCGGTCGAGTCATGTGATCCACTGAATCGAGCGAATCGAACCATGGTTGATGTCATGCCACGTTTGGATCCAGGTGTTTGGCCAAACAGTGGCAAGATTACCCTCTCTTCAACCATCACAGAAGCTGACAAGAGTTTTGCAAGACGCCGTTACGTCATGGGGAAGCCCCCTGTGCACTTCAAAACCCGCTTCCGCGACTGGAAAGGAGGTGAGCCACGTGCTCAAAACCCGGGTAGATGAAGGTTAGTAAGGGACAATCCCAACCATAAATAGCGGATAGCAGCCTTCTTAATTCTTTACATGGTTCTGGGTCGACCATTTTAGTACTGGGTTTTGATTATGACTCAGGTCACCTTGTTTCCCCGTTTGGGGCAAGCTTCAGCCGCGGCAACCAGGACCTTGGAAGCTGCGAAGCGTGATTTGTTACCCAGGCAAGAGCGGATGGAGGTGGAGATGGAGACGGTTGCCGCGACATCATGGACTGCTCTTTGTTCTGGAAAAGACGCTAAGCAATTCTACGACATTCTGAAAGTGTCCACTGGCAAGATACTGCCATGATCCCTGCACTTGCTGTCACACACACGCACGCACAAAGCACGCAAAGCACACACACACACACACACCATCTGGGATGCCTAAGGTGTGCTGTGGCATACATAGTCCTGGTTGGTGTTGGTTCTGCATGCCTGGAGGCTCCATGACGTCATGACCAACCATTTTTAAAGGGTCATGGACCATGACCCTTTAAAAATGGTTGGTCATGACCCCTTTATTTGGGCAATGACCCCGTGTTTTAAGGGTCATGGAGACTCCAGGTTCTCTTTAAACTCCACCGAATCCATGTGGCTGTGGCTACCCAAGATGGCTCCTTGGTAAATGGAAACAACGGAAACAACAACGTGTTTAGGTAAACGGAACAGCAAGCCTTCGCTTCCATCGCGATAGGCGCCTGCCAGAGCACCTAGCGCTCCGAGAACTGAAGAGGAGAGGCGGGCAGGAGGCGACGGTAGCCGTCCGGTTCCTTGAGCCACGTGCTCAAAACCCGGGTAAGTGAAGGTTAGTAAGGGACGATCCCAGCCATAAATAGCGGATATCCGCCTTCTTAGTTCTTTACATGGTTCTGGGTCACCTTTTTGTGTACCGGGTTTTGATTGTGACTCAGGTTTTCAAGGTGTTTAGTTGGTTTAGCAAGAGACGCCTTCTTGTCGATTTGATTTGCAACAGATGGGTGTCCATTTCCCCCACTAGCACTTAAACTCTAATTGGTATGTGCCTATATTCTTGGGTTTACTTGGGGGGTTTCCTATTTATCCCACTAAAAGTTTAGCAGGGATCGGAAACCGGACAGCCCAGTTCGTGTTTTCAGCAGGTTGCCACCCCGAGCCGTCTAACTCAAAGATTCCGACTCTCTCTGCTGTCCAAAACCGTCCTGAAATTACCTTTGGTATTCAATGTTGGTCCATGTTTAGCCATGAACCCAAAGGGTTAACCTTCAATTCTGGGTAACTAAGGGGCAACTGTGGAATTTGTCAGATTTTTTTCTGGAATCCCTTTTAGGGGTTGCTATTTCTCTACCCTGCCAGGGATGTGGGCGCAAAGCTGGTTAAAATCAGATTGATTCTCGGGACACTATAGCGACCTCACATTTTGCGGTTGAGGGTCAACGCCTAATCTTAGGTTCCGACATGAATTCAGTTTAAACACTAAGTTGCTTATGGGTGTTCTCGGAGGCCAAGGGAAACGTCATCCAAGTGGCAATGTACTCAGCTTCATTTGCCACAGAACATGGGGAGCTTTGTTGATGCTCCCTTGGCCTTCAAAATTCAGCCCAACACGGTGGTACTGGCCACAACGCAAGAAAAAACAACACTGAATTGTTGCAAAGAAAAAAGTCGAGCCCTGTTTTGCTGGTTTGATGTTTTACAGACAAAGCGACGTGACGCCATTGTCATGTGCAGGGTTTGTTTTATCTCAGTACAAATTTGGCTTCATCCATCCCAACTGGTGCGAAATGAGGAAAGGTGATTTGTTCTCTTCACCCACCAATGCTTCCAAAGCATGGCAACCTTAGGGTTTTCTTGGTATTTGGAAGATCAGTTTGCTCTTAAAGGTACTCTCTGTCAAGTGCCATGGAAAAAGTGGGAGTGAGGGTAGCTACTGTGGATGGACGAAATCCTGCACCAATCCGACTCCCCTGTAAATACCAACAAACAACGGATTCGTCGAAGTGGTTCGAAATGGATTTCGTCCATGGCGTAAGGCAACTGGAAGCCACCGGGCCAGACTTTTTTGAGGAGAAGCCGGAGAAGCTGGAGAAGTCGGAGAAGCCGAAACGTCACGGGCTCAGAAGGAACGAAAGAAAGGCGCCGGGCTGTGGGTTGGATCCCAGAAAGGCTTTGCAACGCGAACTCCAATTTTCCTTCAAATTTGAGTTGTGTCAAACCACTCCAGAAAGTAGATTGCACATTTCCCTTGAAGGCAATGCCACGAAGATGGGTTGGAACTGCCATTTGCGCAGTTCCCTTGGTAAGTGAAGGGGATGGCACGAACGAGCCATCTTTTACCCAACAGCACAGACTAAATTCGTTTGGATTCGAGGCCGAGCAGTGCCGGCACGCCCACCAGCGGCCGCGCCCGCGCCGGCACCTTCGCCGGCGCCGGCGCCGGCGCCTGCGCCCGCACAGCCAGCGCCTGCGCCGGCAGCGGCAGCGGCTGCAGCAGCGGCGCCGGCAGCGCCGGCGCCAGTTGCTTCGGCAGCTGCGCGAGGTCAGGGGCCTACGCTCTGGGTATAAAGGGAGAAAGGAAATCCACCATTTTAAGCGGCTCCTGTATGTTTGAGAAAGATCCTGGGAGTTTCCAAAAACATGTGTTCCCTAAACGATCCATACAGCAATATGTCCCACGTTTTTTCTCCAGATGTGTCAAATGTTGGCGTATATTACCTACATGGATTGTCCGGTGCGTGTTGAAGGCGTGTTGTGCGAGTTCGCAGCGCGTTCGCAGAGCGTTGTGCGTGTTTCCAGCTGCCAGTCCTGATTTGTGCCTTGCAGCTCACCTTTTGCTTGCCATTTTCAGTTGAGTTTCCTCGGGGGAAATGCAGGGAGCGTAAGACAGTGAGAAGATTACTCACTTCCTGAGTTGGTGGACTTTAAACTTTTTGGAAAGACCATTTTAGTGATAAATAAAAAGTTCAAACTTTTGTTGGCTAGTCAACTTGGGAAGTGAGATTATGGGGACACAAAGGGGATGTGCGATCTCATTCGATGCAGATTGGGCGAAGAGCTTGCAAAGTGTTGATGAAACCCCAGCGCTTGCTTGACTAGGACTTGTGCAGGAAGCCAATTGGATGGGGTCACCAACATTTTGATAGTTGATACTGTGGATGGACAAAATCCAGCACCACCCAAGAAGCACTGGAATGATGATTCCCCTGTAAATGCCAACAAACAGTGGTTTCTTGTGGCCTCAAAGTGGTGCAGGATTTTGTCCATCCACAGTATAGGTTTTGGGGTTTAGCGGGTCCACCCAATGGTTGCTAGCCTCAGGTCAATCGGCCGGGTGTGTGGTATTAACAACCCTCCAACGTGATGCAGGGGCCAATATATTTTGTCCGGGAGTGCACGCGACATTGGCCTTGTTCAACTGTTGATTAAAACCTCAAGCACTGTCTCGTGTGGTTTTAACGGTTCGAATTCTGGATATGTGTTCGGTCTCGGTGAGGTGGTAACATTGTCGGTTGCTCTAATTCAACAAGCCGGGTGAACCAGGAAGTCTCAATTGTTCAGTGGCACCTATTCTTTTTCTAGCTTCTTTTTTGGTGGCCCCACCAAAAAAGTAGTCTTCCCCAAAAAAGGGTTCCCTTTTTTTCCCAGGGTCACTGAAGAGAAGTTGCACCGGATTGACGCCTTCCCGAGGTGCTCCAAGATCTCAGAGCCGGCCCAGAGCAGCTTGGAAGAGATGCGAGGCCCCGGACGGAGCCAACTTTTTGGGGGAGTCGCCTTTTGCCAGACTTGACTACCCCCTACGGCAAAAACCCGCTTTTTGAGAGGGTATGGTCTCATTTGTTTGGAGAACCTGGTTTTCCATGGTAAATACCTCACTTGTAAAGGGTCGACATCATAGCCTGATAACAACTGTATTGGAGTCTTTTGTCCTTCTCCTTCTAACCTTTTCTGGGGGCTGCCCAATATTTGAGGAAAAATGCAATTTAATCGGTGCCAAGTCAACAATTCCACAGTCAGCTTGACTTTTGTGGTACCTGTGACTAGTCAGCCCTCTGTGCGTGAAGAACTAAACATGGGATGGCATTCCTGTGGTGTCACAGAAACGTGCAATTCCCACAACCATGATCAACAGTTCTGCGGCACATCACTGAGTGAGCGACGCACTTCCTCAGCCGATGCCAAGAAGCAGCTGCACCCATCAGCTACACATACAACATATATCTACCTGGAGTCCACATGACCCTTTAAAAATGGGTCCATGACCCCATTCTTTAGTAGGGTAATGACCCCATTTTTAAAGGGTCATGGAGACTCTAGGTGCACCCAATGCCAGGAGGGTCACGGCGCCACTTGGTTTTGACGCGTCAATCAGGAGCTCCTGCCTGGCTCATGTTCAAAGAAGACAAGAGGACGCACGAGCAAATCTCCTTTTTACAGCACTGAAAGGGACGACGCTGGCAAACCGAAGGGAAACGAGGTTTGCTCAGAAAGTTCCCGTGTTGGCACCTGTTGAATATGACGTTAAAAAATGGGGGGAAACCCGTAGAAATTGGTGATTTCCTCGTGTTTCCACGAAACCAAGAAAAGGCGAGCTCCAGTTTTGGACACCAAATCGGCTTACATGGGCCTTGCCCGTCGCCGGCTTAGGATGCGAATGCCTCCCGAAGCAATCCCCCGAAAGCACGGGAGGAGGAGCTGGGGTGGGGGGGAGGGGTGGTCGAAGCGCGAAGGAATGAGGAAGGATCATTCCCAAACAATCATATATATGCATGTTCCCCACATTTTCCTCCAAGAGGGCAATACATTTACGGCATGGGTTGTGAGCGATTTTGTGGGGGTTTCTAAGTTTTAAAGTGGACTCTGGAAGTGCCTCGTACCTTGGCAGGATGCACGTTAAACATTTTCTTGAAGCCAAGGGAATACGACTTGCTGGTGATCTGTAGGGAATGACCCAGGGTGTTGGGAATGAACCTAGGGATTGCCTGAAAGAAAACCATAGGCGACGGGTAATAGGGGCTATTCCCTCATTCTCCGCTCAGAACCAGCAAGAAGAAGCCTGCCGTTAGATCTGGGAGGGCATTGCCATAAGTGAGATGCATGAGATCAGAGATGATCAGGGGTTCCACTTGGCGGTGACATGCGGGAGACACCTAGGCCCATGTCAGGGTGTCCGTGCCTGGCAGGAAACAGGCAGGGTTGGTCCAGTCCTTTTCTGAGGCACATTTTGTGATATGAAGGGATCCATGTTTAAGGTGACATTCTGTAGTCACTGAGGTGGGGATTAACCACATTTTACCGCATGTTACGGGCCCAATCTGCCGCACACATTGACAATTTAAGGGCATCGTTGCCTCCATCTGCTTCTGGTTGGAATACTCGGGTATTCATGTCGTGCCTTTGAAACGCGTTTGGCATTTTTTCACGATTGTGTTTCTCCTGGCTGGGGTTATCCCGCGAAGCAGATTCGCGGGGTCTCCTCCAAAATTATGTCATGTTGGGATTGCCTAGCCCAGTGCTTTCGGCTACCACTGCAAAGCAGCCCTGGCCTGGTTCATCACCAGGTGGGCATCTATGGTTGATCTGAGCATGTATTTTTCTGTATGCAGATGGGACATTTCCGCGCCGATTCGAGGCCTCCCAAGGTGGGAGGGGTGACCGGCCTGTGAGTCGCCAGGAGGTTTCTCGACAGCGCGAGGCGCGCTCGCGGGACAGAGGCGCACCGGGGGGCAAGGAGTGTCCGCGTCAGGTTTGGGCAAATGAGCGACCGACCAGAATGTACTGGTGTCTATTCTAGAGAAGCAAGGGGCAAGTCATTTCAAAGCTCACATCTCCGTCATGTAGGTTCCTCCAGGGCCTATATAGCGTCTGTGGAGTTGGTACCTTCCAGGCGTCGAAATGGCGGGCTGGATACTTTGTAAGGTGCGTCTCGAATAAAGTCCTTGACTTGCTGGTGCGATGGGTAGCTAATGAGCGACTCCGGGTGTTGGCAATGATTCGATTTGGGGATTCCCGAATGGAGGAAACCATAGGGAATGGTTATAGGGGTCATTCCATGTCTCATTCCCTGAGAACCAGCGAGCCGAATTTGTCAGACTCCCAATTCTCGATGGAGAACCACATGGAGTTTGTTGGCTTCCAGCTGTCCCAATGAAGCGAGCTGGCTGTGGCTCAACTAAATGTACCAAAATGGCACCTTAGCAAATGGAACCAGAGACAAAAACCTGCGTAACCCTAGCCCTTTCATTTCGAGCCACCTCCAGCTGTTTCCGACATGTCCGCCTTTTGAAGGCACAAGTTGGAAGTACTGTGGGCCCCGGGGGGTGGGGGGGCGGGTGAAGACCACGCTCAAGCAGAGCGATTTGTCCCGTTTCGGCAGCATCTCACAATGCGGTGACTCGTGGTTCCATTTCGTCTACTCAACTTACATGTTGCTTGCTGTCTGGGACATGCCATGACCTCTACCCACTATATGAGCCACAATCAAACCCCGGGTCCGGGAAGGTTAGTAGGAGACCAGAATCGGTGCAGCCGTCCTTTTGATTCTTTACATGGTCTTGGACCCACGTTGCATACCCTCCCCAGTTTTCCCTTGTAGTTCAGTTCAGGTGACCCGTTCAATGGATTCTACCCTCCAAACGCTCCGGGCCTCGGAAACCGGGCCGCTGACTCGAACTCATCTCAGGACGGGCCCAGTCGAGCCAACCGCCAGCGCGCACTGTGAAGGCAGGGCGTTTCGGTCGTTGAGTTTGACCCACGGATTTGGGCTGGTTGATTATTTAAGGGTCTTTCCAAGGGTCCAAACTGGGTCCCAAAAGGGTCCAAAGACATGGGGCGTTTCCGAGAGCTTTTCTTCGGAGGGGTTTCTCTTCAACCAAAAGAAGGATGCCCCTATGTTCCTAGGTCAGGGTTATTCTCACTTTTTTTTAGCAATGGACAATATTGCCAGATCGGATTGGCCCGTGGCCTGGTTGACAGGTGTCGGACTGAGTGATGTCAACCTCGGATCAATCCAGGGGACGTTAGTCAGAGGAACCCCCCAAAGTAGATCTAGAAGGGGAACCACCCCTTAGCGCTGTCCTCAAGACAAAATCCGAAGTTGACAATTCCCGCACAATCTATAGTATATGTATTGCCAGCGTAACTGACCCACAAGGGTTTTCTTCGCAACTATTTGGCATACGGTCGGATTGTTTGACATGACCCTCCACCAATTACTCATCATGGAACCTGACGTTCGGGACCCGCTGCCTGTAAAAGGAAAACGGTCCAAACGAGGACTCCTTAATTCGTCAGAGGGTAAAGAATCCCCCAACAAGATGGCTTTGGATTCCTAGACCGAAAATGAACAACCCCGCCCTGTGTACACCGCCCGCCCCCAATCTTGCGGAACCATGAGAGTAAGCCTTGTTTTACCCTGGTGAAAAAGGGAATCTATTGCTGGACATATATGTTCTTATCCATGGGACTGCAGCCAATGGAAGCTATGTGTCCAACTCCTTTTCCCTCAGCTGGCTCCAAAAGCCCTCAGCTGGACCTAACTCAAAAACAACCAAAAAAAGCTGGACCCAACTTTCAACAAAATCAAGAAAACTTGGGGGTCCTTTTCCCTCACCTGACTTAAAAAGCAAACCTTTCCTTTTGGGGGTCAAATACCCTCAAATATATATATATATATAATTATATATATATTATATATATATTATTTGTCAAATATATAGATAGATATAGAAAGTCTTGGGCTAGGGATGGGATCTGAGTGCTTTCGGGTCAACGCTCCGTTTGGTTCGCCGGCGGCTCGCCGGCGAGGTGGACGAGGCCAACGCGGCACCGGCGGCCGCTGCCGCCTCCGTGCCGCTGGGCCAGCTGTCCCCGGCGCAGGCGGAGGCCGCCAAGTGGCGGCCCCGGAAGGTTTCGCCCCCGAAGACGTTGGGTGGCTCGGTCGTTTTTTTGTTGAAGCGGCGGCTCGTTTTTTCTTCTTCTTTCTTTTTTCTCCTTGTTTTAAGCTGTGTGTGTGTTTTTGGAGGTTGGTTTAAAGGGAGAAGGGTTGAACACCATATTTTGGATCCCCTTCTGACCCTTAACAAACATAGTTGGTCATTACTCAAAATAAAGGGGTCACAACTTAACCCCATGTTTTTAAAGGGTGGTGGAGACTCCAGGTACGCTTTTTTGGTTGGTGTAAAGGGACAAAGGTTAAACACCACATTTTTTTGGGGGCATATCTTTTAAGGAGGGTCCCTTTTTTGAGACAGATTCATTTGAGAAACCACGAGGAACATATGGTTGGAAATGTGGTTGGCAACTATTGTCACATGTTTTGGGAAGACATGGTTGCAATCATGGGAACCATCGGGAACCCAAGGGAATATGGCAAACCATCAAGAAATTGCGGTTGCAACCATTGGGAAGAACGAGGGAAACCATAAGGCAAACCCATGAGAATTGGGAGCCGTGAGAAGGAGAAATCACCTAGTCGCGGGTGTCTCCCCTGATATGTGTTTTTTTTGCCGGGGGGGGGGTTCGTTTGTTTGTTTTGTTGGGGGGTGGGTACACAACCACTGGTTTATTTCTTTTTGGGGGTGTGGAAGTGGGTAAACAAGCACTGGTTTAGAGAGCCACAGCAGCTCCATGAACGAATGATAAGCAGATGTACAATAAACCACTAATCCTTGTAAGTCCCGGGGGCCCATTCCGGTTGGTGACTTCAGCCTTTGCTGTATGGTACCTTTTGTCCCCCCCCCCCCCCCGCAAAGAAAAGAAAGGAGAAAAGACACAGACAATTCCTAGCCTACCCAGAGACCCTCGGTGGGTTGGCGAGATCTTGCGATGCGATCTGTTCCCGAGGCGGCAGCGCAGGTTGCATCGTCACCACACCTTCGCGGAAGAAGGCTCGGAACTTCCGAGAGAGGAGTTGGCGAAGAAAACGACGGGCTCGTCGCAGGTTGGCTTGGAAAACCACAAAGGAAACCATCCATTTGGGGCTTCGACTTTTTGACATATACATGGAATCGGCAACCGCCTTTATTTGCAAATGGGATAGGTCCTTTGGTGCTTTGCCAAGGTCAAGAATGCCAGTTCCGAAATGCTCAAACATCAAGCCACCCACCGGATCTCAAGTGGCGAGGGTGCTCCAAGAATTGGCCTTCGGGGGTAGTTTCGCTTTGAGCGAAGTGGTATTTTTTGAGGATCTAAAATTTCGCCTCAGAGACAAACCTGACGCGTTCGGAAGCTTTTGGCACTATCATTGCTGGAGGAAAGTTCGCTCTTTGGGGAGAGGGTACCTGAAAGGAAGGGACTTCTTAAGCCTATTGAAGCCTTGAGGCAGTCTCAAGGCATTTGGGGGCTTTCACATTTTGGGAACCCCCATGTTTTACAATGGCTGGTTCGGGGAAATACCAGGGTGAATCCAACGATGGGTGGGTCACCCTGCTTCATAATGTCTTCATGTTCGCCTCGTTGAATTATTGCAGCCTGTTCTTTAACTTCTTGACGGCCATCGACCCAATCGTAAGTTTGTTAGTAGATATTCATTAGTCACTTACGCGATGACATCTGGCTGTGGCTCAAAACCAATGGTACCAATTTGGGGTAGGTGCACCACCCATTTTAGTCTATTTTAGTGGGGATTCGGATGTTCAATGGGGGTACGATTTGGCTTTGACCCATGGCCATCTCACTGGGTGAGTTATGGCTCACTGCCTGGATGCCCAGTTGCTGCTTTTTTCCAATCACTTTACCCCAAAAACCAGCAGCAGGGACTGAAAAAAGCGATCGCAACTTGGCTATCTAGGCGGGTGAATTTGTGCTCTTTGACCCACTTGGTTTCTATATGTTTTTATACTGGGAGATGGAATCACTGGGTGACTTATGGCTCATGTTCACAGCTTTCTTTCAGCTCTCTCTAGGAAAGGCGCGGCAGGAAGCGCTTCAAGCGGCCTTAGGCCGGGAGGTTTCAAATGGCTGGCTCGTCCTTGCGGATTTGTTCATTCCCCCTGGTGGCTGCCGCGTTTCAGTGTTCGTGTCGGTGTCCCTTTAAAAAGCACTAAAAACAAGCACCAACTAAAATCACGACGTGTTGGTTTCCCGTTAAAACCACAAAAGAGAGATACCAACTCTAAAGAGACTCCCCCAAATAGAGCTGGTTGGAAAGCGATTCCCTGACCCATCCAATGCCGTCGTTCTTTCGAGGTTACCTGTAAAAGTCCAAGCGGAAACATAGGTTCAGGATTTCCAAGCCGAAGAAGGGGTTGCGTTCTTTGTGGTACCCCATTTTCGGGCTGGCTTCGGGTAAGCAGCCTTCACTGCAACGAGCGGGTTCTTTCTCGGATTTCATTCGGGACCTGTGGGTCAAGGGCTTCCGATTTTTCAACCACCAAATTTGGAAGGCCAATCTTATGTGAGCCGGGGTTCCCAATATGGACATGTGTCATAATACAAATACTTGTATCCCGAAATGGTGGTTGTCCTTGGTTTGGCTTCAACATCATTCAACAAGAATACATACCCACCAGCACCCTCCCTACTTCCAAGGCATTCCAGGTGGTTTTCATCTAAGCCAGCTGCAGGAAGCTCAACTGGTCGTTTTGGTGGGAGTTTGGCGTCTGTAACCGCTGGCTTCTATGCTCAGGTTGCCAATCTCAGGTGACTATGTTTTCCACAAACACCGGTGCGTTCACCTTGGTTTTAAGGGAGCCAGAAGAAACCCAAAGGGAAACCACAAAGAAAACCACTCAGCTTAGAGGGAAACCAAAAAGAATGGGTGCAACTGTGTGTCTGTGTGCGTCTTCAAGGGGCCCCCCAAAATGGGCGGTTGCCGGGCTCCAAACCACAGAGGGAAGCTGAAAACTGCACCACAGCCCTGAAACGGACTCCTTAGTCCTCTAACTCTTGGGGTCGGTTGGCCAAAATAGGCGCCCCTCCAAAAATGGATTTCGGTTTGCCTGTTGGCTTGCCATTACACCTAAGGGGATTCACTTGCTGGTTCGATAGGATCCCGGCAAAACAAAGGACAGGCCGAAACCTAAAGTCTCCGTGACCCTTTAAACATGGGGTCATGACCCTTTTTAGGGTCATGGAGACTCCAGGTACCCTTTTTGGCCAGGTGTCTGGGATCGACCTTGTGACCTTGTGGTTGCCCCGTTTTGGGAGCCATTCGTGGCCCCCAAAGGTGATCACCTTGTTCCAGGTCCCTAAGGGGCAACTGAGAAAACAGACAGACCCAAATCCCAATTGTTTGTCGGGGCTCCTGAAAAGATACATTTTGCAACCATTTGAAACATGTTGCTTTTTCCGCCAAAATATAGGGACACCACCATTTACAAGGCAATGTTCAGGTGTATAATGTAAGAATCCCTGTTTGTCATATCAACCGAGAAAAACTCCCGAAAGGTCGGGCACTCAGTCTCAGAGACCCGGATTCGTTTGTTTGGTGACCCATGGAGCCTCCGTAAAAGGAAGCCTTAAAGGAAAACCTTGAGAATGGGGTCACACCTGTCTTTTGGGAAAGCCACGGAGACTCCTTAAAAGGATGCCATTTTTCCGTGGCATCCGAGCAAGAAGCTCGGCGAAAGGTGCGGAGCCGGTGCAGAGGCTCTTCAAGGCATCTGGGGCCCCAAGGGCCCAAGGGCTTGGGGTAAGCTGATCCAGCCCGAAAAGCCTTTTGTTTTGTGTTGTGTGTTGTTTCTTTTTGTGTTGTTTCTTTTGTGTGTTTTGTGTTTTGTTGTGTTTTTTTGGTTCTTTTTGTTTTTTTTGTGTGGTTTCTTTTCTTTTTCTTTTTGATGTTTGTTTGCTTCTTTGAAGGCTCGGGGCTTTTTCTCTCCCGAAAAAGCGGTAGTGCTCTATTCGTTTGTTTGTTGAAGCAAGAGCATTTGTCACGCCTCTTTTGAGAAACAGACCTAGTAGTGGACCAGCTGCCCGCTTGAACATGTTCAAACGCCCATCGTTGAAGCAGTCTCCTTTTGGGTCTCCTGTAAAACGGGCGACCTGGTTGTTTAAACACATTTTGCCCGAACCTTAAGATGAAACGGAAGACACTCACGTGCTTTCCTCCACGTGGATCTAAGCTTTTTGGTATCACGGTGGGTTTCTTCTAACATGGCGCAAGAAGTGTCCAAGTTGTCTTCCCTTACCCAAAATTACCCCAAAGTCAAGCTTCTCCGCCCAAAGCATCTAGAAAAGAGGGCAACCCTGGAAAAAACAGGAAAAACACAACACAAGCCATCTTCTCCTTGCTCGAGGCAAGGCCAAGAAGCCACGCCCACCTGATTGCACGGCGTGACTAGTTAAAATATACGGTCTTATTCTGTGATTCATCTTCGGTCACCAATATCCGATATTTATAGCTTGCTGGTTCGATACGTAGGGAATGAAAAATGATGAACCTGGGGATTCCCGAATAAAGGACATCACACGGGAGGGTTTGTAAGGGTAATTCCCTCATTCCCTGCTGAGCACCAGCAAGACAATGAATTGTTGGTTCAAATCCATCATGAATCAAAAACAACTTGCTTTACATGTTGAGGCACATTGAATTTGCATATTTTGGCGGTTTGCAGGAGACCTCGTCTTATTGGAAAACCCTGCCTTCGTTTACCGCCTTTCGATTCACATCATTGCCGGCTCATATCCAGCTGCTTGAGGTGATCATCAATCCAATCAGATTGTTTCTTTTGCTCAACATCCAAGCATCTTGTTTGTTTTGGCATCAAGTGATCACCAATATCATGTTCTTTGAACGGTCATCGCTCATGGAGTCATTTGCTTTGCATAATACCTGGCTGTGGGTCAAACATAGGGCAACCCCAAAATGGGTCATCCTGGTAAATGAAAAAATTGACTAACACCTGCGGTCCATTTCCTGGTGGTTTAATTTTGACCCATACCCTATATTTCCCATGTTTTTCGCAATAGAAGGTGTGTTTCCCTTGGTAGGGGTGATGGTTTAACACCCACCTGCTGAGAAACCGGGCAAGGGGGTGACCTCCTCCACCCCTCCTCACCGGAGCCCGGAGCCCCGGACCGCCTGACCGCCTGACCTCCGCAGGCCTGGGAGCCCAACTTCCGGCGCAGCTACGACTTCTTCCAGCGCTGGAAGCCCTCCTCCAGCCCTTCGCCGGGAAAGGGAAGCGGCTTCCCGGGGTCTTTGATGGCTGCCTGGAAAGAAGGATCTGAAGAGACGGATCCCTGGAAAAAGTGGGAAAGAGTGGGAAAGAAGGGAAAGGGTTGAAGGATCCCTGAAGGATCCCTGGAAAGAATGGGAAAGAGTGGGAAAGAGTGGGAAAGAGTGGGAAAGAGTGGGAAACAAGGGAGGAGCACTTGGCATCTAAGGTGTCCAGAAACTCCAAGGTCTCGAGAAAAGGCTTTGGAATCCATGTTTCTTATCTGGGCTGTCCTCAGATCCCCCGCTCAAAGTTTAACTTTTAGTGGGTTAAGTGGAAACTGCCACTCAACACTAACAGGCTAAAAAGCTAAGGGGACGACCTTAAACAAATTGGTCGTATGGGTCAAAATGAAACCAAGAAATGGACCGCGGGTTTTAGTCCTTGGTGCAATTTACCAGGGCAAGCCTTTTTGGGATTACCCGATTTTTCACCCACAGCCATTTGGAGAGGTGAAACTCAGTTGCTCAGCGGCAAGTTGCTCACTGGCACCCTTGTTCTTTTTCCAACTTTGTTTTTGGTGGCCCCACTAAAAATGGTCTTCCCCAAACAGGGTTCCCTTTTTTTCCAGGGTCACTGAACAACTGAGGTGCGGTTGCTCTGGCTCTCCTTCTTTTTGCAAATTCATGTGCCGAAGGCGTACCCCAAACAATGGTTCCCAGGATGTTTGGTTTTCTTTGCAGTTCTTGAATCGACGGTTTTTGTCCGCTTCTGTTTTCCGAGTTGTGTTTTTTGCTGTTTTTGTTGGTTCTGTTCATGCCGCTGTGTACAGCATACGGCATCTGCCGGTTGGTCAGGGGTCATCGGCTTTACAATTCATGCTTCAGCTGCGTTGCGATGCGACTCGATGCCCGAAACAGTACAGTGGGGGATCAAGTTGTTTGTTTTGTTCATTTTTAGGGCGCTGCACAAAAACACAGAGTCAGTTTTGTTAGCAAAGCTCTTTTGGCAGCTGTGAAGCTTGTCCAGCAAACAGGCAGTCAAGGGTCATGTTTCATTTCACTTCTTATGCCGCTGCGTGGGGCCGGGTAAGTTGTCATGAGCAAGGGTCAATGATTTCACCTGAACACGGAGAAAGTAGGAGATGTTTCTCACCAAAACCCAACATCATTGTGGGACAGGTCAATATTGACCGTGGCTAACATGAAGTTTGGCAGTGTCCCGTATTTCTCCTTTTGCTAATCTAAGCGCTCGCCTCAGGTGGAGAGATGACCCTCGCCGGTTTTCTGCTGCTGGGGGATTGCCACTCGCTTAGTGGACGCTGGGCTCGCTCGTGTCTATTTCGTCATGCCCTCTTTGAGCGGTCCGTTCCCGACGTTACATAGGCCACTTCTTCCTGGCAAGCGGAACCTGTGTTTCGAGTTTTGGACTTTCGGCTTAGCCACTTGCCGTCGCCACAGCTCACAGGTCCAAATGTCGAATTTCACATTTTTTGGGGGTAGGTCGGACAGGGTTGCTGGTTGGCATTCAGTAGGTTCATGCCGCTCAGTTCGAGGGACCACCTTGATCAACCATGGATGTGCTGCATAGGGATAAGTTCTTGAGATGTTTTTTAAAGGACACCTGACCAAAGCCGTCCACCTGAGTCAGAAGTTGCGGATGTCAATGGAAACCAAACAAAAACTCAATGGTTGCATGAGCTCGTAATTCAAACCTTGGTTCCACCACCCTTAGGGACTCTTTGCTGACGAAGTCAGGAAACGGGGTTCAGCCAGATGTTTGGCTGCTTGTGGCTTTGATTCTCGCGGAGACAGTGCTGCATTGCACCTACGCTTTCTGAGATGCAGCTTAGCAGATCAACCCCGGGGTTCCTTTGCCCCCAGTAAAAGAATGGCCTTGGGACCCAATCTGGATGATGACAATTCTTATGTAAATAAGGGTGGTTATACATACATAATATATATATATATAAACCCCCGTTGTGTTAACGGTGGTTTGATCCCCAGGGTTAGTAGGTCAATGAACCAGGAAGCAAAGAGTCACCCACGCGAGTGAAGATCTCAGCTTTTGTCAGGCTTTGGCATCCTGGAGAAGGACGATCTCAAGGCCTTCTGAGAAAATTGGCTCGGCTCCAGCCCCTTGTGTTTTTTCGGCTGGCATTTGGAGAGGTTGCGGTTGGCTCGTTTCTTTTTTTGATTTGACGTGAAAAAAAGGAGCACCCCAAACAAAGGCTCACAGGATGGTTGGTCTTCACTGTTGTTGGCATGTGTTGGTGTTTTGTTTGGTTCTGTTGGTTTTTTGAAGGGGGCTGCAAAAACCAGGATTGCCATGCCAAGGGTTGGACAGCTTTCCACAGGGGTGAACTGCCCTCAGTCTCTGAGTTGGACTGAGCTTTTGTTGGGGCCAGCCACTCAGGAAGCCCTCTGTCTCCAACAAGTGAGTTGGCGGTCTGGTGTTGAGTTTCCCTTTGGTCATCAGTTGCTCTTTGGAGTTGCCCGAAGCCCAAGCCACCTGCAGCAGGAACACAACAGACCAGGTTCAGCACCCGATTCGGTCCCGCCCGCTGCTTTTTGGGCAGTACATGCGGGATTGTGGACATGGGGAACATCAGTTGTCCCGGGGTGGTTAGCTTCTGTCCCATCATGGAAACTGGGAGCCGGTTTTCAAAGATGAAAGGGGCCTTCTGTTCAATTGGAAGGCTGTGCTGGTTAGCTTCTGTCCCAGTGTCACGGAAACTGGGAGCGGGTTTTCAAAGACGAAAGGGCCTTCTGTCCACTTTTGTTGGAAGGCGAGGGTGAACCCCGGGACGAACCCTTTGGATGTTTGTCGGAAACTCTGCCAGGTGAGCCACAATCAAAACCAGGGTAGATGAAGGTTGGCAAGGGAGGATCCCCAGCAGCGGTCGCCTTCTTAATCCTGCACATGGTTCTGGGTACCTAGAGTCTCCATGACCCTTTAAACATGGTTGGCCATTACCCAAAATAATGGTTGGTCATGGACCCATTTTTAAAGGGTCATGGAGACTCCAGGTACCCTTGAAACAACGAGATCTAGTCAGAAACCCACTTCAAGCCATGTTCACATCTACCCTCCGCATGGTTCTGGGACTACGACCATTCTAGTACCAGGTCTTGATTGCGACTCAGGTGGCCTTCAAGCGCGGGGCCGGCCACGAGCTGTCCCTCGCAGATATGCCGAACGCCCGGCGGCCAAGCGGCCAAGCCATCCCGAGGTCGCGCGCGTCGCAGGGCGATGGCTCCGTGCTCCTTGAGATCTCGGAGGTGTCCTCGATTTTGGTTTGCCATGTGTTGAAATTAATATGTGTTATTATCAAACCTGTTGGTATTATACATCTATCACTACTGGATGTTGTTTTTTCTGTTTTCCGGGGGCCATTTCCAGGCAAGCCACTACAGTAGGTATCCCTTCGCCATTTTCCTCTTGGTTAGTTTTGGGTAAAGGGGGTTCCTTTGGTTACCATACAGAATGTGGGAGATGGATTCACTGGGTAGAATTCACTGAGAGGGGGCCCGCTTCTTTTCCGACGGATTTCATGATTTGAACCCCGGGGTTGGGTACATGTTGGAGACACCCATGAACCAATCCAAGACACCAGGCCAGAAACGATACCTGGAGTCTTCATGACCCTAAAAATTGGGTTCATTGCCCAAAATCAAGGGTCTTGACCTCATGTTTAAGGGTCAGAAGGAGACTCCAGGTACCCTTTTTCAATTGATTTTTCCCTTTTGGCTTCCCTTCACCTGCAAACAAGTTCGGCGCCACCGCTGCGCCCCCGGGTGGTTTTTTTTCTCCCCATGGAGACGTGGTCAAAACCATCGGCGCCTCTCGAGCGCGCGAGGTGCTGATGCACTGCGTGGCGCGATCTGTGGAGGTGGAGTGCCAGGTGCTGGGCGTGCCGGATGAAGGCTTGTGGGAGCGATCCCTCCAGCGGGTGTGTGGGGGGGGGGGGGAAGGGGGGAGGGGAAGGACTTCGAGTTGGTGAATGCCCGGATCTAAGTCTCGTTTTTGGACAAACGGGAGTTTGGACATCTGAGTAGAACCCCCAACCGCTGCTTTTTGGACAGTACAAACGGGATTGAGACATGGGAATAAGCGGTTAGTGGGTGCTGAAAAAAGTGGAACCCCTGCTTGAATAGTGGGAAGGCCCCCTTTTAATGCGGATTCGTCACCGGAGGGGCACCCGTATTCATAGGAGGAGTTCATTAATCCGGGGTCACCATTCGTGGGTTGTTTCATTTTCCGCAGGTCAAACCGCCGGTGGGGTCGACGCGCCCAGCTATTTTTCCTCCCCAACAAGACAACTTAGTTTTATTGGCCAGCACGCTGGTGTGTGTGTGTGTGTGTGCGGGCGTGCGTGCGTGCGTGCGTGCGTGCTTGTGTGTGTGTGTTTTGTGTTTTGAGTCGGCGCCCCAAACAAGAAGGACAACCGCCCATGGACGTCCCCTTAAGCACATGACACAGCCACTTGAGTCACAATCAAAACGAGGGTAGTAAGGGACAATCCCAGCCACAAATGCTTGCCTTCGCCGCCCTTTTAATTCCTTGCATGTTTTTGGGTAGACCATTTTAATGCCGGGCTTTGATTATGACTCACTTGGTGACGGAGAAAAGCACCAGCAAGCCATAGGAAAACCAGAGCCGGCCACAAAAGGTCGTTCTCGAATGGTGGCTTCCCTGATTGCCTGTACGGAAATTGAATCACTGGATGCAGAACATAGAATGTACGTCATCTTTGCGTGCGTGAATGGAAACATCATGACCGTTGGTTTTGAACATGCGAACAAAGACCGGCCAGATCCGCAAGCCATCCTCCAGCTGAAACAAGTCTCACACATGGCTACGAATCAATGAAATTGTACTTCGGGACCCTTTGGTAGAGATCATTTCCATGGTGATGTTTGGTCCACCAACCACCCTGGGGTTCAACCACCATCAAAAGAATGGTTGACCCGATTCATCTGCATGATAACTCCTAGGTAAATAAGTGTGGTTATATCAACCGCCGTTGTTTTAAAGGATGGTTTAAACTTCAGGGACCATTTCTTAACTGCTATTGGGTTGCATCTTTAGACTTCAACTTTTTGGTTGAAATCAAGTTGTGTTTGCCACTATCCCCCCAAAAAGTGGTCCACGTTTTGCAAGGGGGTCGTTGCAACCCACGGTTTTTGTTTTGGCGTCAATCCCCTCGTTTGTGGCCGAGCGCTCTCGCCGGGGCTGGGCTTTGGGGCGCGTCAGTTGGCCGCTCAGGGCCTGTCACGGACCCAGAGGTGCTGTCGCAGGCCTACGAAAACCTGTGCCGGATGCTCGGGGATGCTTCCAGTTGCAAGGCCATGGGCTTGCCCGGGGCTTCTTACCTAATTTGCTTTTACCACGGATGGTTTCTACTTCCCTTCAGTCTCCAAGAACCTCTTGGTTTTACCACGGATGGTTTCCAGTTCCTTTCAGTCTCCAAAAACGTCTTGGTTTTACCACGGATGGTTTCCAGTTCCCTTCAGTCTCCAAGAACCTCTTTGTTTTATTCCGGATGGTTTCCACTTCCCTTCAGTCTTGGTTTTACAACGGATGGTTTCCAGTTCCTTTCAGTCTCCAAGAACCTCTTGGTGTTACCACGGATGGTTTCTACTTCCCTTCAGTCTCCAAGAACCTCTTGGTTTTACCACGGATGGTTTCCAGGTCCTTTCAGTCTCCAAGAACCTCTTGGTTTTACCACCGATGGTTTCTACTTCCCTTCAGTCTCCAAGAACCTCTTGGTTTTACCACGGATGGTTTCCAGTTCCTTTCAGTCTCCAAAAACCTCTTGGTTTTACCACGAATGGTTTCCACTTCCCTTCAGTCTCCAAGAACCTCTTGGTTTTACCACCGATGGTTTCTACTTCCCTTCAGTCTCCAAGAACCTCTTGGTTTTACCACGGATGGTTTCCAGTTCCTTTCAGTCTCCAAAAACCTCTTGGTTTTACCACGAATGGTTTCCACTTCCCTTCAGTCTCCAAGAACCTCTTGGTTTTACCACCGATGGTTTCTACTTCCCTTCAGTCTCCAAGAACCTCTTGGTTTTACCACGGATGGTTTCCAGTTCCTTTCAGTCTCCAAGAACCGCTTGGTGTTACCACGGATGGTTTCTACTTCCCTTCAGTCTCCAAGAACCTCTTGGTTTTACCACGGATGGTTTCCAGTTTCTTTCAGTCTCCAAAAACCTCTTGGTTTTACCACGGATGGTTTCCACTGCCCTGTGGCAAGTGGCACTGGGCGCTATCATGTTGACCGTCAGAGATCACTGGGAGTTTGGGAGCGTGACAATTTCCCCACGCGAAAACATCGGTTTTGTGAGACGTTGAAGCCGTTGGTGTTTCATGTGGGTGTGTCTGTTTTCGTCCCCCTTCCGCGGTTGCCTTACATGGCAAAAAAAAGACCACAATTGGTGTGTCGTTTTCTGGGTTACCCCTTTTTGTACGGTTTTGACAGGAAAGCCCAAAAGCAACACCATTGCGCCATTTTGGGGCGTTCCAATCTCGAAAAGACAAGCCACCCAGACACGGAGCTCTGCTCAGGTCGGCACATGATGCTCAACAATGGGCGCACGCTGGGCAAGTGCTCCCGTCTCAGTCCTACGTGTCAAATGTTGATCGCCGCGTTTGCAAGAAGCAGCTGTTTAGTATTCCGTTTTCCAGGACCTTGTTGGTTTGCAATTAGACATAGATGGCAGCGGTCTAGATGGGTGTTATGCCCAAAACTTACCGGGGAAACCCATCTTTATTCTTCCGAAAAGTCACCTATGGTCTCAGTGCTTCGGAGCCCACTGGCTTAGCCTTTCGACCCCAAAGCCAGGCTTCTAAGTGGCCAGCAACCGGGGTTATAACTCACTTAGACTTGGACTTATAAAGTGCAGAGTACAGAGATTGCTTGATCAGGGTTATTCATCATTCTAATAGCTAGCCTGCCATTGTTCTTTGAATTTTGAAGGGGGTTCATTGGCTGAAGGGGGTGTGTTTCATTGGCTGCCCATGGGAAAAGGGAAAAGGCCTGGGGAGGAGCGGCCCGCCTTCTGTGCGCGATCTCGTTAGAAACAGCACCGGGAGTGTCCTAGAATAGGCTCTCAAAAGTGGCGAGTTTCCTTGGCAAGGGTGTCCTTTTTAGGTGAGTTTCGATAAAACATAGATGGGTTCCACTGGTTTCGATGGGGTTTGTTCCATTTACCAGGGCCATCTATTTTTCCAAAGGCCACCTATGCTCCTTGCGGTTTTTCTCTATGAGCCATGCAGGGGTTCCCCCTAAGGAAGCCCTCAAATGGGCAAGCCTTCCACAGACGTTTGCATAGCGCTGCCGCTGCGCTACCCTGCTGTTGGCGAGTTGTTTAGGGTGCGGTGTCGTAATACTCCAGCGTACTCGTCATCCAAAATTTGACAGGGCGCGATCAATAGCAGCCATTTACCCAAAGAACCAAAAGGGCATGAGCCACGTTTGTTTTCTGCCCAGACCCCAAACCGCACATTTTGGCTGAAAAATAAAAGCCCGGGCCTCCATATTTCTCCTTTTGAATCGGGGCGGTCAGGTCCTGGGGGTGGCTGCGGGTTGACTTTCCTTGCCTCAAACAAAGGCACCGCGATCAAATGGTAGAGTGACCTCGCCAGTCCAATGACCCCAACATAAAACCCCCCAAGGGGATATAAACATATTGCAAACCATTTTTCCCCATACTGAAGTATCAATCATAATAAGGACAAGGGAAAGAAGACTTTTTGCCTGGTCTCAAATTGTGCTTTTCGATGGAACTCACGAAAGGCGATCGACGCTTAAGGCTGGGAGCAACCCAGGGGCCGTAGAGGAATCCATTGGGGGTTCAGATGGCTAGGATTTTTTCACAAGAAGGTAACCTCAAAAGTGGACATGAAAAGCAACCGAACTCTGATGTCCAGCAAACGCTCCTTTCGCAAGTGGCTGTCCAAGTATGTTCTAAGGAGGTATTTTAGACCCTTTGGGGTATGTTTCTGGAGTCTCCATGACCCTTAAAAACACGGGGCCAATCATGACCCAAAATCAAGATTCGGGTCATGCTTTCCTTTTGTAAAGGGTCGTGGAGACTCCAGGTATTCACAGGATGGTGGGTCTTCACTGTTGTTGGCAGGTGTTCACTGTTGTTGGTATGTTGGGCCCTCTGGGGTATGTTCTTGTCATTTCTGTCGCGGCATCAAGAAGCTGACGGCCCGCGCGCCCAGGCCTTGATAGCTATCGTCGTGCGGGGCAGGTGTTGGATCCGCCTGGGCCCCATCGATCCGAGGGCGGATTTGGACGTCGTTTGGTGATCTTGGTGATCTTGGTGGGTTTGTGCTTGGGTTGTGTTTTTTTTTGGTGGTTTGGGTTTGGATTTGGTGGGGGTTCTGGTGGTTTGTGCTTGGGTTGTGGGTTTTTTGGTGGTTTTGGTTGTGGGTGGTGGGTTCTGGTGGTTTGGGCTGATGGGGTCTTGGTGGTTTGGGTTTGCCTTGGAGTTGAAACCGGGGCCTGGCAGTTTGGAGCTAGCATTGCCTCCAAAGCTGAATTTAAGGTCCAGGCCACCAATCCAAGCCGCAAATTTGTGCTACTTGCTGGTTCTCAGCGGGGAAGGAGTTGAAATTCCCGTATCAACCATCCATGCGTTCCTTTCAGGGAATCCCTAGGTTCAGTCCCAACACCCGGAAGGTCATTCCCTACTGAGGGTCAAACAGACCGGGCGATGCTGAAGGCTTTGTAGATGAACGGATGTGTCGAAACGTGGCCCCGAATTAATTCAAAAAGCGTTGGGGCGGAAGAATCACGCAGCCCGGCTCATCGCTACCTGTATTTGCCACATGGTTTAGGGCCCTCTTAATTCCATGTAGGTCCCCCAGTAGTGCCCTTTTACCCTTTTTCGAGGGAGGGTTCCCCCAGGAAATAGACTACAGAAAAAAGTTGGTGATTCTATCCTCTCTACTGGAGGACCTGGCCATGCTAGATGCAGGCTGTCCTGACCTGTTGCCTTGGGGGGCTATCAAGACGACTCCGACCTTTACAGCTGCAAGGGCCCCAAATCAGCTGCCAAGCAGGTTGGCGGCTGAAGGGTCTCGTTTGTTTTTTCTAGCGCGACATCTCCAGCCGTCCATTCGGCCCAATTCCCCCGTACCCACTGACACTTTTGGCTTTGGACCCATCAGTTCGGGGAGGTGGACCTGACCGGTTGGAATTCCCATCCGAACCGTGCTCCCCATGAGCTTCTGGCATCGAGCCCTCAGTGCGGCGCTTCCTTTGAGAGACTTAACGTCACCTTTTTCATGACATGGCCAACTACCCCTGAGAAAAGGGTTATGCCCAAGTCCAGAGGGGGGTGGTAGTCAGCTAGGGGGTACTTTGACAGCCCATGACTTTTAGAAGACTGGTGCCAACTTTTGGTTGTCCCTGGAGTCTCCATGCCCCTCTAAACAAGGGGTCATGAGGATTTTTGGGTCATGACCCCAGTTTTCAAGGGTCATGCAGACTCCAGGTCCATGAAATCTGCGATGCAAACAGTCATAGCTTCTCGAAGTCCGAATCCATCCGTCTGCGAAGGCTCGGGAGAGTTGCTGCGGCCGAGGTTTACAGTTCAGCTGCCGGAGAAGTACACCGAGGCTCGGACGGATGACACCCATGCGCAAAAAGCAAAAACCTCAACCACTCATCAAGTTCAGGTTCGACGTTTTCTATTGTGGCGAGGGGATGCTTAGGGTTCTATGCTTTTTCGGAGCCACTCAAACACTCAGTTGTTCAGTGGCACCCTTTTTCCCCTTTTTTCTTTGGTGGCTGCCCCATTAAAAATGGTCCTCCCCAAAAAGGGTTCGATGTCTTTTCCAGGGTCACTGAACAACTGAGCAGTAGGTGGTTGACCCAACCCTAGCTTGGCAGCGGGGACTTACCCTCGTTTTCTCGAACTTCTTGCCGGTGCCAGTGTGACCGTCGCATGCAGTTGTGACCATCGCCTGGCAGAATGCTCGTAGAAAAACGAGCAAATTGGTGGTGTTTTTTGTTGGATTCCCTTGAACCCAAAGCAAAGGCCTTTTAACCTTTGGGTTTTCTGGTTTTGGTCCATTTTTAGTCATGGTCCCAAAAGGTTAACCTTTTATTTCCAGCTCCTTTGGGCAACTGAGTCAGTGAAGCTCTTGAACCATTGGACTCTTGGTGCCTCAAAACACGCCAACCAGTTGTCCCTGAGCGATGGCGACTGAAAGCAGGGGGTCGTTGTGGTCCGCGCACAGGTGGAAGAAGCCAAGGAGGATGCAGGCGACGAGTCCTTGGGGCGAGCTATGGCTAGGGTCCATGAATTGGGCGAGAACAATTGGCCGTGTGAAACATATCCCAGTACCTAGAGTCTCCATGACCCTTTTAAAAATGGTTGGTCATTGCCCTAAGTACTGGGGTCATGAACCCATTTTTAAAAGGTGATGGAGACTCCAGGTAATTTCATTTCCCACTATAGCTAGCCAAGTCGGAACTCCGCGATGTCAAAACCAAAATCAACATGGCTCGAAGGGTTGCCCACTATAGTGGCAGCTGCAACCTTTACATAGCTGATTCTCGAGATACTGGTCCCCTGAATCGCGGTGTGTGTGTGTGTGTCTGGTGTCTGTGTCTGTGTCTGTGTCTGTGTCTGTGTCTGTGTCTGTGTTTGTGTTTGTGGTTGTGGTTGTGGTTGTGGTTTGCGTTTCTGTTTCTGTTTCTGTTTGTGTTTGTGTTTGTGTTTGTGTTCGTGTTCGTGTTAGTGTTTGTGTTTGTGTGTGTGCTTGTGTTTGTCTTTGTGTTGAGTTTGTGTTTGTGCTTGTGTTTGTGTGTGTGTGTGTGTGCGTCTGTGTTTGTGTCTGTGTCTGTCTCTGTGTGTGTGTGTTTTTCACCCACATCATTGTGTGGGGTTCTTGTTTTTACTGTCTTCGCCCGTGTCTCGCGCGTTGTCTCCGCGTGCTCCGCGTCCTCGACGCGCACTCCTCCGCCGCCTCCGCCTCCTCAACTGACACTCGACTTACACTCACTGACTTTGCCACACTAACTCGCACACACTCAACTTACACTCATTGACTTTGTCATACTTACTCTCACACACTCAACTTACGCTCACTGACTTTGCCAACCAACTGTCACATACTCAACTTACACTCACTGACTTTGCCACACTAACTCTCACACACTCAACTAACACTCACTGACTTTGTCATACTTTGCGTGGCAGGCGCAGTACTTTCTGCACTCCGATGCTGCTTCGCGTGGCAGGCGCGGCACTTTATATTACCTTGCGAAGGTTGGCCGCCGTGGGCCGCCGTGGGGCGGCGGTCTTCTTGCGTGGCAGGCGCAACATTTTCTGCACTCCGATGCTGTTTCCCGTGGCAGGCGTAGTGCTCTCTGCACTCCGATGCTGTTTCGCGTGGCAGGCGCAGTACTTTGTATTACCTTTTGCGAAGGTTGGCCGCCGTGGGCCGCCGTGGGGCGGCGGTCTTCTTGCGTGGCAGGCGCAATACTTTCTGCACTCCGATGCTGTTTCGCGTGGCAGGCGCAGTGCTCTTTGCACTCCGATGCTGTTTTGCGTGGCGGGCGCAGTACTTTATATGCGAAGGTTGGCCACCGTGGGCCGCCATGGGGCGGCGTTCTTCTTTCGTGGCAGGCGCAATACTTTCTGCGCTCGGATGCTGTTTCGCGTGGCAGGCGTAGTGCTCTCCGCAGTCCGGCGCTGTTTCGCGTGGCAGGAAGTGCGCGACGGAGCAAAAAATGGGTATGTGGGGTTATCAGGTCCTTTAACTTTTGTGTGTGTGTGTGTTTGCTTTTGTGTGGGTGCGAGTGTGGGTGTGGGTGTGGGTGTGGGTGTGCGTGTGCGTGTGCGTGTGCGTGTGCGTGTGTGTGCAGGTGCGTGTGCGTGTGCGTGCGCGTCTGCGTCTGCGTCTGCGTCTGCGTCTGCGTGTGCATGCGTGCGTGCGTGCGGGCGCGTGCGGGCGTGCGTGCGTGGGTGGGTGGGTGGGTGGGTGTGTGTGTGTGTGTGTCTGTGTGCCTGTGCGTGTGCGTGTGCGTGTGCGTGTGCGTGCGCGTGCGCGTGCGCGTGCGTGCGTGCGTGTGCGTGCGTGCGCGCCTGCGTGCGTGGGTGGGTGGGTGGGTGGGTGGGTGGGTGGGTGGGCGTGTGTGTGTGTGTGTGTGTGTGTGTGTGTGTGTGTGTGTCTGTGTGTCTGTGTGCCTGTGTCTGTGTGTGTGTCTGTGTGTGTGTGTTTCTGTGTCTGTGTCTGTGTCTGTGTCTGTGTGCGGGTGTGCGCGTGTGCCTGTGTTCGCGCGTGCGCACGTCCGCGCATGTGTGTGCGCGTTGTGTGTGTGTGTGTGGGTGCGTGCGTGCGTGCGTGCGTGCGTGCGTGCATGCATGCATGTGTGCGTGCGTGCGTGCGTGCGTGCGTGCGTGTGCGCGTGCGTGCGTGCGTGCGTGCGTGCGTGGGTGCGTGCGTGCGTGCGTGTGTGTGTGTGTGTGTGTGTGTGTGTGTGTGTGTGTGTGTGTGTGTGTGTGTGTGTGTGTGTGTGTGTGTGTGTGTGTGTGTGTGTGTGTGTGTGTGTGTGTGTGTGTGTGTGTGTGTGTGTGTGTGTGTGTGTGTGTGTGTGTGTGTGCGTGCGTGCGTGCGTGGGTGGGTGGGTGGGTGGGTGGGTGGGTGGGTGTTTTTGTTTGTGTGCGTGTCTGTGTGTTTGTGTGTTTGTGTGTCTGTGTGTGTGTGTGTCTGTTTGTGTGTCTGTGTGTCTGTTTGTGTGTGTGTGTCCGTGTCTGTGTGTAGTGTGTCTGTGTCTGTGTGTAGTGTGTGTGTGTGTGTGGCTCTGTGTCTGTCTTGTCTTGTCTTGTCTTGTCTTGTCTGGTCTGGTCTGGTCTGGTCTGGTCTGGTCTGGTCTGGTCTGGTCTGGTCTGTCTGTCTGTCTGTCTGTCTGTCTGTCTCTGTGTCTGTCTGTGCGTTTGTCTGTGTCTGTGTCTCTGTCTGTCTGTCTGTCCGTCCGTCCATCTGTCTGTCTGTGTGTGTGTGTGCGTCGCTTGTTTGTTTTTCCAAGTAGTGTTGTGTTGGCTTCTGCGTGACTCACAGCCGACTCAATCACCAAACCCCCGACCTCAAAACAGACAAGCCATCCTGTTTCAGGAACGGGCAGGGATCAATGTTCTATTTGTTGGGTCGAATGAGAACAATCCTGAGGCGCTGCGAGCGCAGAAGCCCCGGCCGAAGCGGGCGAGCCTCCTGCGCCGGAAGTGCCTGCGGAAGGCTCGCCCCAAGCACCAGCGGAGGCAAAAGGATTGGAGGCGAAAGGGGATGAAAAGGGCGAAGCGGCGGGAGAGCCGAAGGAAGGAGCTCACGCCGCCGAACCAGGTGCCGCACCAGCAGAGCCAGAGGCACCTGCGCCTGGGGTGGAGGCTAAGGAGGGGCCTTCCGCCGGCACCGAGCCTTCGGCCGAGGGTGCCGGGGCTTCAGCTGCCGAGGCAGCGGCGCCCAAGGCTTCGGCGCCAGAAGGCTCCGCAGAGCCGACGGAGCCCGCGGCCGCGGAGCCGACGGCCGCGGAGCCGACGGCTGCAGAGCCGACGGCAGCGGAGCCCACGGCAGCGGAGCCCACGGCAGCGGAGCCCGCGGCAGCGGAGCCTGCGGCTGCAGAGCCGACGGCTGCGGAGCCGACGGCCGCGGAGCCAACGGCAGCAGAGCCGACGGCAGCGGAGCCCGCGGCTGCAGAGCCCACGGCAGCAGAGCCAGCTGCAGCAGAGCCGACAGCAGCGGAGCCGGCTGCACCGGCGGAGCCAGGCACGGAGTCAGCATGAGTCAATGGCTAAGGGTCCAATGTCAAGTCCCTCTAAGGTAGTCTTCGCCTGTTGGATTCCCCAAAACACCCTCAAAGTTCTCGCGGTGCCTTTGGGTTTAACCTTGACCATGCATGAAGGCGACTCCACCATGTACGGGTGCAGTCAGGGTAAAGTTCCTCGGCTTGAGGTCAGTGGTGCCTCGTTTTGTTTCTGCCTTCGTTTCCAGGATCAAAGCAAGCCCGTTGCTTGCGGGCTTTTGGCCACCACAGCGGGAGGGGGAACCATCCATGGTAAACCTACCTAGAGTCTCCATGGCCCCGTTACCCCAAATAATCGATAATAATAAGGTCCTGGACCCATTTTTACAGGGTCATGGAGACTCCAGGTTGAGGGAAGGAGTTAGGAGTGCTAATTACCAACTATGGCGGCTTGCCTGGAAGCACTGGGAAAGATTAGATGTGCTTCATTCGACTCGACAGGAGCAGGCGATCAATGACAGCGCTCAAAACTGAGCCAACATTCGTCTGGCCCGCCTGGGTCACATGAAGTGTGTGCCTTCTGACCAACGTCACTTGGGCATCGCTGACGCGTGCAGAATATGCGCCAGTCAGCAAGTTGAATTGAAATCTGTTGAGGTGCCGCTTCAAAGAAGCGGTCTGCATTGATTTCAAATTGTAGTGTGGTGATAGAGATAGAAAAGGCATGGACAGCCCCCATCGTCCCAGGTGGAATCTGGAACAGATATTGGCTATTTGGAGATTGTGAGCCCAGACATTCTATCCGAAGCCAACCAGTCTTGCTTCTTCAAATGTTCCACAGGATTCACCGCGCCGTTTGTTTTGCAAGCAGGGATGTTCGATTGACAAATTGGCAGCTGCTGCCACTCCCATCCCCCCACAACAGACACCCACATCCACCCAGAACCCCCCCACCCCCACCCCCACACTCACACATCTACCCCTCCAGATCACCTTCAAACTTCCTCCTTTTGGTCTCTCAATCAGCTCCGCAGCCCTCCATGACCTTACCCGCGTTCGTAAACCTCAGCTCCGTGCTCCCTCCATTTGCTGAAAGGATTTGTTCATGTTTTTATTATTATTATTATTATTATTATTATTATTATTATTATTATTATTGTTTTCCGTTGCTGGGTTTAAAAGGAATTCATTACTATCCTGGAAATATGTGTTCTTCTTTTCATAGGAACTATTTACTAACTTGTTTGGGTTTCATCACTAACCTGTTGGGTTTAAATTTGCCACATGTTCTCATTTTTTCCCGGGGCCGAATCACCAACTGGTTCTCGGCGCGGTTCCCCTCCAATTTGCCACCACTTCCGCTCGCATTTGTTTCCTTGCGAAGAGCTTCCGTAGCTCGGACCTCTTCCTCGAGCTGCGAGTAGAATTCTTCTCTTTGGGGTGGGGGCCGGGCTGCCCCTTTTGCGGCGCCTGCGCCTTGACTTACAACGGGGCTTTGGCGCATTTTGTCAAGGGATGTTAGGGCTTTAACTTTTTGCCAACTAGCGGGTTTTCCATTAAACCACTAAAAGTTAAACTTTTAGCAGGGGAGCAGAAAGCAACCAAGGGGGGATAGGTGTAAAGACAAGGCCACTGGGAAATCGTATCCGAAGACAACCAGGCGTTCTTGATTTGTTTGCTCGCGGGATTCATGAGGCAGCTTATTGTGCAAGGAGACCTGTTCGATTGTCACATCAGCAATGACATGGCGTAGCCACCCTTCGACATTCAGGGCAGCCTGGCAAACGCGCGACTGCAGCTGGAGGAGAGGTAAGAGATGTACCAATGGCCCAAGGCAGCGATAACGTGAAAAACATGGGGTGTGCAGACATCAGCTCAGACAGTCCAAGGCAGTTGCTGTCTCTTGACCCAGGGAATAACACGTAGCATGTCACCTATGCCAAGCACTGACCCCAGCTGCACAGCATCACTATTGGAACGAGCTCACCTGCAAACAAAACGAGGCAACCATGATGAATGCTTGCTACATGTGGATTCCTCATTTCAGTGCATGATCTAAAGCGCGGCGTGCAGAGGAACGAGGCAGCAAGTTGTGTTTCCATGTGCGGACCTTGCATGTCAGCCCGCGCGGCCAGCCACGAGATGTTGCCGCGTCCAAGGCGAGATTTTCTTGATGCGAGGGCTGCTTTGGATTTGCAGCGTTATTTTTGTTGGGGTTTGAGTTTGCAAAACATAAGTATCCATCTCCCATGCGGTTGGCATTCCGTTGGAAACCCAACTTGCTGCTTGGAAGTGGCTCAAAATGATGAATTAGCCTACTTTCTGTTTTGTCGGTATTTTACACTGGCAACGTTACACCCTTGCCATTTGATGCCGGAAGGAAGGATTGCTACTGTGGATGGACAAACATATCGCGCTTTGAAGCCATGGGAAACAATTATTTGTTGGTATTTGCAGGGAAATCGAACCATTCCAGGGTTTCTTAGGTGGTGCGAAATGGATTTCGCAACCATCCACAGTATGTTGAGATGCCAATTGTGTGCTATGTGTTTCGGGGGAGGGCGCCCGCGAGATCCCACAACTCGCTGTGAGTGGCACGGCCAGTCTTGGCCAGGGCCAAGCGACGCTGGGTTGGGGCCCCTGGTTTCAGCCCAAGGAAAGGAGGAATTTGAAACTCGACTAAGGACAAATGGGTTTGTTTACTGGTCGTATGTCTCAAAGCTTAGAATCCCAGCCAACCCGACTGTATGCAACATATTTACCCACCTTTATCCTCCAAATGGCTAATTGTGTGGAATATTACATGGATTGTCTAGGAATGTTAGTTTGTTGGTTTTGTTTATTCTAGTGGGGGGTGCGTATCCCTGCATGCCAACGCTTGTGGCTGTGTTTACCAACAGGGGTTGGGAAGGTTTGGACGGATGACTCCGCTTTGGAAGGGAAGCCTTGATGTTTGAAGAGTAGCGGCTTGAGCATGTCTCAGATGGCACCAGGAAAGCTGAAGATACCGATGTCCTTTTAACTAACAAATGATGCTGAAATGATGGTCTTGTTGCTATGACGGTGTTTCTATCAGAAGGCCTGTGTAGTTTAGCTAGTTCCCAAATCCGAAGAGAAACAAAAGTAAACCGACCAAGTGGCGCCTCCTTTGCTTTAGATCCGATTTTGGAGGTGGGAGGCCTAGATTTGCTTGCTTTCCAATCAACCGTCTGTTTGATCAACCTTCCTGTCCACTTGAGCTACGAGCTATTTGAGTGGGCAGCTTTGGAAAGGGCCTGTTGCTCCACCGAGGTGCTGGCCGCCAAAAAGGTCTTGCGGAGGCCAACGAGATGGCAGACTGGACCGGCTCCTTGAGCGAAAAGGGTCGACCAAGATGTCGGGCCCCAATGGCCATGACCATGAGTAGCTTCTCCCATTCGGTTGAAGTCGAGCATCCTTTTTGGTGAATTTCGGTCATCCCCTGTATTTCGGACCATGCGCCCGTTGGACCTATAGAGATGTTGGCCCAAGTTGTGTGAGCCAAAGGCTCTTTTTTTTCTCACCCGTGAACAGAGTGCCATGGGATCCAACTCCAGCTGCTCCTCCGGTTGCAGCCAGCATATTAGCCAGGTGGCTGAGGTGGTCCAAGCCTCGAAGCAGACATTGCCTGAGGCAAGCGAGGCATCTGGGCCGCTGGGGTCTTTTCATTCTCAGAGCTCTGCCGAGAAGGATAGCCCGACGCTCTCGAAGCTGGATAAGTTCAGCCGTTCTGAGTCGCAGGAGCATCTGGAGGCAGACGAGGAGCTGCTTCGAGGCATTCCTCTCCACCATACTTTGCGGGTTGGCCTGGGACGGTGGAACTGTCCCAACAAGATGAGCCGACGAAAGCAGGAGGCGCTCTATGAAAAGTCGAGCCCAACCCTGTACTTTGACATCTTCTTCTCTCACACCTGGTTGACGAAGCGCAACAGGAAGTATGCGGCCCTGCTCTTCCACAATGGCTGGCCCGTGATGGTGACAAGTTGTTTTTTGGCCACCACAGCGTTGTCAATCTTGTGTTTGACTGACGTTCTTCCTATGCCATTTAGCTACCAATCGACCGTGCTGGACTACCAGCAAACTTGCCCGTTGGGCTGTTGGGTGATTGCGCTTACTCTACCTGTGGCAGGTGCAGCGCTTGTCCTTGCACCATACTGCCCCAACAAACTTGCGAAGCACAGCATTTGCTTCGTGGACATGTTCAGCATTCACCAAACAGATTCCATGCTACGGGAAAGAGGCATTTACAGCATTGGGGGATGTTTGCAAAGGTCCAAGGAGTTGCGAGTCTTGTGGAGTCCGCCATATTTTTCGAGACTTTGGTGTATTTTCGAATTGGCTGCATACAGGTTTGCGAATCCGAAAGGGAAGATCACCATAGCACCGCTCTTTGTGGAATCCGTCGTGCTGACGCTCCATGTGGGGATCCTTGCTTGCTCCACTGCCATTTGGGTGGGAGAAGCCCTCCCGAGCAGGGTGGAATACACGGTGCTGCACATCCTGCCGACTGCAATCGTTTCTGCCTTGCCACTTTGGGGCATCATCCACGTCCTCCGCAAAGAGACCAGGGCGAAGCGCCAATTGCTTTTTGATCTCGAAAGTTTCAGCCTGGACCGGGCAGAGTGCGTGTCTGAATTTGACAGGGCATTCATCCATTCTGCCATTGACAAGTGGTACGGGAGTGCTGAAGCCTTCGCCGAGTATGTGAGAGGTCCTTTGCGGGCTGAGCTGCTTCAAAGCAATGCCGCAACTGTGCCATCGGCCTACCTGATGACCTGTGTAATTGGCCTTGAGGCCATGCATGTCGAGCTCCTTCTTGCGCTTGTGAAGGGCGGAGCACCCTTGAAGTGCATTTTGACTGTTGTAACGGGACGGATGGTTGGCGCGGTGGTCTACCAGCTAGCCTGCCTCAAGCTGATGCTCAAGCTGGCAGAAAAGTTCGCAGAGCCCTGCAATGCCATCTTGGATCTACTGCAGACCTTCCTCATTTGGCTCACAACCGCTTTTTTGCTCATGTCCTGTGGTTTTGCCACCGTGACACTGCAATCCAGACTTAACGTACTGCCTTTGTTGCTCCTGGTGTTTTTCGAATGTTTAGTGTTCCTGGCCGCCTTTGGCCACTTGCCGCTGCGCCGCGTGTGTCTCCGAAGCTCGGAGCGCACTTAGGCGATGGACTTTATGACCGGGCCCACACCAAGTCTCGCGCTTGCCTTCGAATCACTTTCTGTCTTTGTAGGGAGACGAGAGTGTACCGGACGCTGGCCCACACCAAGTCTCACGCTTCCCTTTCACACACTTTCTGTCTTTGTAGGGAGACCAGAGTCTACGGGGCGCAGAAAGAAAAGGGGCGAAGACAGCCTCGAGGCCGAAGGCGTTTTGCCATGGACCAAAGAAATAGAAGCAAATGGGTGGAAAACCGCAGGTTCGACGCAAGCCTCACAGGGAGCTGCTGGACTTCGCTGGCGAAGATTGATGTGGAAAACAATCAGTTTGAGCCTCT